TGGATGCAATGTGCTGGCCGTGGCTATTAGAACGAGCCCTTCATCAATGTAATTACCAGCAGCGTTTTAGTAGGGATCTTGGCCGTCGTAATGAATGGCGCCTAACTGCCTTTTTGTGGTAGAAGCGTATCACCTAAGGGTGCTTGAAACCTCGACATGTTGCTGGCATCAATTGGTAGAAACTGGATCATTCCCACCAACTCAACCACAGCGCTGGATCCAGTAACGGCGTGCTCTCTCTCGTGGCTGGCGTGCTGGCGGCTGGACGGTCGACAGGGGGGTAGCAGATGGTCGTGCAGCCAATGCAGCTTTCGACAAGGGTCGAGAAGCCGGTAGTGCATGCTGTGAACTATGGAGCGTGTCAGTATCTCCCATGAAAGGCCCAATAGTTTGTGAACCTCTGCCACAGGTGATCTAAGATGGGGTATCTGTGCAACGAGAAAGAGGGCTCCGAGTCAAATGTCGCAAGCTGGAACACTGCATGTGGGTGATATAACAACTGATCAACTATTTGGCAGCAGATCACATCGTCGGGGGAGAGCCACGTAAGAAAGGCCAAAGGGCCAAGTCAGGTGCCTGGGTTGCACAGCATGGGTGCTATACATGCAACATTTGCCTGGATCAGGCGTAGAGATATCCATTATATGCGCTCGACCAATGCCAAAGTTGAGCTATGCGGCAATGAAAGGAATAGACTCGAAATGTGGCTTCCAGGCAGGCAATTGAAAATTGACTTGGTGGAGAAATCGGTGGGTTGTCTTCTATCCGATTTCTCCAGAGGGACTACGGAGTAGTATCAAGCATTGTGACCTACGGCTCATTGTCAGTTCTCTGAAAAGAATATATGGGGTGGTGTTTTACAGAGAAAGGGCGAGACAAAACGGTAAGTTAGAGCCAACACTTTTGGGACAAGAGACAGTTGGTTCGCGGAAGCCTTGCGGGGCGCACGGAACAAGAACTTGGACGAGACGCCGAAGCATGGAAATATGAGGGTACGGGATGAAACCAGAGGAGTGTAGTCCGCACCTCACGAGACATGGCTCAAATGGTAGTAAGTTGTAACCGCAAGCCATCAAGCCATCGAGTTCGTCAATGCAAGCCTCCAAGAAGGTACGTAGTTGCGATATATGGTAGGAGCCCGTGTGGTTTCGAGTCGTAATGCTGGGCTCCTCACCAGCCTGCCAAAGAGGGAGTGGACTGACTTATAACGATAATGGTCCGCTTCGACGGGCCATTGTCGCCTCCAACAGGTCACTTGAGAGGATCAGGGTGACCTAGCCCAATGTACGTCGCTGTGGCATCTGATGGGATGAGAAGCAGTTGAGCTTTCGGGAGGGAGTTTGAAGCTATCGACTGGTTTGTTTCGGAGAGCTGGCGTTTGGTGTGTGGGGCTGGCCCCGAGGCAGGTGCAGACGAGTCGAGTCAATTGCTTGCTCCTGCATTTTCTGTTCCGTCTGTTGTCCAAGGTCTTGGCCCCCACCTCCGCTCCTCTGGCTGCTCGTCGATGCCAGACAGGTGCGTGCGACAGACCTGCTACTCTTCAGCATCACTTGAGCATATTCCTAGGCGGCCAACTTTATTAGAACGGTAACTGTTTCTGAGCCGGCATGCTTGGGTTTCAAGTGGCTTTTCGCTTTCAATGAAATCATCGCCATCAGCTGACGACACGGGCCAAATACTTGCACATCGAGCGTCGCCTTGCACCGACCCACAAGACAAGCAGCAGCGGAATGTCCGACATAGTGGTCGTCCGTACGAGTACAACAAAAACATCCAAATAAGTCATTGTCGGACTCCCATTATCCAGTCTACGTCGTGCAAACAACCAATCCTGCACGTTTGATGGGGGTTGGCACTGCTGATGACATGGAAAGCGACAGAGCATGTACAAGAGGAGCTGCCGTCAACAGTCAAGACCCAGCCCAAAGGATGAGGCGCGCCTCGTGCGCAAGGATCAGGGTTGTAAAGCTGCCACTCCACTCCCATTTCCCCACGCAGGTCCCTCAAGCAAGACATCATCAAGAAAGAGAGAGGATCTGTCTAAGGTGGGTGCTAGTGCCCTGTCGAAGCTGTATGGGTGTCGGCCATGATTCCATCGCGATGTGCCATGCACGGAACGGCACGCTGGATTTGAATTGAACAGGCTGCTGCACAGCACGACAGCTATCACCCGAATACTCGTTCACTGTACTGCACAGGGCGTACACGCTTTGCCGATTGTTCTCGAACAGCATAAGCTTGGCACCTGAGACCATGCCTGGAGCCCTACATGATGCATCATCTCTCCCCGGTCAAGCTGCTCGTCATCATGTTCATCAGCAGGGTCGAAGAAGCGAGTGCCTGTTTGGAGCGGCATGGTGGTTGAGAGCGCCTCATAATAACATCATAGGCTAGTCCCACCACTTGTCCTTGCTCGAGGGACTTGCTTCTTACAACGGTGTACGGGGGACCACATGCCATCCAGGCCTCCTGTGACGATGGACAATATTACGGAACAAACAGGCTATCGTGTACCGACAATACACCGCGCACCCTGCCAGCCACGATCCATCTCGGCCAAGTCGCAACTGGTAAAAATGTGGCAGTCGAAAGAGCCAACCAACCCCCAACCCCCTTCTGCTGCAGCAAGGGGGTTAAGCCGGGACGGAGATCACGGCTCATTGTCGACTGCTTCGTATCCTGTCTCTCCTCAACGACTCCCAGGCGCTCACTCTCTGCATGGCATTGCTTTTGTAGTGCCTCTGTCTCTTCTGGCCGCTCTGCTTGGGCTTCCAGCCTAGACTGAATCAAGCTTGGAAATTGATACGTCGACCCACTCAGGCACCTGAGAATCCACGTCGCCGCTTCTGCACATTCGACGTGTCATGGGTCTGACCGTGTTTACCGCTGGCCTGGCTCGAAAGTTCGTGAGCCCGAAACTGCTCGAGGCAAAGGGGCCGTAACTGGAACCTCCTTCCCATTGTCCTTTGCCTCATGCATTCGTCACCTTTCGACTCCAAGGACCCAACCCCGCTGACCGCTCACATCAACTATGGAGCCTTGGCTGGGACGAGTAACGCAGCGTCGCCATGTTCCCAATCGCCATTATCAGCTCGGAAGGAACTCCCGCCTACGCCACCTACTTTACAATAGACCCTACGACTGCCTTCTTGGAACTATCCCCGGCGCCTGTGTCAAGCAAGAGGCATGCCACTGATATAGTACAGCCCGGCAATGACCCGTCTTGGCCACCCTTCAGGCTCATATGGGAAATACTGAGAACAGACAGACCTTGCTTCAGGCACATGGGGCATACCTTTCAACCACACCAGCTTTCCACGCAAGCAGGGACGAAGAAGAACGATGTCTTTGCCGTATAGCCTTAGACTGTACGGATGGGGAGGACCAACCTGTTCATGGAGTGTTCAGTGGGACATCGAAATGTTTGACATTGACTTTCGGCCATGAAGCCGCTAGACCATTCTTCTTGCGACAAGGGCAAAAAGGAAATTTGGCACCCAGGTTGGCCTTGACCACAATAGCCACCCAACTATCTGAGCCCTGTTGCGGCCGGGGTGGCCATAGCACATGGAGCCTGCAAGAGTTGTCCCCCCCCTGTTCGTTCTCTGTGCGTACACTGTATAATAATAATGGGGTGGCGAGACAAAAAGGTGAACGCTGTAATTGGAACAGCCTCCAAGAAGTACATGTACTCCCGTTCATCCTACAGAGTACTATAGTTGGGAGTTGACATACTCCGTACCATTGTGACTGACCCGGGGGTGTTGGCCCTGTGACGGCCAACACATCGACAACTTCTTCTATCGCACCGCGCCTTTCTTCTCTTCCTCTTCGAAACTCTTTTGCTCCCCTTCCCCCTTCACGCACCTAGCCTTTTTCACTCTTCATCTGTGAGACAGTGCAAGCCGGGCTTGAAAACCACATCAGGTGTGGCGGAGTTTCATCGCGGTGTGATTTGATCAGCTCCAACCATTTGCACTTGTACACATTATTTTACGCCGTGGCTGATTTTTCCACATCTCAACTTGCCCTTTTGGTCAGATTTCATTGGCACTTTAGGTCAAGTCGGCTTATTCACCAATCACGGCGTCAGGGGCCGTCTTCTACATAGAGGCAGGTGTTTAATACTCTTACCAAGTCACATCATCAACGATTTCTCTCTCTTCTGCAGTTTGTTCGCATCGTTTTGCTCCCAGCTCATACCCAACCCAACTATACCCGCTTTCCTGCCATTCGCTCAGAGTTCAATTCATTTTGGCTCCAGTGTCTGGCTGCTAAGTGTCAGGGTCGAAGGGCAATATATATATGCCTGTCACGGACCTCAGTACAGAGAACGTGACAAGAGTGCTGGAGACGCAGGTGTAAAGTCCGGGGGCAGACTGTTTCGTCCAACGGGATTCGGATACTCTGAACCTGGGAAGGAGAGAGTAGCTATCGTTGCCCTCTCGAGTCAAATTCTCGCACTTCAATTTAACGTACTGAGCAGAAACACTGGGTTTCGCTGCTTTCTGTCGCTTTGATCGAGTATCTAATAATATCGCTTGCATCAATACCAGTTGCGTCTAGCTTTGAGAACTGTTTTCTTTCCTATTCACTTGTCACTAGGATCACCTGTTGAGACTTCGACGCAAGAGTCCCCGCGGTGCGCTGATCGTTGTGGGCGGAGGGTCGTTCGGAAGACTTGAGTTGCTGGTATCGGGACTGTTTGGGTAAGAATTCCCAGCCGGTCCTAATATTACTTGACCAACCTGGCGCAACTATCAACTGCTCTGCCTCTACAGGCACCGATAGCACAAGACAGTCCCGGTTCTGCGACCAGCGATTCAACAGCTGGAACTACTCCGGATTCTCCTCGCACACCGTCTACCCCCTCTTGGAGAAATAAGACTCTGCCGGTGCCGCCAAAGCTCCAGGATTTTACGCAAGCAGCAGCCGCACAAAGGAGAGAAAATCAATGTGCCGGTCCTCAAGACCAAGGACAGTTAGGGATTCGGGTCTCGATGTCCCAGCGAGACACCTCGACTCGACCTGCATCTCGTCCAACCTCCACGTCTCCAACTACATCGGCAGAGAAAAGAGCTCGCCCGTTTGGACAATCTGTCGGCAGCCATGACGCGCCTAATGATACTATCAAGGTACTACCCAAGGAGAATTCCAATCGAAGTCAACAGGTGCGGCCCACATCTTTGGGAATGCTGAATATACTGAATCCATCAGATTCACGATCAAGAGACTCACATGTACCCCAAATTTCTTCTGCCCAAGTTGGACAGCCTACAGGCGGGTATTCTACCTGGACAAATAGTTTTCCGCGACAGCCTGGCTCTGGCCACTCGTCGTCTGCATCATATCCAGAAATTTATGTCGCAAACACCAATTTCGGATTGGGATCTGAACGGCATTCCCCAACTGCAGGGTACCCGTTCCCCAATATGAATGAACCTCGGAAAACTCTTGGCCCGAAAATATCACGGCATTCAAGTGTGAGCCAGAGTAGTGGTCGGCCTGGCGGGTCTGACCACAGGCCGCCCGGATACGGTCCTTCAGCATCGCCAGCCAAACGTACATATGAAGCCGAGTCAGCAGACGAGCGTAGGCAACTTCCCAGCTTGTGTCAAACTCCTGGAATTATTCACATGACAGGACCTCGAGTCCTTACTCCGCCACCTCGATCGCTTTCACAGCCTGGGAATAGAGCTATCGAGTCATCTTATGTTCAGGCACAGGCGGCACCACCTCGTGATATTCAAGCACTGCCATCTCACCCTCAATTTCAGCTTGGGCAACCTCAGGGCCCCCTTCCCAGTGTGAGCCAGCCGCCAGAGAGCCCTCCTTGGACAGAAGTTATGCGTCGGTCCGCAGGGTCAGGGAGTCTGGAGGGACAGCAGGCCTATATGACTCTGCCAGGCAGCGATGTCCCGATACCCGTTCAGGTAGATTACTCGCAAGCGTCTAGGAAAGCGGATGAGAAGCGACAGCGTAACGCGAAAGCGTCAACCAGACACCGCCGGAAGAAAAAGACGATGCAGGAAGAAAACGTGAGGCAATTACAGGAACTCAAGGATGAGCGACAGCAAATGTCCGAAGAAATGGAGTACTTACGACGTCAACGTGACTTTTACAGAGAGGATAGAAACCGACTGCGAGATATCATATCCCGAACGCCCGGCATTCATCAGCATGCTGCCGGGCCCCGAAGCCCAACTCCTACTAGAAGTATCGATTCACATACAGACCACAGCCCTGTATCACAGCACCTCATGCCAACACCGACACAGGGTTATTCTAGCGATGCTGCCTCTGCAATGGATCGAGCAGCGCAACGACCAAAGATGGAAGAGCGGGTCGACTTTGCCAGACCTGGACCCAGCACGACTCCCGTCGGCTTGGCGCCGCCTCATGGCCACCTATATAACGTTCCTCCTCGTCCTGCATCAGCTGCATCCTCAGGAAGTGGAGATAGGTTGCCGCCTTTGAGAGCTATGGAAGGGCCATCCACAGCGGTTCAACATGTCGGGTCTGGACAAGCACAAGAACAAGATCCTAGGACAGGTCAATGGCGTCCAGTGCCCCCACGGCAGGTCGAAACAGGCTGGGCAACCGGCTTCAGAAAGACGGGTAATGGTCAGACTCACCCTTGGTGAGTCGGGGTGCACCGTTTTGCGTCTCAGGCTTATTGGAACTACGGTTACGAGAGCCGAACGTAAACGGAGACGGTGGTTTTGAGATGCCACTGATACGGACAGCTGAAATTCCAAAACTTCCGAAACGATAATGCACAGTATCCGGGGATATGCGCGCTTTTATACCCTTGCAGGTCGCACAACTCTACTTACGAACAATGACGATAACTATTTGGCTGGGTGACCGGCACTCTCGTATTTTATTCATCAGTGTCTGCGTTCAGGAAGGCTTTCCTTTTCTTTGACTTGTTTGTGTCTGGACTTTTACAGACGCCCCAAAGAAGATGACAAGAGACCAATCTACGCCAGAAGGAGTACGATAATGGCTCAGGCCCAATCGAGCTTCTAGCTACTAGCTTACCGATGACTCAACTCTACTTTACCAACGAGAAAACAATAATAACAGCTGCAGTTGTGGCAGGGTCGGAATTTGGCACCCCATTGAGCAATATAGATCAGTAGGCAGCGCGGTTGTGTGTTGAAGGAAATTTGAACCATGGAAATTATTAGGAGAGCATTACCTGTTATTCTATATTTTTGTTGTGTCAACCTTATTTCTTATTCCCCCCCTTCTCCCTTTCTATTTTTTTTTTTTGGTATCCTTCTTCTTGCTATTTACATTCCTATGAATACCCGTCGTTGAAGCGACTGGAAGAGCGCGCATGTACAAGAGATACCCAAGCGATTACACAGCATCGGGAACCCGGATTCCGGTAACAGAAGGTCGACTAGCTGCAGAGCTGTGGTGTTTGGCGGCGTTTTTTCATTGTTCTTTGATTCATCTGTTTACAAGGATTGTATGTGTACGGCGACGAAGAGCGGAGTATATTTTGACTCTTTGCGGCACTTGAAGGAGTAGTATGATTATGGAATATGGCCGGTGGGCTAGCTAGCAGGAAAACAGATTGGATATCTCATATTCCTCTTCCTTCGCCTTGCGATGTTGGCTACATTGGGAATTACCATGGCACGAGGACATTGAGGATGGATGGTCACGTGGGGTGTTCACGTGGACAGCCGAGTTGCAACTTACAACCACATGAATTTTGACGTGGCGAGCTCGGTGCTGCGGCAAAACCGACACTAATCGTGCGGCTACCGAGATCGCACGCAAACTGACTAGACTGTGGGTCTGCAAGGGAGGAATTGGGATCATAAAAATTGTCAAATTGACCGGAAGCCGCCACACGGGCACGACTCGCGACGCACGACGCACAAACTCACACCTCACACCTCACACCTCACCCAGTGAATGTATGTGTGTATGTGCCCGAAGCAGATGCTCGCCCGGCCTCTCTTGGCGGCCGATTCATCAGGCCAGGCTAGATTTTTTAGACGGTTGCCTAATGGTTTCATGCAAATCAAACACCGGCAGGCCTGCACAACGGTGACGACACCGTCTTCCGACATTGGAGCAGAGCTTACGGCACCGAACGGGACGTCATGGTCGCAGCCGTTGGGCCTATTTATAGGCAATGAGTTTAGAGAATCCGCAGACGGAAAGAGAATCATTTCGTTCAATCCATTGTATGTCTTGCTCCATCTGACGCGTTTGATGACATCCAAGTCCCCGCTCATGGCTCTCACAGTACCGAGACGGAGATTTGCCAAGTGGCGGCGGCAACTTCTCAGGATGTCGACGCAGCCGTCAGGGCATCTCGTCTTGCCCTACAGAGTGCATCCTGGAAGTCGTTGTCCGGCCCGGAGCGCGGCAATCTCATGAACAAGTTGGCAGATTTGGTTGATCAGCACCGCGAGACTCTCGCTGCCATTGAGACGCTCGACAACGGCAAGCCTTATTCTGCTTCCCTCAGCTTTGACGTCCCGCATTTTTCTCAAGTCATGCGCTACTACGCCGGGTACGCGGACAAGATCCACGGTAGCGTCATTGACGTCGGCCATGAGAAGATGGCATACACATTGAGGCAACCCATTGGTGTGTGCGGGCAGATTATTCCCTGGAACTACCCTCTGGCCATGGCGGCCTGGAAGCTCGGTCCTGCCCTGTGTTGTGGAAACACGGTCGTACTGAAGCCTTCCGAACAGACGCCTCTGTCGATGCTGTACGTTGGCAGGTTGGTTCGTGAGGCAGGGTTCCCTCCCGGCGTGATCAACATCATCAATGGCCACGGTGGGCTCGCCGGCGCGGCGCTAGCGTCGCACAAGGACGTGGATAAGATTGCGTTCACGGGCAGTACTGCCACGGGCAAAGACGTGATGCGTATGGCATCTACAACATTGAAGGCGGTCACGCTGGAGACGGGCGGCAAGTCGCCGCTGCTCGTGTTTGATGACGCCAACCTCGAGCAGGCGGTGCGCTGGGCTCACGAGGGCGTCATGGCAAACCAGGGGCAGGTTTGCACGGCGACCTCGAGGATATTGGTGCAGGACGGAATCTACGACAGGTTCATTGAGGCATTTGCCGACCACACGAGCAAAACGTCTATTCTGGGCGATCCCTTCGGGGCCACAACCTATCAGGGGCCACAAGTCAGCGCGACGCAACGGGATCGCGTCCTGTCTTATATCAAAACTGCGCAGGCAGAGGGCGCAGACCTCATACATCCGTGCGGGACTGTTTCGGAGCTCCCTCGATCGGGCTTCTTTGTTCCACCCACTATTTTCACAAATGTCCACACTACTGCCACTGTTTTCAAGGAAGAAATCTTCGGGCCCTGCGCTGCGGTAGCCCGGTTCAGGACTGAGCAGGAGGCGCTCGATATTGCCAACTCGACACGGTACGGGCTTGCTGCGGCCGTCTTCACACGAGACGTAGCCCGTTCTCATCGTGTGGCGAGGGAATTGGAAGCCGGCATGGTCTGGGTGAATAGCAGCAATGATTCCGACGTGAGGGTTCCCTTTGGCGGCGTCAAAGAGAGTGGAATAGGGAGAGAGCTGGGCGAGGACGGGTTGAGAGGATATTGTGGTGTGAAGGCTGTGCATGTAAACCTGACGGACAGTTGAGACGACAGACATGAGGCTTGAACTTGAACGTCGGCTTTCCGCGCGGCTGCAAGCCAAGGCACGAACGAGTCGGGCCCCGCCGCACAGCACGTGCCTTTGGGAAAAGCGGGTCGGGCGCAAGCGTCAAGTGGTGAATTGTGAATTGTCAAGAAGTGGTCACCTCAACATGTCCTCCAACCTTCTCAGCTCATCATCTGGCCTTGGGCCGCCACGACTTTTACTCCGAATCCTAAATCCACCTGTAGCCACCCTGCCGCATCCATGATCCGAATCCTGGCCACTCTCCGACATACGATTGTCTCGCCATCCTTCCGATACGCAGCTTCAAGGCCGCAAGTCCGGGCCTATTGCCAGTCATGTCTCTCCCCTTTCCCCGTGCCGACACCGAGGTCGACTACCCAATCTACTCGGTCGGCTTCGACCCTGAGGATGCGAACAGATTAGTTATCGGCGGTGGGGGCGGTGCCGGGCGTTCCGGCGTCGGTAACAAGATTGTACGTGGTTTCTAGACGGTCCTCACGACGCATCTGCTTCTCCTCGTCACTGTGGACTGGCCACGTTGTTTGAGCAAACAATCAAGATTTGACTAACACCGTCCGCCACGCCCCTTAGACGGTTTTCGATGCCTCTCACCAAGGCGAGATCCGAGTCGCTGGCGAAATCGAGCTCTCTCGCGAGGAAGACAGCGTCATGTCCATCGCCGTCGGCCCACACAAGGGCAAAACCACATACGTCTACGCGGGCATCAACTCCTCTTCAGAAGATATTGCCAAGGGCGAAAATCAGCATCTGCGCCTCTTTTCTATCAATCCCTCCAAAGCAAGGCCGCTGGCTGCCACGGCCACTAGCCCCTCAAGGCCGAGAGCCTTCCCCGAGGCCAGAATCGCCGAGGTTTCCCGCACAGCCCTCTTTGCGAACCCAGACTCCAGCACATATCAGCGTCTGTTGCGTGTCTCGGGATCCATCGGCGCCGCAGCATCTGCTCTGGGCAAGGAACCTCAACTAGCCGTGTTCGAGACGACTACGCCGAACCCAAAAATACGTGGAGTGCTGGAGCTGACCAAGGAAGCCGAGGCCATCGACGTCATTCAGACAGGGGATGACGAGTTCCAGCTGGCCTACGTTGACCGTTACGAGCTGTACGTTGTCGATATCGGAAGCAAGTCAAACGGCGAGCCCAAGTTGGTGTTTTCAATGCCAGACGACCACGGGGAGCGGCCCCAATTCAGATCAATTCGGTACTTGACTCGAGAGTTTATTCTTGCCGTTTCCAACCTGCCCAGGAAGAACACGGGCGCGCTGATCCAGGGACTTCGACTGCCCTCACCCGGCCATGACAAGGCCAGATTGGCTACCACGGCCAAGATACCACGCAAAATTTCGGCTACGGCTTTGGCCGTGACTAACCTGTCGTCGTCGGCATCGCCTACGGCCCCGGTAGGCAACACGCAGTTCGTGGTGGCTGTTGCCGGCAACGACTCGTCAATCTCGCTATACACGCTGGAACACCAAGTCTCGCCCGTGTTGAATCTGCTTCTCAACTTGTATCCTTTCCACACCCTCAAGGGCGTCCACGGCGATGACAACATCTCGGGACTCGCATTCTCAACCTTCAGCACGCCCAAGACGCACATCCGAGCACAGTACGTCAAGCTAGCGAGCACGTCGCTTCAAAAGACCGTCGCAGTCCACCGTATCCCGCTGAAGAAGTTTGTCGACCTGGAAGCCCGTCGAAGCAGGAGAGGTCCCCCGCCACCAACGCGCTACGTCGTTGCCATGCGGTCTCGCGCGCCATCCGCCCGACCGCTCGTCGTGACCCTCAGTGTCATTGTGCTTGTCCTCGCCATCGTTGCGCAGTCCGTCAAGGAGTTGTGCGGCGTGGGCAAGCCCGTCGTCTTTGCGCAGCCGTTTTTGCCCTCGTGGCACGGAAGCCTTCGACGGCCGAGGACACACGCGTCGTATTTGTCTGGGAACCAGCTCATTTCGAACTTGATGGACGGTGACAGGGTGTTGGGGTCCAAAGAGAAGCTTGTGCTTGTCGAAGCTGACCATGCCGTCGCCGCCGAGGGTGATGGCGATGGCGAGACGACGACGTCGACGACCAAGAAGCTCCGGGTGGATGTGCACGACTCTGATGCCCACGGATCGGCGAGAAGATGGGATCAGCTCCACGTGGATGAGCAGGACGCGTGGAAGGAGAGGCTCCGTGAAGCAGGCGCCTGGACACAGAACATGGGTGAGAGCGTGTTCAAGGGCATCTTGTTTGGGGAGGTTGCAGGTGTTGTTGGGCGGGTTGTGGCCGGCTAGATGCTGCAACGGTAACGGGCCTGTCTTGCAAGAGCGCGTCGTTTTTTCACGTATAATTATCAGTCTGGTGGGTACATGCGAAGTCTGGACACTATTCTGTGCGTAATTCGGGATGGGGTTGGGAAACAGGGCGTACTGCAGGGTGGAATGAGACGGGTAGAAAGGGGGCAATGACGAGTCACCCAGGATAGACGTGTACAGTAAGTAGGCAGCCATGGTGCATGCATAACAGTGCCATTTTCCAGCGACGAGGTTCGGCATGTCCTGCGTCCTGCGCCTTGTTCAAGACGTCCCGGGACGGTCAAAACTTGAATGCGCACGGCACGGCTGAGCATCGTGCAAGAGAGAGCCCATTTTGTCCTGTCGAATAAACAACAAGCATCTGCAGCAAGCCTCTTGGCTCGTGGTCCAGCCACGGGTCGTGGGGGCGGCGGGGCCGGGCAGCAACGTGAAACAGCTTCTTGGATACCGCTCCGAGCGAGGCGTCATGCTCGACGCGAGCTTGGGCGAAGAAGACGTACGTGTTGGGGTTGGGATGCAGGCGGCCAAAGGTGGCGACGACGAGGTGAGGGGCAAGAGCAAGCGCCGGGGCAGCTCAGCGGCCGTGGTGCCTGGACAATTGGCGCCCAGCAAGCAGCTCGTCACGTCGTGGTCGCACGTTTACGTTTCCCAGTCCGTCTGGCTCGTCCGTCCGCAGCGACGAAACCACGCGCCAACCCGACCCACCCCGCGGCAGGCGGCGGCTGGGCGCGGGAAAACCCTCACCGTCGCCATCACCACATCACCACATCACCAGGCAGCCGACAGTCGCACACCGGAACCCAGTCCACCCAGTCCACCCAGAGCAAACATGCCCGCCGCAGAACGTGTTTCACACGGGGGCCGCCGGGATGAAGGAGGAACAGGAAGGACGGGTGGGAAAGCCCGCGACATTGTTTCAAGATGTCCGGCACGGCACGGGGGGAAGGGCAGACACGACGAACTACGGAGTTCTCCGCAAGGGAATTAAAATACAGTAAAGCAGGTTTATAACGATCCCCCCCTATAGCGATTCGGCACACACGCCTGGGCGTGAAGTACCTTTCCTATATGTTATATATATAAAAGCAACTTCTAACCTATAGCGATTTTTCTTAAAAATATTGCTTATTAATATATGTAAGTTTATAATTACACACTACCTTACCCCCCCTGAAATCCCTTATTAGGCCTTATCAGGCCTTATCAGCCTTATCTTACTAATAAAAGTAGGGTTTTTCCTAAAAGAGTAGTCGCATCTTAACGATATAATCCCTGTAGTCGGGTTATAACGATGGAAATTTGCTCACGAAGGTTATCGTTATAGACCTGGTTTACTGTAAAAAAATTAAAAAAAAAACGACCAGACAAATGAACGGACATATGGACGGACCGACGGACGGCTGCCAGCACGAAGGAGGGTGGGGATTCCAAAAACGGGGACGGACGGACCTGCCTGCCTGCCTGCCTGCCTGCACGACGTCGTCACGCGGGCCGTCGTGTGGTTGTTTGGATACTGGTTCCAGTCGGCAACTGCCGGGCCCGGCGGCCTGGGTTCTGGTACAAGTACTCGAGTACGGAGTGACGGGCATGAAATTGGCTGACCACGGAGTGCCAGCTCGCGACGGACGGGCGACTTGCTCGACAGCTCGCTTGCTGGCGGCCGACCAAGTAAGTGCTGAGGACTCCGTCCAATACATGCCTGCTTACTAAGCAGGCTCTCCGTGCATAGCTGGTAGGTACTGGAGACTTCTTATTTGGCAGGAGCGGGTTGGCATGGTGCGCTGCAGGGGTCCTTGCTGGCTTGGGCCGATGTTTTGACGGGAGTGAGTTGGACAGGTTGTGCATGGACACGACGTGACTACCGAGATGCATGACTGTCAATGACTACGGAGTATGAGTCAATGACAACAACAATGACAGTTGACATCGAGGCTCCGAGGACAGGGCAGCTAAATCAGAGGACCGCAGATATTTGGGGCTCATGGGTCGGGCGCAGGTTCGGGCTGGGGTTGGGGTTGGGGTTGGGGCCGGTGGGAGCCGGACATGCCGCGCAGAGGATTTGCTCGAGGCGCCTGGGGGCACTGGGGCACCGGGCATGTAGTACTTGAGTACCAGAAATTTCCTTGGTTGCACGGCATGTCACTCCCATGTCCTTTTGGGCCGGCGGCAGCGCCTCGTTTTCAGCTGTGCTGTGCTGGGCTGGGCTGACGGGTGGCACCTCCTTGGCGCCAATGGGTTGACGCCGGAGGCGAGCTGGGTATAGTGCCATTTTTTTTTTTGGCTGTCTTCTTGGGGACGCGAACCATCGAGGTGATTGAAGAGCCAACCTACGAAGGGACTTTCAGCATTTGGAGTGACGGACCCGCGGGAGGGCTGAGGGGGCCGCTGGTGATGCTGACTGTGTACGTGCCTACAACCTACTTAGGACGTAAGTAGAGTAGGCTACGACAAGACGAGGGTGTCACCATCGTGTACGGTGTCGGCATGCGGGAATGGCCTTTCTTTTGTTTTTCCTTTGTTGCTTTACCTGCGAGGCGTCGGGATAGCCGCGCGATACGGACAGCTGCGCACGGGGGAACGGCATCAGCTGCCGCTTCTTCTTTAGAGCTGCCGTCCCCGTCGCATTCCATCTGTGGGCGAGTCTCGAGGTCGGGCGGAGAATTACGACAATAGGCTTATCAGTGGCCTAATTTGTATGTTTCAGCATGTATAGCGCCAGGCCTGGGGTTGGGTTATGGAAAGGCCGTAGAGTACCGTTTTCACCTCGAGGGAACTCGTTTGAGAGAAGGGCTGGGATGGCAACCCGGCCATTCGGTACGATGGCGTCTGGCTCACCTCTATTGTTATATCCCGCCCCCATGCTATGTGTATATATCATGCCTGCCTGGCCCGGTAAAGTGCGGAGAAGTCGTCTCTGGCATTCGGGGGAGCCAAGGTTCAATCGCTTACGTGTACTAGACCTAGGTGGTACCGTAAGCCATGTCAAATGCTAGACCTTTGTCAATTGCTCGCAAACCGGGGTGTGCTGTAGGGTAGGCGCCGGTGGGTAGGTGAAATTTGCTTTTGCCATGCCGTCAAAAACGTGCAGACGTATGATGTGTACCGAGTACAGAGTACCAGGCAATTACCGGCCTCTCCCGGGGGGGGGAGAAGATGCATCATGTTTGGAAGACTGTTCGAGAAAAGCCGTCGGTTGCAGGCTTATTCGGGTCATTTGTAAAAATGGCGGCACGTCCTCGTCTGAATCTTTCTACCCGCGGGCGCAAGCCAGAATAGAAAGGAACTGCTGGTTGGAGGAGCAAACCCCCTGAACCCGACATCCCTGATCTCGACATTGCAAAGGTGGCCAAGGTGGCAGGCGTGTGGACGATGGACGATGGACGATGGACGATGGACGGACGATGGGGTCGATGGAACCCCCAACGGATGGCAGTCCCCACCTTTGCTTCAAAGCACAAAACCCTGAGGCCAGGGTGCCTGGCGGGTGCACGGACGGCTGCTGGGAAAGAAGCCCACATGCAGGGCTCCACTGACGGGCGGTTTGTTACCTGCCCAGGAATTTCGGCAAAAGGGCAACTCAGAGGCAGTAGGGTTAGGGTCAAGGAACTGACAGGCTATTTATTTAACTTATTTAACTTAATATCAAGTCATTCCAATGCTCACGGCCCACGGGTAGCACCAGTCTAACCACCCAGGCACTCCGTAGTTAATTACTACCAGCTCCATAAGAGATGAAAACCCAGCTAAAAAAAAGTTTAGGCACGTCTGGCTCGGCCAAGGCAGGCCAGGCCAACATTGGAGGCGATAACTCGGCACATGACCCCTTCTCCCCTCATCATTTGGGCACATGGAGTCAGCAGTCACGCACGATTCCCAAAAAAAAAAAGAAAAAAAAAAGGAAATAGACCAAAAACACGTCGGTCGAGGGAGAGAGCCAAAATAACATCTATATATATACTTGGATAATCCCAACCACAGACTGACACTACCAGTCGGCCAACCAGCGCCTCGGGATGAAAATCGCCCTTGACATTGGCCATTGGCATGCTACCATCCCGAGCTTGACTCAACCTTTTCAAAACTTGGCAAGTCAGGGTGGGTGTGCCTGCTGATCGTCTGTGCACATACGGTCTGGACGGGTGACTGGCGAAGAAGAGCAGCCTGGACTTTGCTGTATCCTGCTCCCGTTCATGAGTCGAGCCGGGTCGGAGTCCTCTCTGGTGTGCGCCAAGCGGCGAAGGCTGCATAGGGCTCGTGTACAAAATGCATCACAACAAGCCCGTGGTATTGATCTGCACAAGATGGGCCGGCGAATCATGGTAGTGTACTCCGTCCTAGGGCAATAAATAATCCAGCCTGGTATAATCCAGCCTCCGAATTGCAACCCCCATCCACGGCAGAGAGCTGCTTGGCCATCACCGCGGCAATCGTCCGTCGTGATACACGCAAGGATGATGTATGTGCGCGTGGCGTGTGGCGAGAATCCCCAGCCAAACTTTCACGTCCCAAAGCGTGCGTGACCACCTCCTCGGCCCCCCTTCCCGGTCAGTAGTCGATGCTTTGTATCGGACTGGCGCGACCCGGGATTTCGACTTTTGAGGAGGAGTAGTCAAGGGGACGGTGGACGGTGCCATGGTGGTCTACTCTACTCGGGCGCTCTAGGAGAAGGCGGTCCAGGTCAACAATCTCCTCCATGGCCTTGCTGAAAAGGCCCGGGTGTCTGCAGACTGCGAGTGAGGTGCCCGAATGCCGAATGTGCAGTGTGCCTCTTGTCTCTTGTGTGGCTGCGGCGCGGCGCCTGAGTTGGCAGGTTGGCAGGCCAAGACCAGAGATAGACATCTTGGCTTGATGACGCCGCCATGACCTGCTCGCAAAGGCGAGGCCGCATATAACAAGGTGGCATGCACAGGGACAAGACATGGGCGATTCACTTTTCTTTCCAATCTGTGCGCTCCCTCCTGTGGTCGTCGAGGCCGTCTTGTTCGGGGGAGGGAGAGTCGATGACATTTGCTTGGGCAATTTGCAATTGTCCAGCCTCGTTCGAGCCCATGCGCCGGACAGCTGAGGTTTGTGGATTGTTGACAGGGGTAAACCTTGGCCGGCATGGAGCGAACGAGTGACATGGGCCACCTGCCACCGTCTCCCTACCAACGTAAGTATAAGTACTTACGTAGATGTTAGATAAGTATGTACTTCAAAGTGCTCCGTAGGCAAGTTAGTCTTTCCAAAAGTTTCATGCAAATCACCCATCCGCTCCACATACTTCCTATCTACCTAGGTACTTACCTTAAGTACCTAGGTAGATACCTCGGTCGTGCCTCAGCAATCACCCAGTTTTGGGAACGATTTATTCAGTACTTGGCGGAGCATGAGAAATTGAGATTCTTGCATGGCGGTTGACTGGCTTTGGAAGAGGCGCCCTGCCATTGTTGCACTTGTGCCGCCGCAGAAGGGTCAAGAATCACCACCACCACCCACCTATCCGTTCAAGCTGCTCAGGTACCTTTCAATGTTCCCCTCACGCAAACAGCACAGGCACGTGGCACCAGCAACCTTGACTTTCAGGTTTGCAGCTCGAATTTTGCAAACGTCGTAGCAAAAAGGCAATCGGTCATGTGCGTCCTAGATCGAACATCTCGACATGACTTCGAGTGGCTTGGCCACCCTAAACACCAGCGTTTGTACAAGGTTTTGACGTAGACTCATGTTGTCGCCGCCCCAAGGCAGCTATTGCCTTTGCATTGTTTTGCATAGTTCAGTCACGGAGTTGCGAGAAGCAGCCAAAGGGACCAGGTGATGTGGTTTATTGGGTCCTCGGTGGATAGCGGTAGAATGAACGTGCAGGAGAGAGCAGGGCAGATCCGGCAGGGTGCCGAGTAACCATCTGTCACCAAGCATTAGTCGGGCATGTGGTTTTCCATCAAGTAACAAACCTGGTCCTGCGTAGCAAGCAGCCCTTGAATGCCAACGCACGGTGCAAAGTTGGCGACACCGCCCTCGTCTTCGACTGAATCCTTTCGCTTGTCGGCCGACGTCCAACTTGCCTTGCGAAGAAGAAGGAATCTGACGGTAATATCAGTCAGGTTGCCGGTCATTCAATGCTGACATGCCGCCGGCGGCAGTCGAGCTGTGTATACATCTACTCTACTCTGTGGGTTTGGCGGTTCTTGTTGTCTGGTTTTATTATTGGACAAACATAGTAATGCCGTGAGTGGTCAAGGCAGGGCCATGACATCAATCAACCTCTGTAGGTGTGCTGCGTTATAACTTATGGGTGTGTTGCGGCAGACATGGGTATCCCAGATCGATGTCGGCAAGGGATGCCAAACTAGCCCATCCTCTGCTCGTTCTGTGAGGAGCCGAAAGGTACGCGAGGTTCGAGTATTGCCAGCACATCCGTCTGACATGCTGCCCGCTGTGCGTAAAAGTATGTCGGCAAGTCCGTTTGCGAATCTTTAGGAGAATAGCCGGCAGAAGATCGAAGACAAGGCACAACGCTCTCTGTCCCTTACTGCAAAGCGTTGTAGAGTTGTTTGATAAGGTCTCAGTTCTCGCGAGGGAGCATCTCGGCCGCCACGAGGCCCACGCCCCATTAGCTTGTAGTAAATTTAGAATAGTTTTGGGGATTTAAACTGGAAGATGAGAAGAGGGAACAAAACAGACCAGCCCTTTCCCGGTTTGAACACATCTCGCAGTCGGGCAGCCTTGCTGCGTGCGTGATTTCTTAAATCTGAATGAAGCCAGCCAGTCAGGCTCCTTTGACAGCCCCCATGCAAGACCCGCGACGGGGTTTGGCGAGAAGACCAAGGAACAGTGGTGAAGAGTCAAAGGCTTCAAGCAAGAACCAGACTAGCCTTGGACAGCAATTTTTTTTGAGACTCTTGGCCAGGTCTTAGACGAGCTGGCCAAGGGCCCCGCAGATTGGCATCTAATAAGGACCAGCAGCACAGAGTTGTTCAACATTGACCACGATGATGATGGCGATGACGATGGCGATGATGATGGCGATGATGGCGATGATGGTGATGATGGTAGTGACGGTGATGACGGTGATGATGATGATGATGATGATGATGATGATGATGATGGTGATGATGATGGCGATGGCGACGTCTACGGCTGGTCACACTTGCAATCTTGAAAGCTACAACCGGGTGACGACCTCGAAGATTCGAGGGCCAATGCGCACATGCATGCACCCTTCAGACTGCTATTGAAAAATCTCGCCATGGAGGGAACAAACCACACCATGGCCGCCATTGAGGATCCACTATCCCAAGTACCCGAGTCCGTACGGAGAATAAGGGCAACTAATTTATTACTTAACTACTCCAGTACGGAGTACGGAGCAGTTGGAAAGAGTATTTTCAGTTCTGTTTCCAAGGTTTAAGCTTCCAATGCTGCCTACTTGTACTTGGACGTACCAAGAACCTAAGTACCTACCTGGTAGCCCCATGCAGAGTACGTACTTATTTTTTCTCCTTCGCGACCAAAGCAACTCGACGCCTGCCAGCGTCTGGAATGGGAGAGAGACCGACGACTGACGACTGACTGGTGCCCGGAGTCATTGCCAGATTGCCAGATTGCGAGATTGCCGCGAAAGCCCAGAACACGTCGCGGGGCCGGCTTGAGTCTGGTGCCTCGATGTCAAGTTGCCCACCACGATTTGAGGGATGGTAGACAGACAAGGGAGGCATGGGCATCCTTGCCACAGACTTGCAAAGTCGACAGCCAAGGAGGCTCCCGCCTTCCCTGCAATCTTGCCACAAAGTACGGAGTACGTAGTACCAACTAGCACAACGCAGCCTTGGGATTGAGCCTCGTTGTTTTGCGTCGTCCATGATCGACTGCACCTCACACACACACAGCCTGGGCGGCTGGGTCGAGATACCGACGCACCGTCAATACTCAGGATACAACAAAATCGGCGCAGACAGCCACATTGCCTACATAGTCCACCCCGTAGATACTAGATAGGCAGGCAGGGAGCTACTACCTACTTATCAATTGATATACATATTCGTGTACAATAGCCAAAGTAACTTACCTATGTACCGAGTACGTACACACTTGGGTGACAGGGGTCTACGGTGGTCCGGCCGACCCTCTGCAGCGAGCGCTCGTGCGAAGCACTAAAAGTTCGTCCCAGAAGACAGACACGGACATTCTGGACGTCTTACTATCAATTGATCTGGGCATCGTGGCGACACAGCCCAGACGAGCCGATGAGGCGCCTGGCGGCCCACATGCTAGGGAGACACGGGCGGCGGACGACGCAATGAAAGGACATGTCCAACTCCCATTCGAGAACACGGCAGGAGGCCACACACATCCACGCCGAGCTGCCAGGATGTCTGAGAAGGCCAGGATCTCACGACTCCCCGAGTTGGTCCACCCGACGCCCAACCCAGAGCCGCTGCCGCCCTTTATCAGTCCCTGTTCCAAGTCAGGCTCGTGTGTCGTGTGTCGTTTTTTGGGTGAAGGCAGTGGCAGGTTGAGCATGCACACCCGTCATTTTGGCATTCGCTTCGGAGGACGGAAGTAGGGACGACGACGACGCCTTTGCCGCCGGACAAAGGCTTCACCAGCCTTCCCCATTCGAGAGGCCTCGGTTACACAGCATCCTTGGGTCGACAAGTGGCCGCCGTACCGAGTAATGCAGAAGACGTTTGGCTTGAAGACACAGCTTGCCGGAATGCACTAGTCGGTGCTTTTTTGCGCGGTTTTGCGCTGACAGGCATAGTTCGAGTCTAATAAGAGATCGTCGTCAGTCCCCCACGTTGCCAACAAAACCCAAAAATGGAGCCTCCAAATGTTGTGTATTAGCGTTTGGTATTGTTTCCAGGTTATTATTTCTGCCTCAAGAAGGTGAGGCGGCGAAGCGATATTAGCTGACACCTGCGAATGCACCATACTCGATGGTCTATGGCTACTGTCGTGAAGTTGTCACTATTGTTCTTTCGAGAAAGAAGAGCAGGAAGAGAAGAAGCCGGATTCGTCTAGATATATTGACTCATAATCCATTGGGCCCGGCACATCAATTTCGGTAGAGCCGTATGAAAAAGGATAGACAGGGCGAGGATGAGGATGCAGACAAAGGAATTGCGGGGAAAAGCCAAGGCGAAAAAGAAACGCAACACAAAATACAAAATGCAGAGGTGGAATGACCACCACCCGGCCAAAGAGAACAAACAACGGTGACTGTCAAACGACCAGCCTGTTCGATGCTGGAGCTTTGAGTGCCGACACGGGAACTGTGGATGCGGTATCGTGTTTCAATGTTCTCATCAGCTCGCCGACTTCACCTTGGTAGTAGATGGAGAAAAGAGACGGAGGGAGAGTCGTTGCGCCTCACCGGCTTGGCTTCTTGCCCTTTGCCTCACTATATGGTCACGCTTATTCGTGTCGACGGGACGGGGTCAACAGCCCAACGCTGTCTGTGTTGGCCAGTCGAAGGATCATCGCCGTCGGGCCTCCCCTGTATGGCCCGTATGCCACTCCGCCCTTCTACGTAGTGCTGGGCGTTTGTTCGCTCTCACCACCACCGCCGCCACTATCGCCGTCGCCGCCGCCGTCGCCGTCACCATCGCCATCACCATCCGCTCTGACAAGCTGCACAACAAGCCGAGTAAAGTAGTTAATGGGTAGATTTCCTCGGCGCATTATACGCAGACTGGCTCTTGTCAGGTGCTCGCGACTTGCTGTCCAGGCTTGCTGTTCTGGCGTCGTTTCAGCCAACCGCGTGGACAGGGCGCGGCGGAAGGGCACCAGCGTTTTGATGCACCACCCATTTCGAACGTCTCTAGCGCCACACCCTCCCGGCAACGACACACCCCCATGTGTCTGCCCTTTGCGAATCTACTCCGTACACACAGCAGTACTCCGTAGTCGCGGTGCTAGCACAAATACAAGCTAGCCCCTGTAAGTTTAACTTGGGTTAGCCATCATTGACCTGACAGGGAAGCGTGTGGGGTTGGTTTATTGGTTGGGGCCTCTTTGTTAACAAGATTTCTCTCTATTTTTATGAAAGATCGTTAACTATATCGGCAGGGTAGTCGTAACCCTTCTCGTGGCAGATTATCTTGAGAGGAGATTTTGGTCGAGAATCTACCTTGGCACTGAAGTGCTTGGACACGTCTCTACTCCTACACAAGTATTCTGTTTAATACTACGCACTAAGAAGTAAGAAGTAGGTAGGTACCTTTAAGTAAGTAAGTAGGCTGTTACCTGTCATTGGCTCTAGAAGCCCCCGCGCGCTGCCCGTCATGGCTACTTTAGACATCCAGGGGTTAGACTGTGCACACAATTAATGCAACAGGGACAGAGAGGCAGGTACTCCGTAACTACTAACCATGCGCACAATTCCACGGCACAGACCGTACCCAAGTATCGCATCGATCCCAGGCGCCCGTTCCTATTGGCAATTGGCGGTGCATAGCTCAGCGCGCTCCTCGTGGTTGCGGTACGGCGCGGTGCGCAGTATAATCTCAAGTGCGAACGATGGATCATGTCTGGTATTTGTATGTGGCCAGTTCAAGTACCGGAGCACGGAGCACTTGGGCGAGAATAGTCGAGTACATACATCTAAGCAAGTAGGTTGGTGCGAGTACTTGCGCAGTACGGAGCAGAGCACTGTATGTACATACTTCAGTTCATACTTCAATACGTGCTTGAATATTCAAGGCCCTCAGGTCGACTGGCCGCTCTGCACCACCCGCACCCGCACCCTGCCACTCGCGCACCGGGATCCCGCACTCGCATCCTCGCACCCCCCTCCCCCCCGCTTCTGCTGCGCAACACCTCCAGTGCTCCCTCGTCACTCGCTGCCTCTCTTCCTCCAGGTCCCGCCGGGTCGGTGGTTCTGGGGTCCTCGTCCTGGCCCGTCCACCGTCCGCCCTCTTCTTGAGCACCTGCTTGCTTGTTGTGGTCAGGCTGCTACTAGCTCCTCGCTCTCGCTCGAGCAGGCCTCTCGACGTCCCTCGTCCCTCTCTATCGTCGCACCAGCGCTTTGAGCCTTTCTCGCCCTGCGCTGCCCGCTTCTCCAATCCTCCTCCTACCGCCTTGCCCACACACAGCCTTCGAGGTTCGTGCTGGCGACGCCGCTCTTCTTTCTACACACACACACACACGCACACACACACATTCTCTCTCTCTCTCTCTCTCTCTCTCTCTCTCTCTCTCTCTCTCTCTGTGCGCTACTTTTCTTCTTCTTTCCGTCTGGCAGTACGTCGTCGAAGCCTGGCCATCGAATTGCGCGTTGCCCTACTCTTTCTTCCTTCTAATTTACGCCGTCTTTGTCGGGCTTAGCTTTGCCTAGACCCTCCGACACCCTCCAGAACATCGTCGTCGATTTCACCGCGGCCCACGGTTACCCTCGTCCACCTTCCACGACGTTCCGCTGGCTAACGGGGACCACCAGACGTGGTCCGCATACGACTGACCCGAGCTCAACGGACAATAATCTTTGGGTGCCTGTATTTGTTTGTGCTCGTGTTGCACAACGATTCAGCGCTGCCTGCGGAACTCTGCTCGGTACATGCTGAGCCATCTCATCCGCTACGAGCCATCATTTTACTTCTGGCTTGCGAGCGCCGCCACGATTCACCCTGCTCATCTTGTCACTGGGGATAGCAGTCGGATATCTTTCGACTCGCAGTCGACCGCCTTTTCCACGCTTTCTCTCCCGACAAGATCGCACCTTGGCCGTCGAGCTTTCTCTCGACTTGCAGCAAGACATCGGGACCGCAAGCCGTTTTCCCCTCGCGGCCCGTGAAACTCGGATCTCCCTGTCCCACGATACCCCACGCATGCCGGATATACTATTGTGTAATGGCATAGTTCTTTTCATTCTCGACTATATACCTTATCACATAGTCCTTAGCATTTGGTCTTGTTGCTAGGTGACCCTAGTATTCAAGCCAACCCAACCCAACGCTTTACTCATCTTGTCACCTCGGCGTGCCCCAACCAAGGGTTCTTCACTCAGCTTTCGTCCTCCAACTTCTGGAGTATCCGAACGCGCGACAACGAAGAGCTACTACCTACCCGATAACTGCTGTACTAGGCGTCGGTCTCGGTTTTCCAGCTAGAGCATATTCTCGGGGTCGTGCCGGACTGCAGTTTGAGCGGCCATGGCCGCCAACATGCAGCAAATGGCTGGGGCGGGCCAGATGATACCCCAGCAGCTGCGACGGCCGCCTGCCAACTCTCACCACATGCAGCAGATGGTGTATCAAAATCTCCTTCAACACTCACAACCCCCAAACGGGCTAACCTGGCAGGGGACCGTCAGCCTGAACGACCGTATGGGAAAGACCATGGACCTGTAGGTGCCCAGGTTTGACACTTCACTGGCTGCAAAATTATCTCATAGCCTACCGCTCAACAGGCAACTAACGTCTCTCTAGCATCTCAAATATTGCGCTAGGATATGGCATGGATCACCTGCGAGCCGCAGAAGTAGGCTGCAATTTTGAGCGAGATGTCTTTTCGAAATCACCTACCAAGGTTTGTGCACACAGGGCTACATACAGCTTGTTATTTCATGACCACGACTCGGGGCATCACAGCGACTAACACTCACGATACAGGAGGCATATGATCAGACTATGGCGAGTAAGACACTGGAGTTCTTCAAAAAGCGACAGGCCAACGAGCCCAATATCCAAAACAACCTCAACGCCAATGCACAAGCTCAAGTACAGGCACAGGCACAGGCACAGGCACAGGCCATGATGAATATGCAGGCAGCTCAGATGGGTCGCGGTATGAGCCAGGTCCAACAGGGTTTTCAACATCTCCAGCACCAGGTGCAGCCCGGACAGTTGCCTCAGCAGGCGCAACAACACCCTCAGCTTGCACAGCAACAGCAGTTGGGTATGGGCAGAGCCATGGGGCCGGCTCAGCAAGCCATGGCAATGCAGAGTCGGCAGCCACAGCAATTTCCCAACGATATGTCACGACTCGCCCAGTCAGATAGGGCCAAGGTTATGGACCTCGCGGCCAAGATGATGGCCCAGGCATCTGAACAGCAAAAGGCATCTACGCGTATGAGCTTGCAGCAGAGGTTGTCCCCTCAGCAGATGGCAGAGTTTCAGGCGCAAGGGAAGGACCCCTTGGTTTTGTTTTTCCAGAATCAGGCATTTCAGGTATTGAAGAGTAATATGAACCGCCTACAGGCGCAGCAGCAGGCTGGAGCGCAGAACCAGAATGGCGGACAGGCCGCGGCAGCAGTCATGATGCAGCAACAACACAGCCAGCAATCCTTTCAGCAGCGGCAGAATATGATGAACGCCGGGCAGCCTAATGATTTTTCGCAGTTCACCCCCAACATGGAGAGCATCAAGGATCAGCAGATGACCGGACTAATGGCCCAGCAGGCTGGCCAGATGGTCGTACCGGCCAGCTCGGGAGGTGCCCAACATGCCACCCCCCAGCCTGGCAACCCAAATATGCCGGGCGCTCAAGGACAGAATCAAGCCCCTCGCCAGGGCCAGCAGCAGCAACCCCCTCAGGGCGGCGTCAGCCTTCAACAGATGAAGATGAATCAGGCCGTCCAGCAGTCTCAAAATCAGCTGCAGCAGATGAAGATGCAGCAGCAGCAGAACCAGCAAAACGGCATGGCTGGTGGTATGCCTCCCTCCCAGAGCCCAGCGATGAACACTCTGAACACCCCGGTGTCTCGTCCTCCAGGCGGGATGAATCCCATGAGCGGTCAAGGCATTGGCCAAGGTAATGTTCCCTTCGGTGACCAGCGATTCAACCAAGGTACACAGAGACCCAACAACCAAGCGTTTAACAACATGCTGGCCAACATGTCTCCAGAACAGCGACAGGCACTTCAGGGTCTTCCGCACGACAAGCTCAACGAGATCCTCAGGAAATGGCAGAGCCAAAGACAGGAGCAGATGGCCATGAACGCTGGTCAAATGGGTCAGCAACATCGCCCACCATCGCAGTTTCCTGGACAAATGAACTTGAATATGGGTGCTGTCCAGGGAGCTCAGAACCTGCAGCAGCCTAATGGAGGCATGCCTGTCAATCAAGCGCAACAGGCACAACAACAAATGCAGATGCCACGGATCCCAATCCAAAATAACCAGACTCAAGCAATGATGGATACCATGGACCTCCCACCACACGTCCAGAATATCATCGGACAGCTGCCCATGGAGGTAAAGAAGTGGCGAGACTTGAAGATTTGGCTGAATCAGAACAGCCACGTGCCGTCAACGACCCGTACCCAGCTTAGTGTACTCCAACAGAGACAGTTTCAGGTTCTCATGCATCGACGAGCACAACAGCAAGCCGGCCAAAACCCCAACGTAAATGCCGCAATGATGCCGAACGCTGGAGGTCAGATGCCCAACCAACAACAAATGGGCATGCAGCGGCTAGTTGGGAATGTGCCTCCCCATCTCTCCCAGGTAACGCCACAGGAGCTCATGCAGGTACGAAATCAGCGACCGAATCTGAATCACATGTCTGACGAACAGTTGCAATCGATGGTTTTGCAATTAAAGAGGCAGGCCTTCTTCTCGCAGCAGCAGCAAGCGCAACAGATAAGAAATCAGCAAACACAAGTTCAGACCCCCAACCAGACACCGAACCAAGTACAGCAGCAGACTGGCGGTACACAAAACCGAATGGGTGTGGCGCCGGTGCCAGTGCAGCAAACACCACCGCATCCGAACCCGACCCGAACCCCTCAATCACAGACTCAACCCAGTCCTGCGACCTTGGCCCAAACTGCTTCTATACAGTCCGCCGGGCAGAGGCAGCAAGGCCAAGTGACGAATACTACCCAAGGACGGATTAACAACCAGTCTCAGCCCACATCCAAAAACCTCAAGCGACCCAGTACCGACGATGTCGCAGACACAACAACAACAACGTCAAACACCAGTACTCCCGCACCGACTCGGCCTATTTCACAGCCCAGCCAGCAAATGTCGAAGGGGATGCCGACGCTGACTCCCCAGCAGATTGCAGCACTCAGCCCTGAGCAACGGGCCAAATATGAGCAAATCATGAAGCTCCAGTTGACCGGGCAGGCCGCCCCCGACCTCATTGCCCGACTCCAGATCATTAGCCAAGAGGAGCTGCGCCAATTCAGCCAAGAATCCATGCCTGAAATCTCAATGACTGCGCAAGAACTTGGCGAAACAGGGGCCAAACTGCAGCGTATTGCTCAGGACGTGTACAGGGTTGGCCGCGGACTCACCAAGTGGTACTCAATCACCAGGGACGATGCCCGAGCAAAAATGTTTTTCAGAACTGTAAGTGGCCGAATTGATACCTTTCTGCTTGGCGTCATGGGGCAGGGTTGGCGAAACTATTTTGTTTCCGAACTTGTGCGCGGATAACTGACTTTGGCGGTGCATAGCGACTTCGCATTATGAAGCAATTCTCTGACGCCGAGGTGATGAAGAAGTTGAAGGACAAATTCAGCATCAGTTCTACAGAAGTTGACCAAGCTCGGGCCATTCTGGGAAGCATGGTCCAGGACCTGGCAGTCAACATGCAGAGCAGGGGGATGATGAAACCTGGTCCGCAAGCATCGCAAGGCCAGGGAGCTGGTCAGAGTCAGGGAGCGCAGCCGCAGCCACAGCAGCAGGCCCAGCAACAACGAAATCAACAGTCTCAACCAGCACCGTTGAACGCGGCCAATCTAGAGAAGAATTCGCAGGCACTCAAGAACCAGCAAAAGTCCGCCAGCAAGGGTGGTGCTTCGGTGCCTCCCGCCCCGACAGCTGCGCAACCTCCCTTCTCCTTTGGAGCTTCGTCACCGCATGGAAACCCCAGCTATATTGGCAAGCCCAAGGACATGAATCTTCACTTGCCATCCTCTCGCAAGAAGCAGAAAGTTTCTGGCCAGCAGCCGGGGCAGACGCCGCAAGGAGCGACTCCTTCACCAAAGACAGCCAAGAACGCCTCACCCGAAATGCGCCGCCAAGAGCCTCCCAAGCCCGTGTTTCTCTGCAGGGAGCCCGAATGCGAAATGGGGTCATTTGGCTTCCCTAGCGATCAGGCCTTGCAGCAACATGTCGAGGAGGAGCACACCAAGCCCAGGGAGGACCCCGTCAGGTTTGTCAAGGAAAATCTGGCGCTCGCTCTTGGCCTGGAACCTGACGGCAGCCCCAAGAAAAATCACAAGCCGGCTGATGGTGCAACCGCGACGAGCCTGTCAACATCGAAGCAAGGACAGACGCCCAAGAATGCTGCAGGAACGCCACTGCCCCAGGATAATGCCATGAAGAGGACGGGAAGCGCATTGAGCAAAAGTGTGGATGGCAAATCGAAACTGGATCCCGCAGGACCCAAGCAGTCCACCACGCCTGGCGTTTGGGACGACTGCACCATCGATCCTCAGGCGTTGCTTAACAACCTTGGCTTTGAGAACGGACTGCCCAACGTGGTCAGCGACGCTAACTTGTACCGCTCCCTGACGCCAAAGGACACGCCCGAGTCCAGCAAGGACAGCGGTTCGAGCGAGCCAAACAGTGACATTTCGGAGGGGGCGGCGCTGGAGATCGACATGACGTGGCAAGCAATCGACACGGACCTGCTCTTGGACCTTGACAATGCGTCTTTGGTGGGCGACTTGAGCAGCCTTGACCCGACGCTACTCTTGGATCCCCCTTCGAGACCGCCGCCAGACTGGGATAACATTGAAGTTGACTTTTCGAAACCGTTGCAGCTTGATATGAGCATGTACTCGATGAGCACGTGATGGTGTTGGCGATGCACGGACTAGTGATGTCGACGGTGAGACGGGGATTACACAATTGACCGAGATGATGTCAAGAAGCTGGCGGCACAGGAAAGCCCAAAGGCACCCGTGTCCTCACTCTCCCACGGGGACAAGGCGCGTGATTCAGCGGTTTCGTGCTTTGTGTTGATTTTTCTGTTTGGTCTGTTTTGAGTTTTCTACGTGGCCTCTTGCGGCTTGGGGCAGCCGCACTTGAGCTTTCAGGATATATACCCGACTGATGATGATAGCGACACGCATATGGATGTAGGCACTTTGGAGTGATTTGGCGACAAAAAGAAGTTTTTTTTTTCTCTCTTTCAAGCCTTTGAAAATTCTTGTTCTTATTTCTTGGGAAAAAGGGAAAGGGAATGAACAAGGGGTGGGGCGACTGGGTATCTCGGCAACAAAAGCTGTTGAAGCTTTTTGTTCAGGTGGCAACTGGCACCGGCGTTGGCAACTTTTGCGCGTCTTTTTTCTCCGAATTGGATCATCTATGTCGTTCCTGTTCCTGTCGGGCACGTGTAATGCATGCCAGGGACTTTTTTGAAACAAGACTTTGTGTTTTGTGTTGATTTTCAGTTTTCAAAATACTTGACTAGTTGTCATTGGGGAAGATGACACGGCAAATGTTGCGCTTTGAAGGGTCGAAGCGGCTGCGTTGCGACTACTTGTCACGTACATACATGTTAATTCCTTCTCCGACACAGCAGCGCCGGACAAGAATTGTCGTGAGCGAGTTTACGCAATGTGACAGGTCATGCCAACGCCGTGTCACGACTTTCCGTCCCGTCCCATGCCGTCCTGTCCCGTCCCGCGTCGGCCGTGTCTCGATGGCTGAGGTCCTCGAGGCAGAGTGAGATTTGCGGATGTGCCCTTTGTGATTTTTTATGTTTTGTCTTTACATGTTTTGCATAGGTTTAGCGCCGGGTCGGCCCGCGGGTCCGAATCCACACTACTGGTGAGTGAGTGAGTGAGCGGCTGGACCCCGCGAATCGGTTTCTCTTTTTTGCCTCTTTATTTTTTCCTCTTTCCCTGCTCGTGGTGTGAATTCGCGAAGCGGCGTCTTTTTTTATTCTTCCTTGTGTGTGTGTGTGTGCGCGGCAGTTGCACTAGATTTTTAGCCCTTCTCGGCCCGTGGCTCCTCTGCGCCGAGGGGAGTGGAGTACCTCGCTCACCTCGCTCACCTCGCTCCGCTCACCTGGCACGCCTGTCCTGTCTCGGAACAGGTTGTCTGGTGCGCACGGGTGTAGTACTTGCATGTGCGTGATGTGTTTGTTTTCCAGCGGCAGGTTGAGCTGTTTTTTTCCCTTTATATTTTCATCTGATTCTTGCCAACTTTCTTCTTTTGAAAAATATTATTTACGCTTATATTTTCTGCCCGGTTCGGGAGAGCGCGCCTCTTTGGGTTTGGCGTGCAGGGTGGTCGTTTTTATTCATCATTTATTTATTATTCTGGACTTGATATTTCTTACTTCATGCTTCGCACTCCCCCCTCGCCGTTTCGCGCTCGGAGCGTCGCCCCAGGGGCACGGCGTCCCAGCGGACGCGGCGCAGGTGGCGCGCCGGGTCCCTGACGTGGTTCCGGGCATGGAGCCACCTGAAGTTGTCGACGAGGATGACGGAGCCGCTCGGCAGATGGGCCGGCTCGAGGTGCAGCGTGGCGGGGGGCGGCCGGGCGGCGGCCCGCTCCAGCGCGGCGCTGAGCTCGTCGAGGGCCGATGCGGCCGAGGGCGTCTGCGGCGCGAGGATGTCTCGCCTGAAGCGCATGGCGGGCCGGCCGCGGTGCGTGGAGAGCAGGCTGCCCGTGATGCTGGCGGCGCCGCGGGGGTCCTTGACGAACTCGCGGGGGATGGCGACTTGGAACTCGTCCCGCCCGAGGGCTGCCCTCGTCGCCGGGGACAGCTGGCTGGCGAGCCGGGCGACGTTTGTGACGGAGAGCGTGCCGCCGCCGAGGTGGTCGTGGCGGAGGACGTGGAGGGCGAAGAGGCGCGGCGTGGGATCCTCGTAGCTGCAGTCTGTGTGCCACGGGAAGTCGGCCATCGTCTCGGACCGCGCTTGGTGGTCTCGCGTCTGGAAGCTGGACGTTGCTGGGCGGACGTCCCAGAACCAGCCGCGGCTGGCGCTGTGGGAGATGGGGAGCCGGTGGCCGTGGTGCTGGTGGAGGCTGACGATGAGGCGCTCGAGGTATGTGCTCTCGGGGTCCGGGAAGCCCAGCGTGATCTTGAGGATGCCCTGCTCTTCGAGGTGGCGGGCCACGAGGGCGACGTGGCTGCGTTGCCGCGCGAGGAGGAGATGGGGGGCCTGGAGATGGGGGACGGAGAATGACGGTGAGGACGAGGGCGTCGTGGATAGGGAGCGGGAGGGGAGGCCTGTGTGACCTGCTGCCCCGAGGCAAGACGTGATGGCTTCGTGATGGAGGCTGGGGCGGGAGCAAAGAGCAAGTCGGGCGACGTTGCGCACAGCTTGGTGATGCATCATGATGGATGAGAGAGCGGCAAGTACATCCGCCCCAACGTTCAGTGTACGAGTCTAACGTCTAATCAAGCAATCGTAAAGGATGGGAGAGAAGAAGAGATGGATGCCCGACGCGTCACTGTTGCAGAATGAAGAATGACGAACCGTCCGTCGTCTCGGGTCTATTATCAACTTCCCCCCCCTCGATGCTGCCGTCTCTTGATCCGGCCAGCGGCCACTGCCCTGCCTGATACTGAGACCGAAGAGAAAAATTTTTGACCGCTTCATAAAGTAGACGACTTCTCGTAACACAGGCTGACCCATGTGAAATCCACTCTCCGGCTCCTTTTCCGGCGTCGATGCATTTCCCACTCACACGAGGCGGTGCTAGTTGGTGCAGGAACAGACTGGGTTCCGGAGAGACCGTCGCCACAAAAAGAATGCATGTGCATGCAATAAAGACGAGAAAAGAACGCGCTATTGGTCGTGGTCTTACTCATGGCTATATGAAGCAGTCTTCAGCTCTTGCCTCTGCCGTCGCCGCCGCGGACGGCTACACGGTTCAGACCCTGCGAGTTTCGCCGCGAGTGACATCACAGGGCTCAAGCCAATCAAAGATTAACGTTGCAAGGAATATATATATGTGTATGTGGGTAGAGGACGAAGGAAAATCGACATCTCAAGGACTGCCACGGAGCACGTCAACGTGCTGTGCGGGTGAGTGAGTGTTTCGCAGATTGCCGACACCAGATAGATTGTCTTCTCCCGACGCAGTGCGACAGCAGCAACGTCGGCGTTGCCGACGCGTACCTGCTGCGTCTCTACCAAGCTGATCCGTACGTACGTACGATGCAGATGCAGCCCTTGTGGCTTGGGCCACATGACTGAGCCGCTGTAAAGAGCCGGTGTTATTTTGATTCGACATTCTTGACGATCTTGGCTCGGGGGCACGAGTCTCGCTTACACTAGTAATAATACGTCGCCCTTGTACCAGTAATAGTAACCTGTTTTAAGAAAAGTTTTATTAGAAACTTTGGGTGCTTTTCTACCTATCATGCTATTCATTTGGGGTAGGGGCTGTATCATGCAACGAAGTACTCACTGATTCATCAAGATGCAGGAAACGAAGCCGAGCAATCTCACGCCAACTACGGACTTCTCTGGTTCAATGCTGTCTGGCACTCGTAACCGAACACATCCAAGCGCCCCCGGTGCTAATGGCGCAGATACGATCGGGCCCGGTGCGCCACACGCCGAGACCGAGCAATTTTCCGTGGACGGCATGATATGTGCCCACCAGGGGGTGCCGGGCCTTGTCACCAGATGGCTTTAATACAACGTCGTATAGCCGGGGGTGGATGCGGCGCTGCACAACACAGGAGACGCCCGGGACGGGAAGGGAGGTCTGCAAGCGCTCGAGGGCGGCGACCCATTCGCCGGGGCTCAATTCATCGCCAAACACTATGCCGGCGCCCTTGCCGCCTCGCACCGGCTTGAGCAGATGGTGCCTTCTCAGCTCGGGGTCCTGCCTGCACAGGTCGAGAAGCGCGCTCATCTCCGCCGAGCCGGGGATCGCGGTATCCGCGATGCCCGCGTCGAGAACCCGAGCCTGGGCCGGGCTGAGGACGCGCCGCCTCACAAGACGGCCGAGCTCCTGCTTGACCACGCCCAGCATTCTCTTGTCGTGGACCAGCAACACCGTCCGCATGTCGTTGAAGCAGCGGAGGCTGATTTGGCGCAGCATCTCGGGCTCCAGGCGCGCCAGCTCGCGCTGGTGCAGTTCCAGTCCCAGCTGGTGAATCTCCTCGACGAGCTCGCCGGCCTCGGTGGTCCACGACACGGCCGCCGTCGTCTCGTCCGGACCGTTGCCAACGGCACAGCAAAGCTTGAGGCCAGAGCCGTCCGGCCCGGGCACTAACCTGAGGTCTGCCGGCGTCACGGGGCGCACCGTCAGCCCAGAGCGCCGCTGCATCACGTTGACAAACATGTGTATGTCCATTCCCGGCTCTTCGCCCCTGAGCAGATGCAACGGGATGCGCGGCTGGACCAGTTGCATCAGCCCGCCCAAGAGCTGCACATGAACATGCGTGCATTAGCATGATTGGCCACACAGCGTTGAAAGGAATCTATTCGGCAAGTGCCCGTACAAATGGCGTGGGCACAACCAGGCTTCGTAGAAGAAGAGGAAGAAGAAGAAAACTCACCTTTGCCGTGTCCGTCGCGCCAGCCAAGCCGTGCTGGCCGAGGCCCATCTCGTCGAGTGCCTCCTGGCCCAGAGCCTCATGCATGAAGCCGTTGAAGGAAAACCGGGCGTTGATCTCAGTTATGCAAAAGACCTCGCCTTCCCCGGCAGCGCCGTCCTTGACGAGAAAGTCTGGTCTCCACGACCCACGACACGATGAAAATGGCGCCATTCTGCCCCGGGAAACCTGGTCGTCCAGCCATCGCAGCATATCTTCCTCGTCCCTGGCGAGCGGCATGCGCTGGGGGAAATCTGCTTCCTTGTCGGACCACCATCTCTGCACAATGTCCGTGACGGCACTGGTCAGGGCCTCGTGAAGGGACTCTAGATGGCCCTGGTGCTGCTGGTTGACGAGAATGGGACTCGGACACATGGCTTTGTAGGAGCTCTTGGGCCACGCGTGCTGCGGGCACAGTCGTAGGAGATTATCCATGAGCTGGCTGTATTGCCTGTTTGCGCAGGCCGTCTCGTCGGCGGCCGCCACGGCAGAGCCCACGGGCTCGAAACCATTGCGGCCGAGCCCAATGTGCACTTGTTGAAGGGACATGGATGGTGTCACGGATGGAAATCATGCGAGTCTCCCTTCCCGTCGATTGTCCCTTGAGCCGTTGGCTGTGTGTATGTGAAAGCCACGACAGCCAGGACCAGGACCGGCCGGTCCCTTTGCTTTGAATGGCTTTTCTCTTTTATACCCACGGCTGGATTTCGCCGACACGGTCTCAAGGTACTCAAGAATCGTCATCATCATGGTATGTCAGGCAGCTGAGCTGGAGGCGTCGACATGGGGTTTTTTTTTTTAAATCCCTCCCTCGCCTCGCCCCTTGACCCCAGTCAATAAGACCTTTCTTGCACGACTCGCGAGTCTGTCCGGCGTGGGCTCCGCAGCAAACAACCCCTGCACACTTGTCAACATCGGCAGATCATTCGTCGTACTCGTGCAGGCCGCTGACTAGATTTTTCTCTCACATCGATGCCTAGCACTCTATGCTTGGCTTGGAAAAGGCACAGAGTAACTCATGGGCCATCTGATGTCCCTCCCCGTGCTAGCTAGCTGGTGAGCATTCTGTGGCCCGTTTGCATGGGCGACGACAAGTGCTGCAGGCGCACCGGTACACTTACTGCATATTGGATACGGAGTACATCTCAAACAATCCAGTCCGGACAGGGGAGAGATCCTCTTGGTCAAGTTCAGTCGTGCCTGCGGGTTGACGGGGTGCGGGAACCGCCATGCATCTGTTGCCCTCGAGTCTACGGAGTAATGCTCGAGGACAAATTGTCAACCGCCGTCTGAATAGGCGGCGGGTGTGTCCCTGTGTTCCCAAACAAGTATAGCGCAGAATACCACTTGCTTTTTTTTATGCCTGAGACATGGATCCATCATCCGCCGGGCAAAAAAGGAGAATGCAATTTGTAAAATTACTCGCTACCCTATATCATTGACAGCTGTCGCTACCACGACAGACTTTCGGTGGCTAGTAGCACAATTCCCATGATGAATCGAACAACTTTGCTCCGCGCCAGGCAAGACTCGTTGGATTTCATTTCCACTTTCATGTTTTTGCAATGTCGTGATAGTCTATGGCCTTGCCTCCCAACTCCTGTGATATGACATGAAATTTCTTCTGCATCCAATAGCTTCTTCCCCCTCCACGCCCACTGTTCATGGATCGATCCTGTCCCCGCAAATTGGCCTGCAAAAGTGATGGTAGATGTAACAATAATGCGCTTTCTATGCTGGCCCGTGCAATACAGCCCTTGTCCTCCTTTTCTACTGCCTATTCTTCAAAAGACTCTGCAGATACGACGAAAACCCTTTCTTGTCCGTAGATGTCGTCAATGATCGTAAAAACTCATCCCCATCAATGCCGAGGGTGGAAAACAGCCCGTTTTGCAACTCCTGGATAAACACATCCCCCGTCTTTGTATAAATTGTTTGTTCGAGCCCAGCAATCTCGGTCAGCACCTGCTTTGTCTGAGCATCTTGCGCCGGACGGAAGCTGGGATTGCGGATGACCTCCCAGCAAACAGAGTGGAATCGATCAATCATGAAGCGATCGAAACCCGGAATCGCTGGTGCAGGGCTTGTACCTGGCGCCATGGGGTTCTGCGAGATTGTGGCAACATCTGGTCCACCCCATATGGCCGAGATTCGTGCCATTAGAGTGAATGCCAGCCGGCTCGGACCAATGTTTCCATCCAGAGTCTTGGCCAACTCGGTTATAGACGAAATCATGGGCTCGAAGAAGCCCTGGTTCGCTTCACTAATGAGCACGCCGTCCAAGCCATTGTTCAGGATGATTTGCAAAAAGGACAGATACTCGCGTCTAAGCTCGGCGAGTTGTATTTCATCGTCGGTACCTGAAATGGGCTCGGACAGCCCCCCGAAAATCCGTTGCAATAACGGCGTGAGCAAGACGTTGAGAACATCATAGATCTCTGCCTTGAAACCAAACACCACCTGATCGAGCAAACGCAGGAACATGGCCATCTCGTCCTTTGATGAACTCTGCGACAGCAGCCCCTCGATCCACTGGGGAAGCTGTGGAAGGACGGCAGAGCCGAGGACCCCCAGGAGTTTTGAAAAGGCTGATCGGCAAGCGGTGCGAATTTCGGCGCACGAATTCAGTTGGTTGAGGGCAATCAAAATCGCCTCGGCGGCTCTGGAAAACTCGTCCGAAACAGCCTTGGCAGGCGGAGGGTGGTGGCTGGTCGCGGCGGATCCAGGACTCCAGTCCGAAAACCCATGCGCAAGCGTGCCGAGTGCCATTACAATATGATGCATCTGAAGAACAGCTTGTGCATCACCAGATTTAGCTCGCGGGAGATGCAACTCCATGTCTTGGAAGAGAGGATCCATGACCGATTTCGCATACATAGCCTGTTTGTCAGCAGGGGTGCTATGAGTTGACGAAATACAGCCGATTGCTTCAAAGAGATACAGCTGGCTATTGAACAAGGCGTCGGCAGAGTGGTCTGACTCGTCAGATGACATGTCATCATCGGCGTCGTCCCCAGGAACTTCCGCTTTGATAGGCAAAAGATCCCCGATAGAATGAATAACAGTCTCAGCCACGTTTCCAACCTGACTGCGTAGTTGCTTGATGAAGCGGTGAAAGAGGTACCACGATCGGGTCTTGATACGAACGTGATCGTGGTGGACCAATCGGACAAAATTCTCTAGAACTTGTGGAATATAGCCTGGGTAGCTTTCGAAGACGATACAATATCGGACACAAATTTCCATGTACTGCAGAAGAATCGCGGGATGAGAGAAGTTGGCAATGCCTTGAGAGTAAGATTAGAATGTGTTGAAGGTTTTAGCAAAGGAGAAAGGGGCATAAACCTACCAGATCCAACCATCTTTTGCATCATGACCCCGAGTCTTTCAGACGCTTCTGTGGATGGCTGATTTTTCGTACCCAAACCTTGGTTGGGCAATGCCAGCTCCCCGAACAAGTACATTTCATAGAGTGCTAGATCAAGGTCCCTCCAATCCATATCGGACCCGCGCTGGCCCAAAGTCTGAAACGTGCTGGCCACGAGGTTGCTGAGCATGTTCATATATAGCTGCTGGTCGATGGCAGCAATGGTCTTCTGCAAGTTTTGCAACTTTCTCCGCAGCTCCTGAAACTCTGCCTCGTCGGTTTGCTCGTCCTCATTTCCCCAATTCGAGGTCTCGTCGTATCGCATTTTCCGAATGATGGCATCCAAAATTGGAGCCAACATGCCAGAATAGTCAGGAGGTAGCTGAGCAAGCTTGCGAAGGAAGGTAAGAAGGTCCGTGAGCGCGGGAATGATGGTCGAACAAACTTCGTCGTATTCGTCGGAGAAGAGTCGGAGAAGGAATGGCAGGAAGCCATGAAGATGCTGCTTCGCTCTCTCTCTAGACTCGTTGCCAATCTGACTATCGTCGAGTGCCTTGACGATGTCTGACATGACTGTGTTGACAAGCTTCGCAACAGCCTCTGCGAGATCCGTATCGTACTTTGAAGTCCCCTTGTGAGCGCTCAAGGGAGCACTAGAAATGAGCTGACCGACAATGTCCTGAAGGTTAAGGAACGAAACTAGCTCCATCTTGTCGGCTGAACGCATTTTCTTGCCGCAAATCTCCGTCAACGTATCGATAGCTGCATCTCGAACCTTGTCCTCGCCTCCCCCACTCGTGCTGCGGCCGACAAGTGGCAAAAGCAGGTTGATCATATCTTGGCTGACGACGAGAGAGATATCCATCCAGCTGACCCACTTTCCAATCACTTTCAGCACCAACTCCATAACGGTATTATTGTCGCCATATTTGCTGAGAATTTGCTTCCAAGACTCGGCGACCTTGTGCACGTCGTGGGCTCTCAGCTGATCCTTGAGCTCGGTGTTTCTCTTGGCATCGTTGCTTTGGCGAGACAGTAACATATCGGCAATTTCGTCGTGAACTGAGGACAGAATTCTGAGGTAGAATAGAACGCCGCTCACGCTGTCTCGGTTAGTTGAGAGTCCTGTCAGCGCCCAAAAGTCATCGAGAAAGCTTTGCCACCCGTCCTGATAAAGGAAGACGAAGAGGTACGTCAATGTCTGCGTAAGCTTATTCTGAAGCGACACTGGGTCCGGCTCCTGCTGAGCATCAGGGCCATAGCTCTGACGGACGTATTGGAGAAGCGTGTATTTCAAGTACGACAAGCTTTCGGCATCGAGACCTTGTGTATGAACAGCGTAGTTCACGACCTCGAGACAGACCATCCGAACCACCTCGGACGATCGAGGAGCCCGGGAGAAGAGATTTGTGCACGCTTGCCAGCCTTGAGGGTCGGATCGTAGTTGATTGAGATATTCAAAGGCCTGCTCCTTGACTGACTGATCGGATACGGGGTTCGATAAAATTTCGACAGCTTGTTCGACCTGCAGGCTCCCCAAAAGAAGGGCATGGTCAGCACAAGGGATGGGGACCATGTCGGAGGCGTGTCAAGCCAGGTGGCGGGGCAGTCGGCCGTTGATGCAAAACATGACGATGCGGGTGGACATATCAGCTACCTACCTGCGTCTCCATGATGGCAGCAGAGCGCAATTCCTGCCCCTGGGGCCAGGAACGATGGAGAATCTCTTGTTTGGGGAAAAGAATGCTGCTATAACTCGGGCAGCCTTGCGCACACAACAAGCGGCATGCTTAGTAACTAGGAGTTTGACAGCAAAGGCTACCGTGGAGTCATCTAGATGGCTGCTAGCGGCTGATCCAGGACAGATGTAAAGCACTGCGATACGATCCGCAGACCAACGACGGATGTATCGCCAGACTCACCTCGCCAGAGCAACCAAACAGCCTTTAAGTCGAGGTGTGCGTCTTTATCTGCTGTGCCAAAAAGTTGGTGCAGATCTCGCGTGCTGATGTGGGGTACCAGACATTTTCCCGTTCAAGACCGGCGGAAGATGTTCGGCCAAATCTGGGTGTATGCAAAAACAGGGCCATTACTGTGCGCTCAGTGATGGTTGGCGTGCATCACACAGTGCGGAATGGCCAAAACACCATAATGCCTGACCCTTTTCATCTCTGCCAGCGGCTGCAAGCCTACAGCGTGGTCAGTCCTCGACAGCATCGTCGCCAAAAATACATATTTACAAGTACATCTCTTGCTGACTCTGTTCTTTGCGCAGAAGTGAGAGTCAATTTTTACGCGAGACTCGGGGAGGCTGCTGCTTTGCATAGTTTGGGTATGATGAAGTGCGCGTGCGCCCCGACCGCATCTCGTCCAACAATCCTACCCGAACAGAACAGAAGCGTTTCTCTTCGAACCTGGGTCGCCGCCGGTGAGTCATTTCGAAAAAAGAAAGACGATGTTGAAGAATCAATCGACGGCGTATGATCAGCTTGGCATAGCTCGACATCCCAAAGGGCCGTACTTCTAAAAGATTCAACCTCGAACAAAGCGACATCACAATACTGCGGTGATTGGCGCTTTTGCCTTCCGTCATTCGACGGCACAGTAAACGATGTCGTTGGTGCCCATCAATCGCACGCATCAGACTCAGCACAACCCACGCAACAGAGGCCCTTGGTTTGAGCCTGCGCATTCGGCGCGCAGAACGACGTACTGGATCCATCGGAACAGCAGAGTATTGTGGTGGTAACTGAAAAAGTTCACCAATTCGAGATAGCCGGCCCCGCGTCGGATGCGTTCGTTTCTGGGCCGCGCGACCGAGGAATGTTGAACCGGAATGCAGCCCAGTCACGATGCTGGGCCAAATAATGTGCGTGAAGCAAAGTTGGAATTTTGACGCGACCAGCAGCTTCCATTTGTTTATTCAGCTAAAGTATGCACTACTAATTCTTGGATCGTAGGATCAAAGTCACCAATGGTCGTAGACGTTGAGGATTGTCGTGTGATGCGAAAGCCCATGCTGCGGCTAGCTTGGGACACGTGAACCCGCGAACAAACTACGCATCCGAGGATAAGTTTGCATCCGAGTCGGGTAGGTAAATTCCTGGAAACTGGCTTTTGGCTGCGAACTCATGTTTCACTGGACAATGCTCCTGTGCGCCGGCGGCTGCGTGTCCTGCGACACAATTATTAAGTCAAATATCGCGCAACGGCTGGGAAATTAGTCGAGATGGAACACTTGCACATACGAGGTCGGACCACGACGCCGACCGGAGGACCGGTGGTTTTCGTTGACTCGTCTTCGGCCCAAATTTTAGCTTCATGGCAACAAGCTTTGTTGGCATTGTCACGTAACGTTGGAACCTGCCAAATGCTTATTTCCGTGCATCACATCTCTTGTGGCGTCTGCCGACAGACCGCGATCCGGTTATGGACGACAGGAACCTGAGCGTGGCCAAGGAGAGGATGGTTTTTGATATGTTCGTGGAGGCGATCCGGGCCAAAACGTCATCATGTCCGACAAAGAGGCATGCCACCAGCGTACAGACGGGTGGCAACCGACGTGACAAATAAAGCGCAGGGTCTTGTAACCGCGAAATATTGCTGTCGTCCTTGACCCCTTGCTGAGCAATGAATCGCGCCGCGGGTGAAGAATAGACGATGGCAGCACGACATTGTCGGTTTTTGAACATCTCTGATACAACCAGTAAGACAAGCACGACAAGTCGACAAATGAACTCATAGCCGGTGGTTCTGTTTCCTGTTGTTTCACGTCAAATGTCACGACATGTGTCTTGGTCACCGGATCGCCATCACGACGTGAGCAAGGGCATCTCTTCGAGTTTGGTGCCACGTAAGCGGCATGGACGGGTGAGCAGATGAGGTGCGCGCGGAGACGGGCTTTTGAGACAAGATGAAATTTCTGTCCTGTGCTTCGTGGGAATAGTCATGGGTTACTCGGGAGGCACGATTCATGGGGGGTGTTCTGACCCTCTGCCTGCCATGCAGGTCTCGTCAAATTTGCTCCGTAATACTGCGCTTGCCGGCCCTGGTCAATACGAGTGGCGCAAAGAACGAAGTAACAACTCGATGTTGACAGGTCTGTGCGATGCTTGAAGCTGCAGACATCCTAGGAGCAGGCCTGCTTATATTCGCGCAAGGCTCATGAGACGAACATGCTCTTTCGCAATGCAAGGCGACAAGCTTGGGGTAATAATATTGGGGAAACGGAGCTGTGGCTCCATCTGATCAATACGTGATACCATTGTACGTACGCCGTACGGCACGATTGATTACCCAAAAATAGGGTCTGGCTGGGCCCAAACCGTAATTGTATTACAGAGCTCGCATGTTATATGTTATCCTTGGACCGTGTATGGTCCACACTTCACACTTCACGCGATTTGAAGTTTGAAGTGGGCGGCGGGGGATGTACAGGGTACGGATTCCGGATTACAGAGCAAGGAGATCGGTCTGTTCCTGCATTAGCGCTGAAAGTGGGGGCACGAATTTCTCTGCTGCATGGAGGGAGGATGGAGGAGCAGGAACATGGAGTACGGAGTATGTACCCAGGTATCCTGACAGGTACCTAGGTACTTAAGTACCTAGGTACTTGGATACTACAATCTACCAGTGACAAGACGCGAGCAACCAGATGCCTCCTTCCTTCCCTGCCTTGCCCGCGTGCAAGCGCGCACATGGCATGGACAGTCACATGGAAGCACCACCACCTGCGATGCCCGCGTTTCTGGCACGGTCTTGTGTGATATGCCGACACACCACTTTATGAGCTTCACGTAGTATTTTGCTTGACATGGAGCGGCCGGCAATAGTTGAGCTCAAGTCTTTGATGAATCGATAAACGGCCAACTTCTTCTCTTCCACACCTGCGGGGCCCCATGTCGCTGCCCCTCACCGCCAGGAACAAAGGGTCTCGTGGACTTGAAGCCAACAGCGGGCCTGACTACATACAGTATTATTACCTTGGTGAGACCAGTTGTTGTCTCTTGGCCAAGCACGCTTAGGTCTTGCTTGGACAGCCCTAGACAACATCCAACACACAACTGTGAGGGAATCAAAGACAACAGATGAGACCTACAGCGGCCACAGCCGCCGAGAAAGAGAATGCAATCCTTGTGCGTAGCCGTAGGTAGCTGACCAAAAGCGGCCATTATACATCATGGGCTTTGGTCGGGACAGGTTTGTGTTCAAAATGTCCCTCTCCAATGTCTTTCATGCACACACGTACAAGCACATCACTATTGGTGTCACTTTCTAATTTCACCTCCAGTACTCCGTACTCCGTACGGAGGAGGATCATTCTCTGCTGGCACTATCAAGCACTGTTCAACACACGACTCACAGCAGTACGCCACGCCGTAAATACATGGTGTCTGAGGTCTGTGGGAGTGTTCCCTGCCGTAATGGCGGTCAGGCTGGCCCCGTTGCCTATGCCTCCGTTCATATGCAGTACTCCCTACCTTGTCCCCTTTTCCTTTCGACTCAATTTCCAGGCTCATTAGTGAAGAAGCACTGTTCAAAAATGGGTCTCAGTCACGCTCATGTCATAGGAAGCATCGAGTTGACACGGTACAGGAACAGACCCGGAGATGCAGCCGAGATTGGGTGAGACGTCTCTGAATTAGCCGTCAGTAATCGTTATGTACAGAACCATGGCTGAAGCGCAAGGAAGGTGTCCGTGGGCATCAGCGAGAGAACGTCGAAATCGGGCTTCCAGATGCAGATCTGACTACAGAGCAGCTTTGACTTGGAATTGCCCCGTTCTCCTGGCCTGCCATGGGATGCGGCGCCGGCATATCTGCTCTGGACGCCTTATAACTATCAGGATTGCGGGACGCGTCGAAGCTAGCTCTGGGCAGTTGACGACTCTTCTTTCCTGCTGACGGCGTGAGCTCGACTGGGATGTAACCAGGATTCGCAAGTGGTGATTGCGGTCGGAGGACCAGCATGGCATGGAAGCACGAATGCGCCTAACAGCGCCGGGGCTGGAAGGCGGAGCACCCGTAAGTTACTCCCTTGCCACGGACTGTTTACACATGAATGCAAGTGGAGAGGGGACGCGCTCCATATTTGCCTCCACCAAAGCTCCTGGAGACTGGCGCTGCGTAATTTCCCGCGGCAGGCCATATTCGCCGGTGAAGAATGAGACTTTGGGGGAGTTCAACCTGCGGCACGTACGGAGCACACCACGGAGTACGTACCAGGTATGATCAGCCTATGATGCTGCGCGACTCGGGACTGACTGGGCTGGACCGTGGCTCCGCGAGCGAGGAACCTCTGAACCAGGAGGTGACGTGAGCGGGCCTAGATCCAACTTGCCTGGGACGGGAAAACTGTTGGCTCCTTGTAAGTTACGTATTAATATCCTCCCATCCTCCATCCGGGCTCGCTGAAAGTTTTCCATTCTCTCTCAGCCCGAAAAGCTATTTCTACCAAAGCATCGCCTTTGACTCATCTTGACTCCGGTCGTCCATTCTTTCAACGCTCTACCAAGCTCTCACTCAGCTTTGAACTCGTCACTCTCGTTAATACCTATTTTCGTTCTTCACCAAGCAATCCGCCAAGATGCGTTTCACTGCCGCTGCTGCCCTGATGGCCGGGTCCGCCATCGCTGCCACCTCTACCGACTACACCACCACGTTGGTCACCATCACCGCTTGCCCCGAGAGCGTCACCAACTGCCCTGCTCGTTCAACTCAGATCCAGACATCGGTGCTTCCCTTGACCACCTCTACCGTCTACTCTACCAAGGTCTACACCATCACCTCGTGTGCTCCCGAGGTTACCAACTGCCCGGCTCACAGCACCGTCCTCTCCACCGCCACCGTCGCTGTCTCTACCACCGTCTGCCCCGTCGGTAAGGCTACGGGACTCCCTGCGCCTGGACCCTGGAACATCAGCACCAATGCCGTTCCTCTCAGCACCCAGGTTGTCCCTGTCCCGGTCGCCTCTGGCCCTGCCACCCAGGCTCCTCCTGCCGCCAACACAGAGTCTCCTGTGCAGCCCGAGGCGCCTGCTTGCCCGTCTCAATCGGTCACTGCCATCACCAAGAGCTACACCACCGTCCTGACCTCGGTTGAGTACTCTACCATTAATGTTCCATGCCCGACCGCCGCCGCTCCCCAGGGCACTGGCAAGGTCGTCCCCGTTCCCAGCAGCCCCCCCGCTGGCGGTAACGCTCCCGCCGGGGGCAACCAGACGTAAGTTCTCATGCCTCAATTCAGCTACATGGCATTGACAAAGGGCTAACACGACACGTAGCACTCCCAGTGGTAATAACAGCCCCCCTGTCGCCGCCGGTGCCGCTTCCTTTGCTGGATCTGCCACCTTTGCTGCCGTCGTCGGTATTGCCGCTTTCGTCCTTGCTTAAATTATTACTTTCGACTACATAGGTTGGAGCCTGGAGGCTTACGGCATTTTACGACGTACATTTCTGGATCCCGGCTGGACATGTTCAGAATGTAATTTAAATTCGCTGAAATATTAGCATATTTTTTTTACGGTAACAAAACGCTCGCAGGGACATTTCATGTATCTAATTTCTATAATCGAATTGGGTGGGCGTACGGGGAGAGCCATTCTCCAAGAGAGACCTCTTGACCTGAATGTCTTGCCATCTGAACTCTGCCCTGCTTTCCAGGATTTGCCTCTTGTGTGTGTGTGTGTGAGAGAGAGCCCCTGACTGCCCGCCGCCTAGGTCTGAAGCCCAAAGCAAAAAAAGGAGACCAACGAAACACAACGGCAGCGCCGTGTGGCGGCATGTTGAAACGCCCCTCACTGCAGAACAATAGCATGGATCGTCACGTTTTCTCCCCTTTGTCCGAGGGTCTCATTTCAGGTGTGTGCTCTAACGCCACGTCCGGCCCAGATCCCAGTCAAGCGGAGATTACCAAGACCGTCGTTGGCCTCAGGTCTCCCGCAGCAGAGGGCAGCCCGTTTTCCGATCCGCGCGCTTGTCCCGTTTGGGAGAACCCGGACAAGGGTGACGAGGAGACGAGGAGACGTCAATAACGTGGAGCCCAACTGTGAGCGGAAGGAGTAAGCGGCCTGTGCCGGTTGTCGCGCCCTGCGCCCCGCGTGTTTTTTGATGAAATTGCACGGCAATACGACGCGGCTGGTTATTATTGTTACTATTATTACTATTGCTGTCATGTTAATTTTCTGTTCTTCTTTTTGCTTTGCGCCAACGGGAACGAGGCGGGAAGTCGATTGGGGGGCTACTGGGCCTGTTTATGGTGGGGCCCTTGGGGCTGTGCGTCTCCTCCGCACGGATAAGTCCTCCTTGGTGATCAAGTCAATGTTTTGAGCCTGATCCATGACACTTGACGTTAATGCCGGGTGAGTAGCTGGACGACTTGATACGTCCGTGCTCCGTATGTCACTCGTCTTCGGAGTACTTCAGCAGGCATGATGTATATTGCGCGGGCGCGTGAATGAGCCCCGTCCGTTTTGGTGCTTGGTCCGGTGTACGTACCTACCTTAAGTACCTAGGTACGTACCCACGTACGCACTTGCTAGAGGTAGGTACACAAGTACGCAGGTTCGTAGCGCTTGCGCATTCGGCAAAGATGGCTATTTGTCGTCGGATAAACGTGCCCGTCTTTCTTACTTTTTCTTCTTTATTTTTATTTCTCACACCCCCTGGGTCTTGATTTCCTGTCCGCCTTCGTGTTTATTTTTAGTTTTTTGCCATTGTGCAGTGCTGCTGCCTGTTTGGCGTTGGTGCAGCCTTCGGTATTGGCAGGACTCGAATGGCGATGACGTGCCGGGTACTTGGGCGTCAGCCAGCGTGGGACGGTCCATCCGTCGGGTCGGGGGGTGACGTGCCGTCTGTGGGCACCCAGGTACTCCGTAGTCCGCGGATACCTGGATATAGTATGCGGAACGTTAATATCAGCTGATGGAAACGACGGGGTTTGTGGCTGGTGCATTAACAATTAATTTACTTGGTGCCCGAGAGAATAAATTGATTTTCTCAAAGCAGATTCATGCGACAGGTTGCAAAGAAAACAACAACAATGGTTCCCTGCGAAATAGCTGTTCGGATACGTATACCTACTCAAGTACCTACTTAAGTACCTACCTAGGTACTTAGGTACGTAACGAGGTTCGTACTTTATGCATGCATGCATGCACATACCTACCTACTTAAGTATTCTGTGGGTCGCTTGCGGTAGAGCAGGCGGCGGCTTTTATTTCCGTATTTTTGTCCCTCGAGTTACTCCGTACCGAGTACAGCATTCTGCCCGCGAGGGATTCGACACGCAGACAAACAACATTTGCCCCGTCTTCAGACTGACCCGTACAGGTTTGTGAGTCATGTCATGTTGTCCAGGAAGCGAGGCGTGGCGGTCCTGCTTCCTTGCCTCGTGCTTTGACCTCGCTGTTTCAGAGCCTTGCTTTTGCGGGCTGCCCTGCTTGCCACACCGCAGCTTGGCTGAGCGAGTCCTTTTGCTTGTCTTGCTTTCTTGCGCCATTGTCTGAGTGCCTTGCGCGGTACGTAGCTTGTCCTCGTAGTGGCCAACGTGATGCAGGGAGGCGGCCGTCTCGTGTGAGTCGTCGATATTGGGACATCGGTCACGCAGCTGCTGCATGTAGTACTTCTGTCGTAGGCCGTGGCCGAGTCGGACACGACTTGCTCGGTACGAATTCGTATCGTATCATGTATGATGTGGACGCGGACTGAACATTTGGTCCCGACATGTGAAATCCTCTCGCAAGACCGGATTCATGGATACCCAGACACAGCACCTACCTGGCAGTACGGCTACGGCCACAGCCAAGTCGGAAAAAATACTGGTCCTGTGCAAGGTAAACCAAGAAATGCAGGATCTATCCCTCGGGAGCTGAAGATCGTGCTGTGGTAACAAGGACTATGTAGGATTTGCTGAAAGCTAGAAAAATTATCTGCACAAATAGATAGGTCCTATTTGCCTTCCCAGTCTTTATTGTTTAGGTAGGCAAGGGCGATAAACGTAAAGGCTGTATAGTTGTTAACATCTAAGGTCTGAATAAGCTTTTAATTCTAGACGCATATCCCATACGTTAGCAGGATGAAGTCATCAGCAAAATCGCTCACGCTACACATATCACAGTAATAGATGCAATATCATTTTACTACCAGTGGCAACTTCACCTAGATTCCTGCTAGGCTTTTACTATTATTACACACAACAGCTAATTCACATTTAACGTGCCAATTATCAGGTACAAGGGATCTAGAGCTTACGTTCAACGGCGTATGGATAACATGCTCCGAGGTACAAGCGCGATTGCATATTGCGATGATGAAATATTTGCTGGGAAAATTCACAGAATTCGGTAGCGCGCGTGTCAAACTTGGCGTATCAAGACGACCTCGAACTGGGAAACACTCACTATGGGGTTGTGCCCTTCCGGGAGATGGCCATCTGGCCATCTTGTATGAGGCCACGACGTGATATGAACGGAATGGCCCGCGAGGGTGTAAGTCATGCTGAAGCCGACGAGTTTTGCGTTGCCTCTCTGGATCTCGAACATTGACAGCATCGTCAGGATTGCCACATGCCGAGTCCAGCCTTGTCAACATGCTTTTGCACAACGGACATTCGATGCAGAGCATGTAGAGGCCAACGCTGCCAGCAATGGAAGCGGTACGGGCCGGCGTTCTCCACGGATCCGTTCGCTTAAACTGTGCCATCGACTCGAGAATCTTTTTTTTGTCTTGACGCAAAATGCCCAGACGACACAGAATAGCATGTTCCGTTCTCGCGCCCATGCATCAGTCAACTCGCCTTGCTCCGACGGTGTTAACCGGCCCCCTTTCAGTAGCAACGAAACGAAGACGTGCTGAACGACGACCATGACACTAGTAGTTAGATGGCTGCCGTCACTGCATCGCCCAGGAACTTGAGAGACGTGCGAGCTTACCGGTGGTGGACTGGCGGAAGAATGCCGTCCGCAGCGGGATATACTGCACCAAGCTGAGGCGGCGCGCCCAGAGGCGAGAGCAGCCTTTGGTTGCTGCCAGGCGAGGCAGGTCTCTCCAGACATTCAGCCTCGCGGCAATGCAATCCCTTGTTTCGCACTCAAGTCATGGACACAAGATGCATCATGTATAAAGAGATGGGCGCCGCAGATCTTGTGGCCCTTCAGCTCGTGTTTGATCCTTTCAGGCGCTCCAGGCCCGCAGCAGAATACGGCATGACGCGTCGAGAGACTCGAGGCATTCTCGATGCCTGTGCGAATATTTCAGATTTTCCCAAGCACGCACAGCAGTAGCTGGCTCAGGAACGGGCTAAAATGTAAAAATGATGTACGTGTCTGCTTGTGCTTCCAGGAAACAATGCTTGACATGGATCACAACAGGACTCGCGCTCTTGAGGAGTACAAAATTGAGTACGCGGAACGGAGGAATCCTCCGTTGCATCTCCCATTCGTTCGGGGAGCCGAACCCACTTTTGACGGCGGGCCCGGGCTCGCTCCTCGCGCCTTCGGACTCGGCATTCCCACGTGGCATGGGGAGGGGTCAGAAAATGCCCAACACCAACGGCCCAGTTACATGGCCGAATTGTCTCGGCATTTTCTGACCCTCCCTCGGCAACCTGTCAGTCGCGCGCGCGCCCACTCGCCTCGCCTCGCGTCAGCAACTTGCCCATCGCTCGCGGCTCTTCTCGCCAGATACGACGACTGCCTGCTACAATTACCAGCCCCTGCGTGAGTCTGAGCTGCAGAGACGATGGATGGCCCTGCATTGACTGCTGATGTGGCTGGCTGCGGACACAGGCCAAGACGCCATCCTCCGCGACAATGCGGCACAGCCTCAGTGAGGCCAAGCTTACGGCTTCGAGGCCGAGCCGCGGGCGACGCGTCTCCCCAGTCCGGAGCGGCTCGAGTCCGTGCCAAGACCAGACAGCTACACGTTTGCCGTGACGGAGGTGTTTGGAAGACCAGCCAAGGAGGGAACTTGGGGCATTTTAGATGCCCGCGGCTCCGTGTATTTTAACCAGAGACGATGCTGCCTCCAGAGTCGAGTTTCCAGTCCGCGATGAAGCAAACCTTCTTGGTAATCTAGGACAAGCAGCAAAAACATCTCCGTCCATCAACGGACTTGCCTACGTCCCGGTGATTCAAGCTTAATTCCTCCGCTCGGTTGCCGCATCCTATCTCGCGCCCTTGTTCCCAGAGCTGAAGTTTTCATTTTTTTTATTTCTTTCTTTATTTTTCTGGTCATTTAGTCCTTTACATATATCATCTGATCCGTCAACTTCATCCTCCTCCACTCGAGGCATTCGGCGCCCACAACAAGCTCTACTCATTCACTCCCAACAAGTTCACGCTCTTCACCACAGGCACCGTTACACAGATCGGTCACCAGCAATGTCGAAGCAACTTCCTCCCGGCGTCGTGGCCTTTGGCCCCGACTCAAGCTGCACACTCGACAACTGTCCCATCGAATGGAGCATCTACGGCTTCCGGCCCTCGCTGGCCGCCAACGCCACCCTCCTAGGCCTGTTCATCTTACTCGGCCTTGTCCACGGATATCTCGGTGCCAGATGGAGAACCTGGGGCTACATGGCCGGCATGATCCTGGGGTGCGTGAGCGAAAGCATTGGCTACGTCGGCCGAATCATGCTCTACAACGACCCCTTCTCCTTTGTCGGCTTCATGATTCAAATCGGTGAGCAACGCACGCACGCACGCACGCGCCCGTCCGCTACACATGGACCAGACTAACCCGTCGTCGCAGTCTGCCTCACCATCGCACCCGTCTTCTTCACCGCGTCCATCTACGTGACGCTCTCCAAGACAATCACCTACTTCGCGCCCGACCTGTCCCGGTTCAACCCGCAGCTGTTCTACTGGATCTTCATCCCCTTTGACGTCGTCTGCCTCGTCCTCCAGGCCGCCGGCGGCGCCATGTCGACCAACTCGAGCGGCGACAATAGGCTCGGCGTCGACATCTCCATGGCCGGCCTGGCACTGCAGGTCATCGTCCTGACTGCCTTTGTCGCCTGCTTCCTCGACTACATGTCTCGGTACATGCGGTCCGGCCGCGCCAGAAGCTTCGGCTGGCGCCTCAACACCTTCTTCGTCGGCCTGGCCACGTCCATCCTCCTCATCCTTGGCCGGTGCGCGTTCCGCGTCGCCGAGTTGAAGGACGGCTACGACGGCAGCCTGATCCGCGAGGAAGTCCCGTTCATCGTTCTCGAGGGCGTCTTCATCGTCCTTGCCACCACGGCGCTGTGCTTCGGCCACCCCGGTCTGCTGTTTGATCGACGCGAGGCCAGGAAGGACTCGCACAGCGAGGAGAGCGGCACCAGCACCCCCGAGCGAAAGTGATGAGCTGTTTCGTTTCGGTGCGGACAAGCTTTTCAAACCAACGTCTTTCCTTGTGCTGCTAATTGCATTTCTTTCCCTTCGCCCTTTTTGAAAAGTGAGGGAGCTTTGTGTCGCACGGCACGGCATACCCTATGTTACCCATTAGGGATCATGGCCGCGTAAGCGCATGGCGTAAGCGCATGGAATTTGGCTAAATGCGCACACGAAGCGTGGAGCTGAGCGCCCTTATTTAAAGGGGCATACGATTCTCTCTTTTGTAGATCAATTCAAGGCTTTGACCCATCATCCCTTTGATATCTAGCTTGGTGCCCACGCTATCTATCGTGTGACACTTTGTTGGCCCGTTTATCAGTATACCGAGTTTAGGTTCAACTGCGCGTTTGAACATACCGTGATGGAGTGGTATATCTGCGTGGCTACGCCTTGATAGTGTAGACGAGATTTGGGCTAGATACCAGCAGAATGGGACGGGGATATGCAAGCATGACTGCTTAGAGGAGTAGTGGTTCACTTGTGCTTCTGCCCTTTGCTTTGCATACATGCGATTCTGAGCTCTGTGCCTTCTTCGCTAGATGATAGACGTGTTTGAGCCGTCCGCAGTCGGTGGTGACTCCGTGTGTACATTCTCGGCGTCCGGCGGCGGCGGCCCCGCAGCCGAGACGGGCCGGGATGGTTTGCACATCGACGGGCCGGCGGAGGACCGACTAGACTGCTCTTGGAGATGGAATTGAATGGCCCTTCTTCTTGCACTCAGCATCTGTCAGTGTGAAGCAGGACTGGCGGGTAACGTTACTCCGTATGCTTGAAAGAAGCCCTCCAGGCCATTGCCGCAGGATGAGACGCTGGTCACTGGTTGGCTCGGCTCGTTGCGGAGGAAGGAGCCGCCACGTTCTTGCCGGAAAAACCCCACACATACTGGGTGGTCCAATCACCACCCGGAAATGTACACCCGCAAGTTGACTTGCCAACTTGGGACGGACCTGCGACGTCGTCTTGCTTTCTCCAGCCTCGTTTCCCCTCTCCCGTCCATGTCTCTTCTCCCGTCCGTCTTGCCCAAAGCCTTGCTTCGTCGCTCTGTTGCTTCCTACGAACCGCGCGGGCTCCTGGTCAAGTCGTCTCGGGTCCCCTCGTCATACAGCTTCTCGACAGCTTCACCAAACATGGCCCCGCCCAAGGCTGCGCTTGACTTTGTTGATTTTGTCAATGATTCCCCGACCCGTAGGTTCTTCCCGCCACACACTCGACTCCGAGACTTTGGGGCTGCTTGAGGATGCCGGTAGGATTGAGGACCTGTCCGGCCATGGTTGTGGCAAGGCAACCGAGTAGCAAGCAGGCTTCGGCTGTCACTGGCGAGGCGTTGTCCGTTGCTAACTCCTGCTCCCAGCCTACCATGCCACCCAGTGCGCGGCCGAACGGTTCGAAAAGGCGGGCTTCAAACTGATCCGCGAGCGCGACTCGTGGAACTCTACCGTACAACCCGGCGGCAAGTACTACCTCACCCGCAATGGCTCGTCCATCGTGGCTTTCGCCGTCGGCCGCAAGTGGCGCCCTGGAAACCCAGTAGCCATTGTCAGTGCTCATACCGACTCTTGCTGCCTGCGCCTCAAGCCCGTTTCCAAGAAGAGTTGCGTCGGCTATCTTCAGGTCGGCGTCGAGGCATATGGTGGCGGCATGTGGCACTCGTGGTTCGACCGTGACTTGAGCATCGCTGGCCGAGTCCTCGTCCAGGAAGGCGACAGTTTCGTACAGAAGCTCGTCAAGATCGACAAGCCGTTGCTGCGCATCCCCACGCTGGCCATTCACCTCGAACGGCAATCCAACTTTGACCCCAACAAGGAGACTGAGCTGTTCCCCATTGCCGGTCTGGCCGAGGCCGAGCTAAACAAGAGCTTCGACGACGACGACGCCGCCCCCGCGCAGGCCGACAAGGGCGAGGAATTCAAGCCGCTCAAAGCCATGGCCGAGCGCCATCACCCTGCCGTTCTCGACGTCATCGCCAGTGAGCTCAAGGCCAAGGTCACCGACATTATCGACTTTGAGCTGGTTCTCTATGATACCCAGAAATCCTGCATCGGTGGCCTCAAGGACGAGCTCATCTTCTCTCCTCGCCTGGACAACCTGGGCATGACCTACTGCTCCGTCATGAGTCTCATTTCGTCTGTTCGCGACAACCGTTCCCTGGACGATGACTCGACGGTCCGCATGACGGCCTGCTTCGACCACGAAGAAATCGGCTCCCAGTCTGCGCAGGGCGCCCACTCCAACTTGCTGCCAGCCGTTGTCCGGCGTCTCTCCTTGCTGCCCAGCAGCCGAGACGGCTCGAGCGACGGCAGCTACGAGGCCGTGCACCACGAAGCCGAGGATGCCACGGCCTACGAGCAGACTCTGTCCCGGTCGTTCCTCGTTTCTGCCGACATGGCGCACGCCGTCCACCCCAACTACGCCGGCAAGTACGAGTCGTCGCACCAGCCGGCCATGAACAAGGGCACCGTGATCAAGATCAACGCGAACCAGCGGTACGCCACCAACTCGCCCGGCATCGTCCTGATCCAGGAGTGCGCCCGGCGAGCCGGCGTGCCCCTCCAGCTGTTTGTCGTGCGGAACGACTCCCCGTGCGGCAGCACCATCGGGCCCGGGCTGGCCACCAGACTGGGCATGCGGACCCTCGACCTGGGCAACCCCCAGCTGAGCATGCACAGCATCCGCGAGACGGGTGGCGCTGCCGACGTTGAGTTTGCAGTCAAGTTGTTTGAGGAGTTTTTTGGCAGCTACGGACGTCTGGAGCCCCAGATCCTCGTGGACTAGTTATTCAATAGCGTGGGGGGACAACGGCATGAGCGGGAGAGTTGGGGGTTGAGGTGGTCGAGGCGTACAGTCCTATAACGAGATGACGGATGGGACACAATTTCCCATGGCTCTCCGTGCAACAGAACAAGAACAACAACGACGACAACAAGACAAGACGACTTGTCCCGTCAGGCAATGCAATCGACGCCATGGTTTCGGTCAATTGTTTCTTGTTGAACCCCTGTTTCTCCCCCGCACGTCCCGCACGTGTCGCGGTAGGTAGGTAATACTACAACAGATGAACTCTGCAAACGCCAAAGTCAACGTCCCGTGCTGTCCCTGTACGCCGTACACCGTCCAATCAACCCAGCCCAGCTTGTCTGAAGCACGAAGCAGCTCGTCCAATGCAGTTTTGCCCCAAGCCAATAATGACACAACCAACAAGAATAAAAAGACACGTCCCCGTCCCCAGCAGCCAAAGTCAAAAGTCAGAGGCTCCCAAACCAATTGCACACACGCCTCTTGTGCTGTCCCCCGTCTGCGTCTGCGTCTGCGTCTGCGTCTGTCGTAGACGCGGCAACGCGGCAAAAATGCCCAAATGCCCAGGCGAGTCGAGCAGACCCCTCGACGCGTGTGCAAACACGAAACGGCGGCGCAACGTCCAGAGAGGAACGCTCACTCTCGCGACTGGCCGCCGGCGCCCTCGCACAGGGACACGGCGCCCCGGCCAGGAGAAGCGGCAGCGTGTCGGGGGGGCTGCGGCGACTGCAGGCGGACGGTTTTCCGGGGCAGCGGTTTCCGCTGGAGGTCGGCGAGCGGGACGGTCGTCTGACCCGTGCGGACCTTGTAGCTCGCGAGGCCGAGGCGGAGGCGCAGGATGGCCGCCTTCTAGAGGTGGCGCCGAGTCAGCGTTTTCACGTTGGGAGACAGAGGTCGGCAGCTACCTCTCTTGCCTGCTCGCGCGTCAGGGTGGCCCTCGGGCGGGGGGCCAGGAGGGCCGGCGCGTCGGACACGATGCCCGCGGCGACGTCGGGCTCGGTGGTGGCCGTGGCCCACGAGGAGTCGCCTTCGGCGGTGGAGGAGTCGAAGAGGGAGGGCGAGCCGGGCGAGCCGGGCGAGTTTGTCCTCGAGCGGCGCGTGTCCTGGGGCTGTGAGGTGTCAGCGGCGGCGGAGGGGGGCACGGGGGCACGTCGGTCGGGGATCGCGCGTCCGTACCTCTTGCGTACGCGGCTGCTTGGTGGCCGGGGACGTGGTGTCGCCGGCGGGCCGCTTGGTCGTGCAGGACGAGGAGAGGCTCTTCTTCAGAGGGGACGAGCCGCCGGTGAGGGGGATGACGGAGACGCTGCCGTCCTTGGGCATCTTGGGGGAGGGCAGGGACGGCTTCGCGTTGGCGTCGAGCGGTGCCAACGGGGCGCGGTGCTTTGCGGGAGAGCCGTTCATGGTGGTCGTGTCGGGCGTGTTGTCGTGTAAATGAGGCGTGTCGGGGCGGGAGGGCGCCGCTTCGCCTTGGCAGAGGAAGAGGAAGAGGAAGAGGAAGAGGAAGAGGAAGGATGAGGCCTCGTGCCACGGGGGAAGGGGGGCGCGGAGAGGAGAGAGAGGCAGGGACGGGTCAGGCGTGAGGGAGGAAGACGGGGACGCGGATGGTGCAGCTCTTTCTCGCGGAGCGTGATGTTGTATGTTATATCGGGCCTTGGGTGGGTGGGGAGGGAAAGCGTGCGTGTGTCTGGTCTGGTCTGGTCTGGTCTGGTGCATGCAATGTGCAGGGGGCCCACATGCCGCTGCCGTTGCCGCCGCCGTTGCCGCTGCCGCCGCCGCCGCCCGGGACCACAGCAGACAGCAGACAGCGGACAGCGGACAGCAGACACGTCTGGCAGTCGACGCGCGAACCACGGCCAAGCACGCTGGGGAATGGGGGGCCGCAGGCGGGCGGGAGCATTTTCAGGGTGCGCCACAGTCGTTTGGCATGCATGGGTTTGGCCCATTCTTTTTTCTTTCGAGCAAAAAAAATCAAAACAAGAAAGAACGAAAGAAGAAGACGGTAAATCTCAAAGAAATCGACAAAAAGAATGACTTTGCACGAGTTCTCAGAGTATTCTCTTTGGTTTCATGGTGCATGCTCCGTTGCTCGAGGCAGCAACGCGGTCCCTATCGAGTCTCGACCCGCCACGCGCGAGGCGGCCAGGTACGTACCTCCTCCCTGCATGTTTGTGCACGGACAAGCAAAAATGTCACGACCTCGACGTCACAGTCACGCCAGGAAAGCATGTGCCGAACCGGTATAGTTGTGCTGTATAGAAGAATGCCAAATGCCAAATGCCAAATGCCAAATGCCAAATGCCAAATGCCAAATGCAAATGCAAATGCAAAATGCCAAATGCAAATGAAAAACCCAAAACCCAAACCATGCTTCCCAATTATCCCACGGGGTATAAATGCCAAGCTTCCCATGCCCAAAACATGCCCGTGCCCCAACGACCACAAAATTCTGTACAGAGAAAGAACACATAAAGGTACAAGATTAAAAAAGGACAAGATGAGAAAAAAAAAAAGCAGCCGCCCCAAAAACAACCAATGGGAATGCCAGGTGCCAGGTGCCAGGTGCCAGGTGCCCGCTGCCCGCTGCCCGCTGCCCGCTGCCAGTGATGGGCCTCACTTTTTCTTGCCGTCCTTCCACTCACTCTGTGGGGGGAGAGTGAGTGGGAAGTTGGGAGGGGTCCGGGGGCCGGGCCGGGCGGCGCGCAGCTCTTGGTCGGACATGCTGTCGCCGTCCGCTTTTACAAAGGCCCTGAGAAGAGCCAGTCCGAGATCTTCTGGTTCTTCTTCTTCTGTGGCGGGCTGCTGAGGCTGTGGCTGCTGCTCCTGCTGTTGCTCCTGCTGTTGCCGTGGCTGTTGCTGTGGCTGTGGCTGCTGTGGCTGCTGCTCCTGCTGTTGCTGTGGCTGTTGCTGTTGCTGTGGCTGCTGTGGCTGCTGTGGCTGCTCCTGCTGCTGCTCCCGCTGCGGCTGCTTTGGCTGCTTTGGCTGCCGTGGTCGCCGTGGTCGCCGTGGTCGCTGCTGCTGCTGGTGCTGCTGCTGGCGCTGCTGCTGGCGCTGCCTTTGCTGCTCCAGGTGCCTAGCCCTGTCTGGCAGTGGCTGCGGAGGCTGCGGAGGCTGCAGTGGCTGCGGTGGCGGCGGCAGTTGCTGTGGTGGCAGCGGCAGTCGCTGTGGCTGGTGCATCTGACCCTGCTGCCACTGTTGCAGGCTCAGCTGCTGGTGCTGCTGTTGCTGCTGGTGCTGGGGCTGGTGCTGCTGTTGCCACTGCTGCTGATGCGGCTGCCACTGCTGCTGTTGCTGTTGCTGCCACTGCTGGTGCTGCTGGTGCTGCTGCTGTTGCCACTGCCACTGTTGCGGTTGTGGCTGCGGCTGTTGCGGCTGCGACGGCTGCGCCAGATAATAGTTGCCTGGCTGCTGCTGCGGCGGGACGTGGCAGTACTGCAGCTGCGGCGCCTGGTGGTAGAGCTGCTGCTGCTGCTGTTGGTGGTGGTGCTGTTGCTGCTGCTGCTGCTGCTGCCACTGCCACTGCTCGTGGTGCGGGGGCGGGGGCGGGGGCGGGTGCTGATGCAGCTGCTGCAGTTGCTGCTGCTGCAGATGATGCTGCTGGTGCTGGTGCGGGTGCGGGGGCGGGTGCGGCTCCTGATGCTGCCAGTGCAAGTGCAGTTGCTCTTGCTGCTGCAGCAGCACTGGCTGCTGCTGCTGGATGCCGACCCCGGCCCAGCCGCCCGGAACAACCCTCGGGACGGCCTGCATGTTCTGCGCCGGCTGTCCTTGGCCCTGGCCTTGGCCCTGCCCCTGGCCTTGCTGGCCCATCAAGGCCGCCTGGTGCGTGTACAAGTTGTTGTTCATCCTGCCACTCTTGTTTGTGTCAGAGGCGGTTCTTCACGAATTCAGCAACTGCCACGAGCGGCCTGCCGCGACATGCGAGAGACTCACTTACCACCAACAATCCCACTGATACGGGCGACTTGCGGTCCAGCAAGATCCAACAAGAAAGAAACGCTTGCGTTTCCCGTGCCGGCGACGCCTGTCCGTGTGAGAAGCTCGCTCCCACCGGGGCCGTCCACGCAAGAGACTTACCAAAGACGACCCGTCGACGTACGAGTCCCGTCAAGTGCAGTCGTGCGTGTAGTCGGCGTTCAGAACAAGTCTTTTGGAGCGACAGAAAAAGTCCTCACGGCAGAGCTGCAAGCAACGAGTTTGACAAGGAGGAAAGCTTTGACTCCAAGACTGCCGACAACTACAGCGTCGGCACTCGTATTTATAAACCTTGGCGTCTGGACGGTCTCGCGGCCACGACTTCTCGCACTGTCTGGCACGCCGGCGCCAATATGGCCAATCGGGCGATGGTGCAGGTTGGCCTTTGGCCCTATGTCCCGGAAATGTCTAGCCGCGGGCAGCTTCCGTCGCCGCCGGCACGTCTCTCCCGAGGAGACTCGGCACGCATCGAGCTGCCTGTGTTGTTGACACGTCAGGACTACATGTGCTAGCTTCGGCCGGGACCAAGTACGGAGTAGCTCGACGGGCATGTGGTCCATGGCCATTCGTACGTCTGCCAGATTTGGTAGCGACGACAATGCGTCGACGGCTTGGAGCGTAGAGGAGCTTAGACGACAGAATATCGGCCCAGACAGTCGCGGAATATGGGAGAATCAAAAGACAGACTAAAAAAGTGTCATGCCTGCGATTTCTGTCATGCTGGAGCGCAATCCTTAGGGCTGTGAGCAGCAAGGCGTCCATAGAGCTTAGAGCGTAGAGGAGCATAGACGATGAGATATCGGCCCAGACATTGTAGAATATGGGAGAATCAAAAGACAGACTAAAAAAGTGTCATGCCTGCGATTTCTGTCATGCTGAAGCGCAATCCTTAGGGCCGTGAGCAGCCAGGCGTCCATCGGGCTTGGAGCGTAGAGGAGCGTAGACGACGGAATATCGAATATCGGCCCAGACAGTCGCGCAATGCGTCGACGGCTTGGAGCGTAGAGGAGCTTAGACGACAGAATATCGGCCCAGACAGTCGCGGAATATGGGAGAATCAAAAGACAGACTAAAAAAGTGTCATGCCCGCGATTTCTGTCATGCTGGAGCGCAATCCTTAGGGCCGCAAGCAGCAAGGCGTCCATGGCTTGGAGCGTAGAGGAGCGTAGACAATGGGATATCGGCCCAGACAGCCGCAGAATACGGAAGAATCAAAGTTCCAACTAAAAAAGCGCCATGCTGGAGCGCAATCCTGAGGGCCGTCGGCGGAGACTAAAAGTTTTCGGAAAGTGAGGCTGGCATTGCCCGGTGCTGTCCCCGGCCCCTCGGCAGGGCGTCCCTTCAGACCATGTATCCTCCAACAGTGTCGTGCCCTCCTATATAAGCTTTTTCGCAAATCCATTCCCGCAGTTTCACTGAGTGGGATATCGACACTTGCCAAAAAATATTTTTCTTGTCCAGACACGGTGCTGGATTGTTTCATCGTCCGTCGAAGTCGTTGATGCCTTCCTCCATCATTCACGGAGACGACGTGCCCGGGTGTGTCAGCAAGCGCCAGCAAATCATATTGCGCCTCATCGCTCTTTTGGGCAAGAGCATTTCTTGATGCGTCCCCACAATTGCGGAGCCAGGCTTCCGAAATGGAAATTGACCACCACCCTAGCCAGTACGCAATGCGGAAACTCTCCGAGTTGTTATCGCCGGCACAACACCTTCACACCACTTTGGCGTCGTCCTCCGTCCTCTGTATACATGTACTAGTTATACGACAACAATGGTGATGACGTAGCGCCTCAGCCGGTCGAGCTTGTCCATCCTTCCTAAATAAAGTAACCACCATTACCCACACAGCGCCAGTCCCGCACACCCATGGCCTCTTCCAGCTCTACACACCACCACAAAACTTCCTTGGCCTTTTCTGGCTGTCCACTCTCTTCGTGCGCCCTCGCCAAGGCGAACCAGGCATCGGAATTGTCCCACCCAGTGCCCAGGCGGGTCAGCCCGGAAAGAAGAGTAAACGCACGCTCTCTCGCCGCAAGTCGATCTACCAGCGGCAGGTGCGCGGCTTTATACGACACAGGGAGTTGTTCATGCTCGCTTCTGGCAGCGGCCTTGCCCGGAGTCGGCGATGCGACACCGTCGTCCATGAATGGCCCGAGTCCAAGAGGCCATGACGGCAGAGTACCTGCAAATCTCTCGCGGAGCCCTTGGTTGCATGATTGAAATGGCCCCTTCTCACTCTGGGACAGCCCGTCTAGGGACGGCATATTCGGAGGGGGAAGCACCTTTTCGCTGTAAATGTCCAGCAGAACGTTGGACAAGCCCACGATAGCCGTGGCGTGGTCAGCTGAGTGTGTGAGGGCTACTTCGAAATCCGACTTGGCTTCGTACGGGAGACCCCTAGCAATGCCCAAGAGTCCGAGCTGAGCTTTCCGTCAGCGTGCTTGCTACACATGAGACGCCAAGGTGGTTGGTTGACTGAAACACATACCTCGGACCAAATGTCACCCCAAAGGTCATCGCTGCTCCTCATCTCACCCCAGCCGTCGCCTTTCGCTGCACCTGTGCTGGAAGGGTCCCTTGCAGCCTCAGACTCGATACCCACCAGTAGCTTCTGAGCCTCCAAAACTGCAGCCTTGCCATCGTCCAGCATGCCAGCGCGACGATAGAAGCCAGCAATGGTGAGCCAGATCTTGATCAGTAGAGAAATCTTCTGGCCTTTCTCCTCCATCTTGGAAAACTGTACGAGCGGAAGCACATTGGGAGAGGCGTGAGTAACGTCAACATTCAGTTCCGTGACGTCGGACGACTTGGATGTAGCTGACATGATGGAGTGCATAGACGACATAGGCTTGCCTCGGCTTGAGGATGGCGGCTGAACAGCAGACAGCTTATTCAAATTGAAAAAGTCAGGAGAGTCCACTTCTCCAGTTGGGGTAAAGAAAGTCTCCCCATCAACCATAGTAGGCTGGTGTATGGTTGCAGCAGCCGGTACAGGTCTAGTCCGGCTACCACTCCTGTCCCTCTTCTTCAGGCTATTCCTTCGTCGTGAGTTGCTTCCACGTCCAGGGCCGCTGCCGCCACGTCGTGAGCCATTGATGGTGTCCTTTTCGTCAAATCCTTGACTTGCCGGCGCCGCTGTGTGAGAGCTGTGAGATGTTGCAGGCCTCGAGGTAGCCACCGCCGACTTCTCTCCTACGGCACTGATGGTATGCTGCCTTGCCGGCGGACTCGATTTGTCCGCCTTTCCTCCTCCAAAGATGCTTCCGCGAATGCCTCGAATTGTGCCCGACGTTTCTGGCGGTAATGAGGGCGCCGGTAAGGCGACAGGCGATGCGGTCGAGGGCGAGCCAAAGAGGCGGGAAAATAGTGAGAGCAGTTCGTGACTGGCATTGACAGCTGCGTCCGGTCCCTCAACTACTTCTATAAGAGCCAGTTGCGTCATCTTGACCTCCAAAATGCTCTCCTTCTCTGAGCCGTCCATGTCATCAACAAGCCCCCGAACAGGGGTTTCGGCTGTTTTGTGAGCTCCAGGGTCTTTGAGGTGGTCGCTGTGTGCAGAAGACTTGCCAAAAAGAATTGTTGAGTCTTTAAATTGGTCCAACGCGCCTTCGCAAGCTCGGGCAGCCAAGGCATAGTCCTGTCTGGCACTCAACAATAAAGCTAGTAAATGCCACACAGGAATCAGAGTCCTTTCCTGCCAGTACGGCCCATGAAATAGACTGTAACTCTCCTCGTTGCCCTTGTTGCAGAGCAAAGCGGAGCGCACGAGCTCTATCGCAGCCGTGAGCTCGCGTCTCTCAGCAAGCAGAAGAGCAAGACTGAAGAAGCTCCTGATGTCTTTAGAACGACCAAACTCGGCGGCCAAGGACTTTCGAAGACAGCGTATAGCCTTGGACTGAATTTCGGTTATGGAGGCTGCTTCGTGAGTGATTCTGGCCCAGTGAGCATGAGACAACCCAATCGCCTGCCAGGCCAAGGCGACCACATTTGGTGCGACATGGGTCCGCCACTCGCTTCTTGGTTCAGTATCACCATTAGTAGGGGCCCCGTTTTCGGCAGATCTTGTGTGTGACATCTTGGACAGCTGGTCTTCAAGTTCAGCCCCAAGCTGGCGTGCCCTTTCTCCTGCGTTTCGGCGTCCGTAGCGGCATAGAGCGATGATAGCCTGCGCCATGGTTTCTAGCACGGCACCGTCATCATCCAGGCCCGCTTCCCTGTGTCCCGTCTTTTCCACTCGGGCCTTGGCCTTGTGCACAATCTCTAGATACGAGTCAAGCGCCTTGAAGGCAAGGTCGAATTCCGCCAAGGCCAGATGGACTCTAAACAGAGATCGAAGTATCGTGGTAGAATGGTACGTTCGTGTTGCAGCACTGTACAAGGTTTCAAGAACGTTACGACTCATCGCGGCTCGGCCGCCTTCACCCAGGTCTTGTTCTCGCCAACCCCGACCGCAAAGAATGGACCAATTCGTCATGACTCGCTTCACAAAGTCCTCAACTTCTTCCCGATCCTCGTCGGCCTTGGGAAACGTCGTTTCTGTCAGGATGAGAGCTCGGTAGGCGGCTTCTACTTTCTTCGTCTCCAGTCGAAGTTGGGCTCGGGCAGACGAATCGGCCGAAATCGTGTCGACAGGACCTCCTGCGTAGGATAAGTCGTTTTCTAGGATGCGAGATAGTGCCTCGTAATACTCGGCCCATATCCTTCGCCGAGGGACAGAGCCTTTGAAACCAAACCCGCCAGTAATGGGAGCTCCCATGACATCCCAGTACCTAGCCCAGGCCCGGAAGCTGGCGAGGGCGTCCGGGTCGTCAAGGTCTAGCTCTTCCTTCTCGACAGCCTGGCTAGACAGCATGCAATATTCTGTCAAGAACAATTCTGACCAGTACCGCAGCTGCTTCCTGACGCCATGACCACACCAAACTCCATTCAAGGACGGTGTCCCCGTCCTCAGCGCTGAGAGAGCTTCCGGCCCCTGGTCGTTCCGCATGAAGCAATTAGCTTTTAGATACGCAGACTTGAGGGCACTCAAGTTGGTCCATTCGGAAACCGTATCCATTCGTTCTTCCGAGATGCCTTCGGCTTCGAGGCTACCAGGGAGAATGGCCATGGCGTCGTTGTACTCTCCAACCACCCAGTGCAACCAGCCCATGCAGACCTTTGCCTGAAATCGATCTTCATGATGATGTTGTTCGTCGTCAATGGCGGCAGCTAATTTGGGAAACAGGGTGGGCACGTCGAGGTCTCGGGCTGTCTGGGCAGCAGAGGGTCGAGCACCGGCTAGCGTTGCTTGCGAGATGGCGCATTCGGTCTCGGCCGCCAATGCAAGACCTAAAAAGCAAGTTCAAGACGGCGGGTCAGCAGCTGAGCAGGCAAGTCTTCAGTTTCATTCTATACGGGCTGAGAAGGGACTCGAGACGTGCAACGTGCTGTTGTTGGTGACATCGACGGTGCTCACGACGTACATTGCCTCTCAGGAGCGTGCTTGCGAACTTTGCGTACCAGCTCCGGCACAGCATCCCAATTCCCCTCGCACCGGGCGCTGTTGAGCTGCTCGATGTAGTTTGCTGCTTTGGGCTAGATGGAAGCATCAATTGACGTCAGCTGTGTCTCGTCCGCAAGGTAGCCACGGTGTGTTGAAGTTCTCACATTCATGTTGCGATGCGGTCAGGGGCTTGATGACTATCAAAGGGCCAGCACCAACGGCATCGCGAAGGGTGGAGGAAGTCGAGGAAAGAGACGGTCAACGAACAGCGGCAGAGGCCTCATTCGCTTGAGGGGTACAAGAACAACGAACAACGCAGGACAGGACAGGACAGGACGGAGGCGAGAAGGCCCGTCGAAGGACAGGGTGTGCGCGAGGAGAAGTGAACAACAGATCCTTGGTCAAGGCGGGATGGCGAGGTGTGGAGGCGGCTTCACAAGCAAAGACGCTCTGGCTGTGGGCAGGCGCGACCTGGTCGGGCATGTGCAGGCACCCAGACCGTCTCCAGGTGCTTGCTTGCTTGCCGAGTGACGGTGGCCAGCCGGTTTTGGCTTGGTGACTACACCGTACTCCGTAGGCAACTTGATAACCTCGGACTTGGCTCGTGGAAGCGGAGAGTGGGTAGCTAGCAGGCGCAAGGCCAATCAGAAGCACATATTTGTGGATCCAGCGTCCCCACCCGCCAGGACCCCTTCAACAACGCCTGGGAACGGGGAATGAAAGAAAGAAAAGATTCGACTGACGGCTCTTGATTGACAAGCTGGCTGCTGGCTGGCGACACCCAAATTCGTTCGACTTGGCTGTTTGTCGACTCGGTGAGGACTACTTACTCCCAAGAGCTTGGGTTTGCCACTCCTGCGATAAGTCGTCTCTACTGCGGCTCGTTGTTTGCAGACCAAGACCACCACCACTCATGTCGTCGTCTCGTCCCGTCTCATCGCATGTCACACGTCAACTGACCAGATACTTGCCAAAGCCAGGCTGAATCCCGAGATTATACTTCCCCCGGTGCTTCGTCACGTAAAAGCCAACACCCGGCCAACAGGCATCACCCAGCGTCGACAATCAGCCATGGCTCCTTCGCCTTCCACCGATCTCCAGGTGCTCTGCAGAAAACTCGCGTCCATGCCACAGGACCAACTTCCACATGCCCTCCCACTGCTCACAAGACACGTCGTTCGCTGCAGAGACACGCTGGCTTCTCCACAGGAGCAGAAATCCAAGGGTGACGGCTCTCAAGGCGCGCTGCTTGTTCACAAGGTCAGGACCAGCGTCACCACCCTCCTCAAAGGACGGGACCGCGGCGCACGGTTTGCTGCCATTGGCCTCGTCAAGGCCATCGTTGATGTAGGGGGGTGGGAAATGCTCCGAGTTTCGGAACCCTGGGTTTCAGGGCTGCTGTCCATTGTTCAGGTAGTTAATCCATCATGCCGGAATCGCGCCCGGCTCATTGGGACTTATGGCTGACTTCACTTGCAGAGAGGCGACTCGTTTCCAACAAAGGAGTTGGCTGTCGTGACGCTAGCACGCATCTACGTATTGGTTCAGCCATATCAAACACTGGTTCGGGAGATTGCAACTCGCACTATTCCGACCTTCATCACGGCATGTCTGCAGCTCATCAAGCCCCAAAGTACGGCCCAAGTTGCATCTGCTCCTCTAGGCATCGTTGAGACGATCTGCGACGCCTTCTCAACCCTCATTCCTATATACGCCACCACTTTCCGCCCATTCAGCTCCCAAATACGCTCGGCCGTCAGAGTTTACTTGGCGCCGACGCTTTCAGATGGCTTACTTGTCCCCCAGTCTCTGCAGCGAGCTTCTCGAAAAGTCGTCATCTCACTTCACTGCGTGGCAGCCAAATCAGGTGGGGGCGAAGAATGGGCTAAACTTGTTGATAGCCTGCTTCGGGAGTTACATGCTACCGCCGATCGAGTTCTGCGGGCCGTCGATGAATCTTGGGAGGGCACCGCAGGATATAGCCGAAAACGGGTTGACCTTGACGGCGGACCAAGCGGAGGTGACAGTTCAGGCGATCAGCTGCCCCCATGGTCTGGGCTGAGCTCAGGGGCAGAGCGACTCTCGGGCACCTTTGCGTATCTGTCCGATTGTCTTCGATATCCCACAAAGACCCCCGTCGTTGTCCCTGTCGGTGCTCTTCTCGATGCCGTTTCAAGAGTCTGTCTCATCGCAAGGCTGTCGCCGAAAAGTCAAAGTTGGGACCAAGCCGTGGACGCAAACGCAGCCATTGGTCGAGAAGAGAAGGAAGAGCTCTGGAGCGTCATTCCGGATATCCACATATCAGCCCTAGGGCTGATATCCGTCATGTTGCAAAGGTTCCATCAAGGAATGGTTCCTCTTGTTCCCGAAGTGCTAGACCACCTAGTCCGAGTCTTCAAGTCCGGAGTATCGAACCCAGCCGTACGAACGGCTGGCTATGGGCTCTTGAATGGCGTCTTGTCTCTTACGGGACCGACAATGTCGAAAGCAACAGTGGGCGTTCTGGAGCCTCTTATCGCCGCCTGCTGTCGCGACTTGCAGGAGGATGCAGGAATCCTCAGGGCCATCCCCAAGGCGGACACGACTTCAAATAAGGACTGCAAGAAGACCGGCGTCGCCAATGCGGATCTGTTCCTGCAACCACAAGCCTCCGCCACCGACGAGATGCTGGTACAGCTGGATGCTGCCCACAAGAGTGCCGCTGACGAACTGCTGGCCGTTCTCTTGTCAAGCCTGCCCCAGCACCATCTGAAGCCCTCGCTCCGCGGCCTTGCCGACAAGACGGCCATCCTCACCCAAAACCGCGACGCCATGCTATCGAGCGTTCTCAACCCGCACAAGGACCAGCGCGGCCGCATGTACCCCAGCATCTTGCCCCATCTATCACACCTGTACCCACAGGATCAAGGCCTCGAGATTCTGCGCAGCAACCTCCGCACATCAGCCGCTCCAGGCAGCTTTGACCTTGTGGCATTAGTCACCGAGGTCCAGCAAGAAGAAGAGCAAGACGAGGACGACGAAGCAGCGGGCGACGGCGAGCCAACCAGCGAGGAGGCACGCGTGGCAGGCTCTCTCCGGGACATTCTCCGGTCCACTCTGCCCACGGTCGAGCTCTCTATGCAGGAGAACCCCTTCGAAGCCGGGGCCACAGAATTCGACGCATCGAGTGTACCAACTGAAGCAAGTCACGACTCGCCTGCCAAGCGCAAACTCCAAGATGCAGCCGCCGGGCCGTCGAAACGGCAGGATCTGCACAAACCTACCCCTGCAAAAGCGCCAGAGCCAGGTCCCGCCGGAGACCACAGCGACGACAGCGACAGCGACAGCGACAGCGATGTTAGCGTCCACTTGAACATGGAGCTAGACGGAGATGAAGAGGACGAAGAAGATGACTAGAACCACCGACACATCAACCACTGGCGTACAGAGCGGGCACGAAAATGTGTTTTGTTTACAAGTCGCCCGGTCACGGCCCGGAGTCCCAGGGACTCCCGATGTAAAAAAAAATAGTTAATCTAAAATCATGACACAAGACCGAAGCCCGTCGTATCTAGCTAACAACCCAAATCCAATCGTCTACACCCCAATTAGGAGGGTGGAAAGGGGGGCAAAGTCCCCCAACAGTCCATCCATATATTCAGACCAGACGTGCAAAAACACCCAACAATGCCAGCCAAGCCATGTCCAAACGCCCTTTTTTTTTTCCTCTCCGAAAAGGTCGCAAAAACCCCCCAAAGAACCCGGGTCACGGAACCGAGGAGCCAGCCAGTCAGTCCCTCAGCCAAGCACGCCTCTTTTCCTCCTTCCTCGCCCTCCGCTTCTCCTTGAACGCCTTCAGCTCGGACTTGGTGATGCGCTTGCTCGCCCTCTCTGCCTTTAAGCTACGCCCGTCGTCGACATTAGCGGCGGCGTCGACGTCGAAGAAGGCACTCATCTGCCGGCGGGACTTGGCCTCGTCCGTGTGGCGGCCCGGGCCTGCGTCCTCGTGCTGGAACTGGCCCGTGAAGCGGTTGAAGCCTGCCGTGGCCATGTAGCCGTCCTCCAGGCTCGGGACTTGAGGCGCGCCAGACGGCTCGTCGGGCTGGTTGTACTTTTGGGCGTACCACGCGTCGGGGTCGTAGTCGCCGTGGACGGCGGGGTTGTAGCCGCCCACGGGCGCCTGCTCGGCCGGCAGTTGGGGGGCGGCGGCGGCGGCGGCGGGATCCTGGTCCGCGGAGGACGGGGGGACGCGCGGGTTGTCCCATTGCGACTTGCCGGTGAAGCGGTTGTGGAAGAACCACGCCTGGGTGTTGGCGTCCCATTGGCAGTCCCAGCCGTCGTCGTCGTCGCCGCCGCCGCCGCCGCCGCCGCCGCCGCCCCAGGCGGCATGATGCTCCTGGGGGAGTGGCGGGCCTGCCGGACCTGCCGGGCCTTGCGCAGAGTCCTCGTCTATCTCGCCCTCTTCCTCGCCGTTGGAGCCGGCGTCCTCTGGGGCGTCCGGGTCAGGATGGGCCGGCGCGACGACGTCGCCCGAGACGCGGCCTGCGACGTCCTCCGCGACGGCTGGGCCGGCTGGGGGGGATCCTTTGGACCTGGGGTCCTCCGCGGCCGGGCGCTCTGGCGACGACGGGGCGCTCATGGATGCAGAACTTGCGGGGGACAGTCTATCCGGCCTGGGAATCTGTCTTGGACAATGGTGAGCATCCCGAAGAGCGAGCGCTTGTCATGATACATTATGGACCTGAGACTTAGCAAATCGGTTTCCGAGTGTTTCGAGAGGACTGCGCGTGTTGGGATCCCTCGGGTTACGAGTTACGATGCGCGGCGAGGCCAGTGGTGGTAGGTACGTTGTGAGGTTCCGACCGAGCAGCCACGGGCATCTCGATTGCTTACGGAATACGGAGTACGTACGTACTTTGCCGGCTACGGAAAAAGATGGGTCCGGCCAGACGTCATCACGGCGCTGAAGCTCATTGGAAGCGAGATGATCGGCCTGTTGCGGAGTACAAAATGATGCTGTGGAAAAAATAGGCGACACTCAGCAGCGACGTTCCGCAGCGACGCAAGCATGACTGATGTCAACGGAGCGGTGGCCGCCTGCGCGGCGATTGCAGCGCGTGAGTTGGATGCTCCCGTACGGACCGAGTACTCCGCAGATGTTGAGAATACTGAAAAAGGGTGACCCGTGCCGCATGCGTGCACCGTCCGGGTGTGACGAGCATAGATTTGACAAAAACGGTCCATAAAATGCGCATCGAGTAGTTTTACACTGCGCATCCAGAAAGGTCAGAAATGTGGCCTCCGTCTGATTGGCCGCCTTTTTCTCCGGACATCGCCGCCACAAATGCCCTGCCGACTTTTTGCAAGTGAACGTTTGGCAGCTTAGGGTGGCTGGAAACTGTTAGACTGTGGCTGCAAAATTGATGGGGGCGCCTTGCTAGATTTGGACTAGCTTTACATGCGCGATGATAATCTGACAGATGGGCGTTTAGCGCGCCCCCCCCCATTCTTCCAACAAAACAGGCACAAAACGCAACGCCTCTCCTCTCGCTGCGATCCCGGCTACGACATGCGTGCCACGCCTCAACTGCGCTCCGAAGACCTGGGAGCCCTGGGAGCCCTAGGAGCAAGCATCAAGACGAGGCGACGCACAACAGCACAATGCAGCGCCTCGCAGCCGTCGTCAGCATATTCTCGTCTCTTCTCACGCTCATCCACGCCGTCGAAATCGTGTCCGGCTCGTCGTGCGACTGCTTCCTCACCAACGGCACCCAAGCCACGTACTTCGCAAACCGAATCTTCTTCGACTTCCGCAAGCTCAACGACTACGCGGGCGTTCCCGGCGTCATCAGCAACGCCGACGACACGCCGAAGGCGCCGCCCACGAGCGACTACTTCAAGTCCACAAGCTGGACGGCAACATGGGCACTGCAGACCTGGACCAACTCCAGGGGCAACGGCGACGGGCTCAGGGGCGACGCGACGGTGCTCATGATCCACTCCCCCAACAACGTGTACATTGAAAAGAATGAAGACACGTCGGCCTCGTCGGCGGCCACGTTTCTGACCCTGCGGACGGCGCGACTTGCCGAGTTCCAGACGGCGGCCGAGTTCAAGAGCCGGACCGCAAACTACCACTACCTGTCGCTGCGCATGCTCGCCAGGACAGTCGGCTCGCCGGGAGCCGTGTCGGCCGTCTTTACGTACCGCGATGCCGAGAAGCTGGCGGACATTCAGGAGGCCGACATGGAGGTTCTCACGCGCGGGCCCGAGAACAAGGTGCAGTACACGAACCAGCCGGGATACACGGACAGGGGCAGCGACGTTGCCAACGCTACGAGAAATGCCACCCTGCCCCGTGGCCTGAAGTGGTCGGACTGGGCTGTATACCGGCTGGACTGGACGCCGACACGGAGCGTTTGGTACGTCGACGGCGAGGAGGTTGCCAACATTGCATTCCAGGTGCCGCGCGACCCGGCGTCCGTCAACATCAATTCGTGGGGGAACGGGGGCAGTTGGAGCGGGAACATGAGCGTCGGCACGGAGTCCAAGCTGCAGCTTCAGTGGATCGAGATGGTGTACAACACGACCGAGGACAATCGGCACCGGCAGTCGAAGCGCCACGAGGCTGGGGCTGGTCGAGGACGGCCTTGGGCACCGGCGCAGTTGCTGGCGCGAGACGGCAAAAGCACGCTCTGCGGTGCAGTGTGTAGCATCGACGAGGGCTCCCAGACAGGAGCCGTCGCCAAGCTCTGGGGCGTCAAGAACTCGTCTGTGAGGACGTCTGCGTCGTGGTGTTTTGTCGCCGTAGTGGCTGGGTTGTGCGCGGCGCTGGGCAGTCTTGCATGACGGCCCCTTGTACAACACCGTGGTGGTAGACACGTAGATGCGAAGATGCGAATCTGAATTTGCAGAGTACTCCGTGTAGACGGACCTGAAGCTCCATTAGCTCAGTCCCCGGCATGTGAGCATGTCAGTCTTGACGCAACTTGCCACGGCGACAAAGGCATGTCTTGGCCGGCCCCCACGATTCCTTGTCCTTGGTGAAGACGCGAGGGGGGAAGAAGAAGAAGGGCCGGCGAACAAGTCCTTTCCTGCGGGTGTGAATGGTCTCGCTGGCTCGGCATCTCAACCGGCTCTCCAGAACCAGCCAGGTCCGGCGACGCTCCCAACGTAGCACGACATGAGCACCATCCCGATTCCCGACTCCCGACCCGACTCTCTGGGCCCAACGGTTACGCCGTGTAACTCTGGGGCCCGGGCGCGCTCTCACGTCTCGGGCTCCCGACTTGCATCCGCCGCTTGGCAGTTCGAACCACGGCCGGGCCTTTTCAACCTCGACGATCAACCGTCCATGCAGCAGGCACGGTGACACAAGGAAGGGGAAGGGAAAGGGGAAAGGGAAGGGGAGGCCACAGCCCCGCGTGAACAACTGGGAGGGAATGGAATTAAGCATACCATACGGAGTACGAAGTACGTAGTACCGTGGTACGTACCTAGTAGTACGTAGTACGGAAAAGGCCCGCTATGGCTCACCATAGCATCTGGGGCCGGGCCAATTGCTGCAAATTTTTCACCGCACAATCACCGCACAAGACCTGGTGCAGAAGTGGAGTGATAAAAGTCAACCCCTCCCTCCCTGCACACCCCGCACAAACCCCCGCAACGGGGACCCATCCCGAGTGCAACGCCAAAAAAGAAGAAGAAGCAGAAGAGGGGAGAAGGAAAAAAAAAAAAAAAGAAAAGGCACGAGACCAAGACCCGCTTTCCCCAGCTTCGCGTCCGTCTTGTCTCCAGCACCCTAAATCCACCAAACCACTCGAGGTCAGCCCGTCGGTCATCACGCTGTCCTCGTGATCCGAGAAATTTCCCCGAGCCCACTCAGACCTGAGACATGCCACGCCTACCGCTCTCTCCGCATCGTCCTCGAAAAGGACAAGCAAGAAACAAACGAGGAAAGGCAAAGACGACTCAGTCGCGGGAACCGCCTGCGCAATAAAACGCAAAATAATATACAAGTGCTTGACAAATCGACCGGCCACGTCAGGATGCGCCTCCAGTTACATGACATTGGACCTGACCCGGCATAACCGAAATGACATGAGCCGACCACACTCGCTCCGCGTGTGAAAAACCACGTAGAATACTCATTCAAACACGCTAAAGGTGCTATGCTGTAAGCCAGACAAGACTAGATCATCGTAACCGTAACCGTAGAAATCGTTGTGAAAGAGAAAAAGCGCCCATGCTTTTTTTTGTTCGCCCACATTGGTTGAAAGTCATTCCCATCATGTTCCCCATGTTCCCCCAACGCCAATCAACAGCAAAAAGAAGTAGTATCACCCATCACTTTCGACGGTCCCGTAGCCCCTAGCCCGGTATTCTGTTTTATTGAGAAGCCTTTTTCAAAAACCAAGTGTTTTTTAGGGAGGGCGAACCGCTGGGTATCTTTGGTTAGAATCCGTCCCTCATGGTCAGAAAAGAGAAAAAAAAATCCGAAAATTGCCAGGGAGGAGCGCAGACATCACGCGATGAGGAACCGCTGGCGAAGTCGAGCACAACAACACACTTGGCCAAGCAAAAAAAGAAACAAAGGAAGGAAGAAACTTTTTATAAAAAGACAGGTACTTGTAATAGAATCGGCGCAGCCCAAAAAAAATAATAATAAAAAAAAAGAATAGGTCGAAGTCAAAACATTCGTTCCCAGGTGTAGGCAAATGCTCCTGTGTTTCAGCATCTGAATGTAGAGCAAAGGCTGCGTGTTTCCGCGCAGGTCGACATTGGTACCTACACGGTAGAACCTTGTACTCCGCATTGAGCATGCATCGGATACTTTGCTCTGTAGCGGAAGAAACGGCTGACTGCATAATATGTCGAGTGTTCGGCGTCTCAACTGGCTTTTTTTTGTGGTAACATGTACCAGACAACGCGTACTGTCCACGATGGACCGAACATGTCGCTCGCCAGGTGTTGAGCGCCTCGTGGGATATTGTTGACCGAAGCGAGTATCCTGTGGCTGTGAGAATCGCCGTGCAAGAATATTCCTAAGCCAGCTAGCAGTGGCATGGCTATACGCAGGGTCGTCGAGTATAGAGCAACTCATCCGTTGCGTGGGACTCAGGCCCCTCACCTCAGGCCGGCCTGGTCAAAAGGAAATTGCTGGCTGGGAAAGGCCATGCTGGCGCTCAGACCAAAAGGATCCCAGTCCATGTTCTGATGATCGAGCAGCTGGGTCATGGGTGGGAAGTGGTGGTTGGACAACGATGCCTGGTGACCTCCCTGCTCGTGGTGGGCAGGGCCTGTGGAAGTGGGAGAGAGCAGCATGGGCTGCGTCGTATCACTGTTGAATGCACTTGCAAAAGCACCGTGTCCGCCGGGCGTTTCAACTTCAGGATCTTCAACTATGTCTTCTCGATTGTCATAATCATGATCTGTGATGAGTCATGTCAGCTTGAAACTTGTTGCTTTTGGGCTTTTTTTTCTCTCTTTCGGTGAAAAGAGGAAAAACAAAAAACTTTTAGCGGGAATGTGTCAACTCACCAGATCGGAACGTCGGTGTAGCATAGAACGAGCCGCTCGTGCCAGAGACACTCCGGGGCGTGCTAACCTGAAGTACAGTGCTTCGAGACGGCTGCGTTGTGCCTGCGAGCGAAAGATGCTGGCGGGTGAGCCCCGAGATGGAGCCTCTCAGGGAAATGCTGTCTGATGGAGCGGGAGAAAAGGCCGATGAACCGTTGTTGGGAGAATTGGAGTGAGACGATGGCGCGGGACGGCTCTTTGGGGAGTTGTGAGGCTTGCGAGCCTGCATGGCGGCGGTGCCAACGGCGCCAGACCCTGGCTCCAGCTTCGGGGCGATGCAGGAGGCTGACTTGCGGCTATGGTGTTGTCGATTCATGATGGGCCTCTGAATTGGAGGCGGTTGCACTATGTTCTGGGGGACATGGGCCGGTCCGAGGTTGGGACTGTCGGCCTTGGCCTGCAGTTCGGCCTGGACATCGATGCCTGTTGAGACAACCTACGTTAACATGACGAATCGTCCACTTGGAGAGCCACGGCTGGAAGAAAATAATGACCTTTCTCGAGAAGAATTCGCTCGAGCAGCGAGTTCTTGTAGCGGAGCATCAAACATTCGTCGGCAGCATTGCGATGGGCGGACTGGAGGTTTTGCAGGTTGGATTCGTGAACGTGAATGGTTTCCTCGAGCTGCTTGATGTACTCGGTGCGGCGCTCACGGAAGGCGGCCTGTGCCTGCCGGTTTCGTTGCTTGCGCTCCTCCGATGTAGCGTATATCTGACGTCAGGACGTCAGCAAATGGTTACACAGAGTGGTGTTGAGTGCGGTGGCAAGCGAGTGAGGGCTACAGTAGAGAGAGAGAGAGAGACGACCTCGCAACACGGTCCAGCCGCAGTGCCGACAGCCCGAGGCGCCGTGGAGGAGACGAGAGAGTGCGGTTCTGGGGACGCAAGGCAGGCTGCAGGAGGTACCATCGTGACCAAGAAGAGAGAGAGGTTGGACAATCAAGGTTGAAATACAAGCAGCACGTGGTCATGGTGTAGCATTGTGTTGCGGGTGTCGGCGGTTGTGATGATGGCATGGCCTTCCGGGGGAGGGGCAAGTCTCGCTCGCTCCAGGACGTGGACTCACCGGTTTGCGTCCACCCTTGCGCTTGGGCTGCTGAGCGTCCTGGACGGCATTGTTGCTGCTGCCAGAAACAGCCGCCGGGGCGTTCTGCTCTCTCTCGGGGGTAGAATCAACAGAGTCGTCGGCGGACTCGTCGCGCGGGGGGTTGGGCTTGTTGTCGATGGACATCTCGTCGGCCATTCCTCAGGGTCGCGGCGCAGGGCCTCTAGGATGACAGCCGCGGTGCGGCAAGCGCCCCAATGTCGGGAGAACAAAACCGTGACGAGTGACGACAATGTGGTGCGAGGCGAAGCCGAACAAGGCCAAGTTTTGGCCAAGCCAAGGCAAGGCAGGACAGTCAGGATCCCAGTCACAATGCAGCGGGCGATGCGAGGAGCCGGGAAGCTGTACGTCGCGGGCAGGGCGCCGGGCGTCGCCGTGATGTCGGGCAAGATTCTGCTTGCTAGAGTGCGGCTTGGTGTAGCGCGGGCACCGAGACGGGGCAGAAGACCAGTTATGGAATGTCTGGTCAACGTACGAGAAATAAAACAACGCCGAGTACTCGGTGCTCGGTACTATCAGAGAGAGGGGGGGAGAGGGGAGGGGGGAGGGAGTTGGGAACAAGGCCAGTTGACCACCGAGGAAGTTGACCACACGGTCGAATGTCGACTCGCCGTCGACGGGATGTTGCCCCCCCCCCCGATGCCTAGATGAGGAAGCTGACGCCGCGTCTGTGGCGGCTACTGCTACTACCACGAATGGAGTCCGGCGGGCAGCACTTTGGGACTCGAGACGTGAGACTCGAGCACTCGAGGCTCTCGCTTCAAGATCAACCGGCCAGGCGGCGGCGTGGGAGACGAGAGGCGCAGACGACACGCAGCAGAAAAGGCCGGCCCCAGCACCGGACCGAGACGAAACGAGGCGAGACGCAATGGTTGGACGTGGTCCGGATGGATGCTGGATCAGCACCTATGATAACGGCAGCGATTTGGATGTCGAAGAGGACCGCAGGCAGGAAAGCGTCCTCGTCGGTTTTATGTAATGGATTGGCATTGGCATTGGCATTGGCATGGCATTGGCATCGGCATTGACGCTGCTCCGATTTTAAGTGAGGGCCGAGGAGGGGTGGTGCTGTCGCGCTGCGCCCGGGCGCTGGGTGCTGGGCGCTGGGTGCTGGACGCTGCGCGCCGCTGCCTGTAGTGTAGGCGTGCTTTCCGGCGGTGCTTTCTGGCGCTGAGCGGCGTCCGTCTGTAGCTGCTCGGCCAACTGCCAACTGGTCGTCTTCTCTCCGCCGCCAGGGCCGGTGCACTGTCAGACCTCGACCCCGTATTGACTGGAGCCGCTATTGCCTATTGCCAGCCTACGCCCACGAAGTATGGATCAAGATGGAGGTACGGCGTATTGTCTGGGTCGAGACGCTCGGCATTCTCGACATTGGCCCACCAGACCTCCTAAATAACATTGCTATTACCCGGGACCCCAAGTCTAGCTGCTGGTGGAGAGCCAGCCAGCCAGCGAGCCAGCCCATCCCATCCATCCATCCATCGCCATGATCCGATCAAGTCTGGTCCCTCTCCGCCCCCGGCCGACTACGCGTCCAACGCCACCCCCCCTCCAACAAGCGTCAAAATGGGTGCCAGTCGTTGGTGGAGCAAACTCGGCGGGCTTGATCTGATAGCTTTGCGCTGCCGACGTCGAACCACCACTCCAGGCCTGCACCCTCCCAGGGAAGATATGGGGACACCAGTCTTGGCTGCCAAAACAGTCAGTCCAGCACAAGTCCAGCGCAGGCCATTTCCGCGGAGACGTCGAATCTGCATATATTCGGCCAGGCTTTTGCGACTCCGACTCTTGCTGCGCAAGTGGGCGGCCTGATGCCCGCTCGCCGCCCGCCACCACTGACACTGACTCTGACACTGACTCTGACACTGACCATGACCAGTGCCACCTTCTGAGGAAAGCCAGTTGTGCGCAGGGCCCCGTGCCAAACCAGCAGTCGACATGCGAACAGGTCAACCGCATCAATGTTTCCCGTCCACGAGTCGCCCTATGGCCGTGTGACAGAGCAGGGCCGCCCGGGCACCTGGGTCTTCCACACCCCCTCGTCTCCCCTGCAGCCCTGCTCGCGTGCGTGGATCCCGTCCACCTCTCCCATCACACGCTCTGGCGGAGCGACGGGAACACTGGCCTGTAAAGCGCAATCCTGGCGACGGCTTCCTGGCGACTCCCCAGGGCAGCCCACCGGTGGCGTATTTGTTGTGCCAAGTACTCCGTACCGGCATACGTGGGCAAATCTTGGTCGATACTGGACTGGCGATGCAGGCTTCGGTACGGACCACAGCAACATTCCGAGCTACAGAGTTCTATTCTATCATCACCTGTGCTGAGTACTCCCTATGTAAGACTCATGGCCAGCTGAACGAAGCACAGGGCACGCTTTTCTTCCCCCTTCTTCCAGGCGACCAAACCCCCCCCCCCGTGGGCGCCTTTGCCCTCTCACCCCTGTCGAGTCGTGGGCCTCCGCCTCATTGGCGTTGATTGTAGACTCAGAGATCATGTACTCCGTACGAGTCGCCTTTTTCCTTTGGCACATCTCATCAATCTGCCTTGAGCACCTGTTCCCTGGTGTTGCTAGTGAAATTGGCCTCCGAAATGCCCCTGATGGCCCGGCAGGGCAGGGCTCAGCTCCTAACTTGACGTGGCCGTGAGCGAAGGTCCAGAAGAAGATGGCTTCTTCCAGTGGACCAAGGCTTGCTACCGAGTCTTTGCAAATGACATGCTGAGCTCAGGAACACATGATTTATTGCTGCAAATGAGCAGGTTTCCTGGAAGTACCTGTTCACTACCTCTGCATGCCAAGACATCCTCCTCCAGTTGTGGCCAGAATCAAATCGACCTTGACCGATAATACATAAGTTGGTGCTTAGAACACACAAGTCTGACGCGTTTTGGCGACGTTGATTTGTGTGCCCGTTTAGCTGGCCCTTGTTCAAGAAGACTTCTGTCCATCATCTCATGTACCGTCATCAACATGTTGGACTGCCCACTGGTTGCGGGTCGGTCGTCTTTCTTCGCAGCGCATAATCGCGCCCCCAAACGTGGAGAGGCGAATACGGATCGTGAATTCCACTCTTTCCGATGCGGGCGGATGAGTCGGTGTTAACAGGCTATCCGACTTGCCAAGCGACATGGGGAAGACTGGCTGTCCATGGTATGTTGTGGTTGTCATCTTCGTTGTGTCTCATACCCCAGGTTGGCCGATTGCTCCGTAGACCGTTCGCTGTCGCAGAGATGATGATATTACATACTAGTACATACTACTAGTACTGCTCTCTCATCCTTCGCCATCGGTGGGTGGTGTGGATCATTATTCGTCGGCTAACGTACGATGTCATATAGTACAGGGAACCTGTCGCAATGCCGTTGTTGCGCGCTTCGTTCGGCTCAATTTACACCGTGGTTGGAGTGTTGAGGCGCTGAGAAGGCGGGCGTCACGTTGTGACGGAAACATGAGGGAGACATGCAGTAGACTTGGTTGATGGTACGCAGTACGGTACGGCAAGTCGGGGTCAACAGCTCGGGGATCCAATCGACAAACACGCCAAATCACGCACCGATCGAGGGTTCCGGGCGCTGTCACCTTGTCCGAGCCCCGGAACCTGGTCTGGTGCTGGCGTGGATCATTCCGAGTGAGTCCAGGTGGCAGGAGCAATTTGGCCGGTGAACATAAATCAGCGCACATAGAAAAATTGCAGGCAGGATCAGTTTGCACATATGATGTATGGATAACCGCATCGAGACTGGCATCGGTTGTCTCGGTCCAGCACTGATAATTGTGAAAAAAAAAAGAAAAAGTGATGTACATGAGTTTAGACAAGCAACGCCACCTATTTCACATGGGCAGCAAGAGTCTCCAGAACCTAGCACGAGTTAGTATGCAGCTCAAGCGCCAACGCGGCAATGTTCTTTGTAAACAACGCACCTCCAGCTCAATCTTGGCCTCGGCGATATCCTGCTCGCTGCCGCTGCCGCTAGCAACCTTCTGGGCCTCGGCAATACCAGCTCGGATGGCCTCGGCGCTGAAGTCCTCCAGGGGGTAACCCTCGATGGCGTTGATGCTCATGGTAGAGTCGGGCTGGACGGTGGCGAACCCACCAGCGACTGCAATCCCTTGTTAGTTTCCGTCTTGACACCAGCCCACTCGCCATTCTCTCCGACCAGCGTGTACAAATACCGATGGATATCAGGGCACCACATACGGAAGAACTGCTTCGCACCACTGTTCTCTTCGACCACCTCGACAATACCAGGCTTGAGCTGCTCGATAGAAGGAACGTGGTTGGCCAAGACGCCCATTTCACCAGACGCGGCGGGGATGTTGACCTGAATCACGTCCTGGGATCGGTAGATGGACTGGAAGAGGGTTGCGTCAATTAGCGGTCTCTTCATCTTGGTCGCGCAGACGGGGACGCCAATGGAACAAGTTCAGGACACAATTGCGCATCGTGAATGTTCGCAATCGCCTCATTCTTCATCGGAAATCTCATACCTGGTGAGGCAGGGACAGCGACAGCTTGATCTGAAGAAAAGAATGTTAGTCAAGGCCGCATGGAGTTGGCGATACACTGAGGGGCCGCGAGGATTTCGTTTCTACCTTGTCAGGAACGGCCTCGGCGTACGTTCTCCGCTGGGCAACAGCCCGGAAGGCTGAAGGGCGAGCTCGAACAGCCGCACGGGCGAGGCGGAGGGAGTTCATGACGACTTGAGGGGGGAAGTTGATTGAGATGAAGCTTGAACGTGAGCTCGGATGAGGTCGTCAAACAACGATTCTTCACCAGGCCGTTCGGCTAGTGGGACAGTCCGACCAGCGCCATCACGTGAATATGCACGTGCTTTTTGAGCTCCATACGGACGTGATGTTGGTCACAAGCAACAGCGTGATGATGCATGATAGCACAGTGGCAAAACACCCCCAACTGGAAATGGAATGAAGTTTCTCAATGCGGTTTATGCGACGGCATTCTAGAGCAGTGTTGCAGACTGTTGGGAAGCGCGGGTCGTATGATGTCCACTTTCTAGCCTACCCTGCACCAAAATCGCGCTTCTCCGAGTCATCGACTATATCCCACATTCGCCCACACAACTTTTTGATTTTGCCGTCCTGGCACTTCAAAATGCGATGCGTTTGCCACAAGTAAATTACTTTGTTGCCACAGTCCCTCTCCGTCTCGTGGAAGCCATGTCTATTTACTGCCGTGGCATGACAAGTCTACCCAGTAAAGAAAATGGCAAGGACACACGAGTTCCGGGCGAGAGCTGATAGTCCGCCTCAGCACTTGACCCTTCACTCGAGACAAGACGTCGACCGGTAAAAGCCGTGCCTCAGCCCGGACGGAAAATATCGCGCGCTGCCTCGTTGCACTATGCTGGTTGGGATAGTCCGCAGCGGCATGGAGACCGAATGTGCTCCCAGGATACACGATCAAGTTTATCTCGTCGCCTCGGCCAGCCTGGCGAGACATTTGGGTGCATGGAAGTTGCGTCTCGACTCGTGAGACAACCGTCAACGCGCACCCGCTACATTGATGGGTGAAACAGACAGGCCCGCACGGCGTCTTGCCAGTTTCTGGCAGATAGTTGACGCTTGAGACCTAGACTTCCTTCCCTCCTGCTGCATCGACCGATTCGATCTATCAAGATGACCCGGTAGCCCACCACCTTCCGGCCAGGTCGTAGAGGCCAACATACCACTTACACATATCTATTTCAAGAGCGGTAGCCCGTGGCAAATAATGACTCGGGTCCGGTCGACGCTAATGGATTATTTGAATCCAACTCTGCGATTTGCCGCACAAAGAGCAACGCAAAACCAGACGAGTCTCAGAGCTTGTGTCAAGTATACAGGAAACATCAAGGCGATTCAACGCCGTCGTCTTGTATTACCTGGGCTGGCCATGCTTGAGAAAGCTGGCCTCGTCAGATCAGGGATCGCACTACCCCAAAAACTCGGGTAGCAGCAAACCATGACGTATTGCGTCACCCCATTATGAAGGCATGCCACAATCTGTCTGTATCCAGGGTCCTGCATCTATTACGTTGTCATTAACTGATGCTCCAACCGATGGGTGTCATTGTGGACCACCCGTTTGTTGGATGCACCCACCACAAGCAGTGAACGATGATGGCATTGCATTCCGAAGGATTTCTCCGCACGTTAACCCCTTACTCCGTACGCTAACAAGCTATCCGGAGTGGTCCGTCGGCTCCATTACTACTAGTCAGTTAGCAGTCTTACCAAGAAGAGCGACCTATCTTCCACGCAGGCATGTTGCGCGGAAACGCATCTAGGCCACGTCTGTGAGTTGCCTCGCGTTGGATATCAGGATCGTATCTTGATGATATGGATACGAACAGTTGCGATTGCAGCCGACTTTTGATCCTTTGGTTTCCATAGTACGGAGGATTTATACTAGAGTCAGCTCCGAAGCGTGCGTCATGTGGCGTGGCTACACGCAAGTTCCTTCGGACATGGGTGGGCAATAAACAGCATGCTGCTGCACATAATACATTCCTGCTCCATTGCTCCGCATGGCTCCATTCAGTCGTGCAGTCATGCAGTCGCGTGTGCGGCTTATCGATTTCCTGCAGGCTCGCCATTGCTCTGACCTTGTACAACCCTCTTTGTTTTGCTCTGCGGCTCTTGGTGTGCCCCTTCCTACTTTTCTTCACCGCCAGAATGAACTCAAGTCACCCTTGGCTCGAGAGCAGGAGGCCTGGTCGAAGGGGGCAGCTTTGCAATGCCGAGCTAGAGAAGTGACTCGTGGGGTTTTATGCAATCCTGGTTGCCAAGCTTCAAAAAACGACGCCACACACACACAAACCGAGCAGTCAAAGGCACCCCCACATGTCGGCTCTGTCACTGGTTGACTTGGAGGTGCGTCCCTCGTCGTCTTCAAGTTGTTGTTCGGAGCACGCCGACGTGGTATTTCCTCCTACGCGCTCAAGCCGCGAAGCAATAAAATCATCAACTTGAGGGATGCGGGGCAGGCAGCGATTAGCCCCTGGTCCCTCACATGTCAGTCAAGACGCAGCTAGGAAGCAAACACCGGTTTGGGTTCTCTTCTTTCTGATCAGCGAGCACGCCGTGGAAAACTTAAAAAAGAACAGGCCACGGCGTAGTGAGACGGGGGAGGCGTTGTTCAAGTGACCACGGCGAGATGGGATCGAGGTACCAGTCAATTCCTTGGTACATGGGCACGCGTTTCCTCGTGAACTCAGCTCCCACACTCTTGACTCGAAATCACAGGAGTGACGGGCGACCGTGTTGAATTGGCGACGGTCTATTGACCAGACACACACATCGAGTACGTAGATCCCACGGCGCAATAGGGGCATGAAGTACCATGTACATGCAGCTCCGGAAATTCGAGATTGAAACGAGCTACTCGGGGTATTCAAGGGTCGTATTGCATGCATGCAGATCCTGTACAGAAGATGGACCAGCTGCCTCGGTCGTGCAACAGACATGGAATAGGGTTCAAGTGTTGTCGGATTGCGACGACACGGGGCAGGTGCTTGCTGTTTTGATCCACGGGGTTTTGTCGTCATAAGACATGTAGCATCGTGACACGGCAGGCATTTTGTGCAATGGATGTAGCGATGAGAAGCCCGCGTGCCAACAGCCCGTGTTTGCTGTGTATACTACTAGTATGTTCAAACAGTCATGACCCAGCTCGGCGCCAAGTGCGGACTTTTGGCTCTCACCTCTCGCGTGTCTCAACCATTTCAAGATGCATTGACGATAGACAATCTGTTGGACCACCCATGACATGCAGATGGCTTGCAGCCGGAAGCACCGTCGTCAAAACCCGCGGGGACAGGCGTGTGTCGCTGGCGCAAATGGTTTGGTGCCCTCCCCTTTGCGGCATGTTGCACGCACGCAGTGCCCTTGTACGTATGCATTTGTATCACAGCATTGTCAATCTCGCAACGTGCAGATCAGCGCCACCTCACCAGAGACGGGCATTTCGGCAGAATCGTCACGTACATGTGCTGGGTGGTGGGACTTGCTGCTATTCCAGACAGCCAGACGCACAGTTCAGAAACTTCAGCCCATGTGTCATGTTTGGGAGCATGGTAGCGTCCTTGCAGGTGGCGCCTCCATTTTTCTCTGGCGCCTCCATTTGTCGGATATCCCTCATCAAAGAGTTTGTTTGTCCAAGCTATCTTCATCTACTAGCGCCCACTGGATCGAGTACGCGCAGGCTGTGGCGTCGAAAAGTCGAGTCGGCGGGCTTATGATTATTTCTGCGACGTGGCCTGGTTGATAATAAATGGCTCACTGACGCACCCTCCAGTACGGAGCAGCACTACGGAGTACTAGTGAGTGAGTGAGTGAGTGGGTGAGCGAGCAAGTACAACCGGGCGGGTTCCAGAACAACCTTGTGTGTCTGGCGAGACAAACCGTCAATTGTGCGCAGGCCATCGCCGTACGGCGGACCGAAATTCGACCTCAACAATGCGACGGTACAGGTCAACGGACGATCCTGAAAAAAAAAAAAAAGGGCTAAGCACTAGGCCACGCAACTAGTTGTCTGAGTAACGCACGGGAAGAATTTCAGTGAAAGAGACCTGGCCTGGCCGCCCAGGACAAGACAAATATGAAAGGGACGGGTAATAAGTTGCGCATTGACGCCCGCGTACAGGTCCACGTTGTCTGGGATGTTTTCCAGACGGAAATGGTGAGGCAAGGGGACGGCAAGCACACAGTGCGCCCTTGTCACGCCCACACGCCCCGGCCGCAGATGATGAACACCACTCAGTCAGGAATACGTAGTTAAATAGTAGCTGCCTGAGTACGGATGCCTACGGGGTACGGAGTACAGTAAGTTGTAGGGCCTGCTCAACCATGATGCCTGTCGACGGAAGCCTGTCAATTGGCCCAGTACAGTCTGGTCCCAACAAGGACGCTACTGTGGGCGCTGTACGGAGTACAGCTGTATGCACGCCGTATGTCACTGCGGCACAACTCGTTTTTCAGGTTCGCGGCAACAATAAAAGTTCCTGCTCAAATCCAAAGTAGGGCATTTATTTACCAATCGCCACCAGTGACTACCCTGCTCTTTTCCATCCGAGGCATTGCCGCCGAGAACATCTATATGTCCCTGTATTGTTTTTGGCGGCATCCCGGGCCTCCTTTCCAAGTTGTCCTTGACGCGTTCCAGGACAGCGGCGAACCAACATGGTCAGATACGCGGAATCCCCTACATTACTTGAGATCATACGAGACATAGCGTCACGTTGACACACACGCCGAGTACTCCATCGATCCGCACTGTCACACAGTACACACGTCACCCGTGTACTGTACGCTCACGGATGGCGAACCCTAAAATCCAGCTGTGCAGCAGCAACAACAATGGGCGACGCGAAGCAGAAACATACTCAAGTATGCAAAGGGCCTGTTTGTGGTTTGTGTGGTGGGCTTCGGCTTGGAGCCGAGGGTGGCTGACAGACATGCTCACGTGCAGGATGCAAAGGTGGACCGCAAGGCGACCGCCGCGTCCCACCATGTTTGGATGGCTGCGCCTGTCCGGTCGCGAATGCGTGAGGGGACAGTGGACACCCGGCTGTGAGGGCAGACGGGAAGGCCAAAGCACACTAGGCCAAGCAGCGCGGTATTCTTAGGAAGTATTTCGTATTTCGAAAAGGGGGGCCGTGGTCGGCGACGCGGGCATACCGTGCAAGGCACAGTGTCGACGCTTTCCCTCGTGGGTGCTGGGTGCTGATTCAAGGTTTTGCATGAGGGAGCCAGTGGCGCTGAACGTGTTGGAAGCAACATTGATGAACCGTCAAGTTCCGATGTGGTGTGTGCGTGGTTTGCCCCGAGATTCCCAAGGGAAGTCGCCACAGTCGCCCTTATCCGGAAGCCGGAAGACGGGCTGGCAGCATTCATCAATGTTATTGCCGCACCCATCAGTGCGTGACTACTGATCAGTACCGACCGAGACTTCCCAGCTCGCTCATGTCTGCCCGGCCTGCCTTTGCCCGCCTTTGACTCGTGAATGTTCCACGGAGCGCGGATGGCCCGCAAATTTGGGACTCCTGTGGTGATCTGGATCGGGCAAGACCTCTTGTTATTGTTACCAAGGTTGGCCTCTGACCAATTATTTCATAATGCGCCGTGCTTCGCTCGTAGAGCTCTGGCAACTGCCAACGGCCGAGCATCTGCCAAGAACGACCGGGCAAGGCCGTGTCGCATGTCAATCTCAGTGTGTCCAGTTGCGGTGTGCAGTTGTGTTCCGCGTGGTACTTGGCTCGTCGCCATGTTCGCCCTCTCTGCTGCCGTACTCCGTGCAATTCAAATCTCGGTCATGAGCCCGTCAGCCCCTCTCGTCCCCATTGCGATTAGCGCTGTCCGGGCAAGACAGGCCAGAGGCTGCAAGTGCTTGGGGCGGGTTAATAAATGTTGACGAGGCCAAAAAAGTCCTCTCGTCTTGCTCCACCGGCGAGTCGACCGCTGCTCCAATGTTTGGCCACCAAGCCCCAACCAAGCCCCAAGCCTCACTGCTGCACTTGACCGTGAGCCTGCCAGCAGCTCTGAGGAGCCGGGACCCCCCAAGCCATGTCCGGTCGTTCCTTCCGTCCTGGTCGCGGCGCCTGGGCTTTTTTCCCTTGCCCTCACGGCCCACCCATCAATTCATAATATAATCCGACTGCTCCAAGCACCCTCCTCTTCCCCTTCTCACATTCTGGTTATTGCTTGTTGGTACGTTGATCGTCCCGTCGCTTTCTGACATCTCGTCAGCTCTGCGTCCTGGCCGCGCCTTGCCCGTTGGGCATCTGCAGCCTGTGATTTTCTGCTCCATCAACGCTCTGCCTCGTCCAGATCGGCAGCGTCACAAGTGCTTTTCAGGCGACGTGCCTGTGGTCTCACGTTTATTTTGCCGCCGCCGGGTCCCGTGTAACACCAGCACTCCAACCAACTTGAGTCGACTGTGTCCAACGCTGCTGCTGCTGCTGCTGCCACGACGCCTGGGATTGCCGTCGACGGCCCTTTTCGTATATCCCTACCACGCCACCTTTCCGACAAACGTCATCTGGATCTGCCAAGCCTAGTACTACCACATCCTTCATCTCAACAAGGCGACGCCACTGGACTTTTGAGCCAAAGGAGTCGTCTTGTTCTTATTTTGTTTGAGAGGTCATCTTGCACCTCGCAACTGCGGCAAGAAACAAAGGACGTCGACTTGCATCGAACACCCACCCCTTTGGCGTTTAAATCACGTCGACGACATGCTTTGACTCTGACCATTTAGTCGTCTGGTTCCCCTCCTTGGAATATGTTTGCTCTCCGATTATAGCATCCGGGTCCGAAGGGCCACCACACTTTGCACCAAATACTCGCTCTTGACAGAGTGGAGGTCTGCACTGGCTTGTCGACTTCGTCTGCGCGACGCAACATTCTCACCAATTCAGACATCACACCATTCCTCGCGGCACATACTGCCTAATATCGACTCCTGGTGTGTCGATTTACACCTGGAGGTCCTCTGTCCTTAGCATCGCATCGCTCTCATAATACACTCCGGTTTAGTTCTCGGACCTCTCAGATCCGCCTGCTTAGATTTGCACTCAGGCTCGTCAACCCTCATACGCCCACCATGGATATCAAGTCTTCTGCCTCGCAGGTTCCTGCCTCGGTGTCTTTGACATCTGAGGAAGTTGAGGACGTTGACGAACCCCCGGAGCTGAACCAACAGTTCGAAAGAACCTGTATTCGACGTCCTCAGGACCAATCATCACTTCTTACCAAGGCCATCATGGCTGCGCCAGAGGAGGTACCATCACAACCTGCTCACTCTATTCTCCTCAGCAGCCAACGCCGACGATCTATGACCAGCAACATCAGCATTGCTTCGACTGCCGACCTCACCAGTGATACTGGTATGACGAGCCCCTGCCGCACCAACACTCCCAGTCCCCCAATCCCAGAGATGGCTGCTCTTCGATTGCACCAAGAATTCATGTCTGTGGACATAAAACAATTCCCCTCTGCCGGTCCTCAACATCCCAAGAAGCGATGTATTCAGTTCGCATGTGCTGCCAAACCACCCGTTGCTCTCGCTGAGCCCATGGTGAAGGCACTATCTGCAGAGAAGCCTCCTCGAAAACCATCGATCAAGTTTGCTTGCACTTCTGGGCCGGCGTCAACTCAGAACACACCTCCAAGGCAGACGTCTGATCCCGACGCACGACCCTCCCTGCCTACGAATCCCGAATCACCATCCACTCCTAAAAAGACGTCCGCTCTCCCCACCGCCATCCACCGCCTGTCAAACAAGACCACACTTGCTCGACCAAAGTTTCTCCGTGCCAACTCCAAGGACCTTGCAAAAGACAGCTCGCAGTTTCATGAATTTGCAAGTGGTACGTCTCGCGAGGAAGACTGGATTAGACAACCGTCGTCGACGGTAACAAGGCTCACCATCCATGACACATTGATGAAAGAAAACCATTTTCGGCGCCTTGGAGTCGAAGCTGAAGAGGAGGCAGAATTGGAAGAAGCGGAAGACGAGGACGATGCTGAGATTGAGGACGACTACGAAGATGGTGACGACGATTTTGAAGAGAATTCTGATGGCTATCACACTGATTCCGAAACTGGCTTTGCTGATTCTGATGAAGAAGATGAGGAAGAGGACGAGAACATGATCCTCTGGACACCCAGTCATGCTACTACCCGTCACATCAAGCTCGTGGCTCCTCTACGACGACCGGAGGTGAATGAGCCTCAGTCTGATTCTTCTGTCCCCAGTGATGACAGCCGATCAAGCATTCGTCGCGCCAAGCCTCGACGGATCAAGGCCGAGTCCGACGCACCAGATCTACCAGACAGCACCGATTTTGTCTGTGGTACGCTTGATGAGGACAGGCCTCTGGAAGAAGCGTATCTGTGTTGCTTGGCAGCTCGCCGGAACGAGAAATTACGGGTTATACCGCAAGACATCGACCCCAGCTTTCCAGCATCAGACCCTGACGAGGAGGAGGAGGATGAGATCTTCAACCCTGTTCATCATGACAGCGATGAAGGTGTCTGGGTTCAAGGCAGGATGGAGGATATCCACCATGGCCAGGATCGCTCTCGAAGAAGAAGAAGGAGCGAACAGCCATCGCCTCGCAAGTATCACTCTCCGCCGCCAAGATGGCACCATTCTCCTGCTCCCAAGAATCGGGGTCGGTCTCCCAAGCCATTATTTAGGCGTCATTCTCCCAAGAGAATACGCTCTCCAGCACCGAAGGTGAACACCCCGTCGCAGACTCCACGACAGGGCCCTCACGTTCAGTTCCACCTGGCCGGTCGACCAGGCATGACACAGACAAAGTCTCTGCCTCGAGCTCCCGCACTGTTTCGATCCATGAAGAGCAGTAAGACAGCCAAACACCAGCATCACCACGATTCCGACTGCCACCTCCGAGGTGCCATTGACATCGTCAAGGGTCTGGAACGCAAGCGCCAACGCCGCAAGGAAAAGTTTTTCCAAAAATACTGCAATCGTGCAAGACGCGGCCAAATACCAGAGCGCAAGCGTCAGCCCGGGCAAGGTGCCGAGCGTATGAAGGAGCTCGGTTTGCTCATGGCTGGTAAGAAAGAACAGGGCAACTATGTCATGTCTATCTAAAGATGTCACTTTACCTACTCCCGCTTGTCTTCGGTTTCTGAGGACGAAATCAAAAGTCTACGTCCCGCTGCAGGAGCACGGAAATAGGCTGCAACTCATACCGAGTTCTGCTTATATACACGTGGGCAATAACTTGCCACTACTGTTCGTTCGTACGTTATGACTCCACGACATCTTCTCTGTACATATCTCGAGCCAATTGCTTCGGGCCTCTTTTTTTTTTTTTTTTCCTTTTTCCACTACATGAGGAATCGTCCGAAGCGTGAAGACCTTTCTACATGGTTTCTCCTTACTACCAGTGAATTTGCATATTGGTCAAACCTTTTTTTTTGTCAAAATATATCATTTGAGACGGCGCATTGCAATCGCTAGGATACCCTTTGCCGGGGAGTTACGGCGTGGGAGGCATGCATCTAGATATTGGCTTGGACTGGCTGTACACATTAAAGATAGAAGCGTGGAAATCTTTGAACTTTTTCTACTACATTATTATTGGCCACGAAGAACATTTAAGTGTGTTCAATTTATAACAAACTGAGCCTCTGGGCCTGGATTGGAATGTAGCCTGAGGACGGTGTGATGACAAGGTACCTGGGAGGAGTCTTGGCAGTAGTGGCGTATTTTGTTGGTAGATGTGATTTCCAGAATAATAAGACAGCCCGCATCGTGAATGAAATCACCGCGGGATGCCGGAACAACCATCAGATGACTGCATTTGGGAAGACTTGGGTTTGTGCGTGTGCGTGGTTCGCTGGGTCCGACGGTGCTACACAAGCTCACGCTCCTCGGCTCAGGGTGCAGCGACTTGGGTTCATGCCTGAGAATCCAGGCACAACACCCATCGTCTGGACACTCGTGAGTTGCTGCCAGCTAAGAGCAAAACCGAGCGCACGTTACGGACCAGGGCGTACTTCTATCCATCACGTCCGCCATCAGCATTGATTTCTCGACCCCTTAAATTATTTCGACTGGCCCTGGAACCACGATTCGGAAAGGTAGCTCACCATGTGGATTGTCAACTGGTGTATGTCCCCAGACGTTCTCTTTCCCGCCGTCTTCCTCCTGTTGCCGTTGTCATGATGCAATACGAACGTTGGTCCACTGACTTGTGCTGTTTGTGCGGCTCGTTAGTTTACGATGTTCTCTCCTCCCTTGGCCTGTTGAACAAGCACGCCAAGTTGCTGTTCCTCGGTCTCGACAATGCCGGAAAGACGACGTTGTTGCATATGTTGAAGGTATGCCAGACTTGCGCAGCCGCAGTTGGGCTGCGAACCCTCTCTGGACTCAACGGGGCGTCGTGATGTGTTCTCAATCCATACGACTACGAGGCTAGAAAATCGACAATGCGGTTGTAGCCATGTTTGATGGGCGATGCTAACGACGTGGACTGGATAGAACGACCGTGTAGCTATCCTTCAGCCCACTCTTCATCCTAGTGAGTCCCTCTTTGCCCATCCGGGTGATATGGTCCGGTCTGCGCGTGGTAGCTACCATAGTCGCAACCCATGACTAATGGTGTTGTAACAGCCTCTGAGGAGCTTGCCATTGGCAATGTCAGATTCACCACGTTTGACTTGGGTGGTCACCAGCAGGGTATGTACACATGGATGTCTGAGGCTGGGTGCCTACCTATCTTACGGTCCTGGAGACTGACTGTCTCATCCAGCCCGCCGAATTTGGAGAGACTATTTCCCCGAGGTCAACGGCGTCGTCTTTCTCGTTGATGCCAAGGATCACGAGCGATTCGCCGAGGCCAAGGCTGAGCTCGATGCTCTTTTGTCCATGGAAGAACTGTCCAAAGTTCCCTTTGTCATCCTGGGCAACAAGATCGACCACCCCGACGCCGTTTCAGAGGATCAACTCCGACACGACCTGGGTATGTACCAGACCACCGGCAAGGGCAAAGTCCCTCTAGAGGGCATCCGGCCCATCGAGGTCTTCATGTGCTCCGTCGTGATGCGCCAAGGCTATGGTGAAGGGATAAGATGGCTCTCCCAGTACGTATAAGAAATCACTTGCGGTGAGAGCCGTGACTGAGGCGCGAGGACGCGGGCGAGGGCTTCCTTCGCATGTGTATATGCACACGAGCACAGACGGCGGCGAGTAAAGATACAATGAGCGGCGTGTAGCACCCATGTATGTGTGTGGAGGCAACGAGTGATGGATGAGATTCAGCATTCTCTTTAGGCGAACACAGGGTCATGTAATTCCAGTGATATTTGGGCAAGACAAAATTAGTTTTGCGTTTCTCTCATCCTGCCGCCTCACTTTCAACCGGGACACTTTCAACTGGGTCAGCATGTATGGGCAACTTTGGTTCGCTTGTTGGGCTCAAGATGTAGCGGATGGACGTGCCCAATCCAGGATACATGTTTCAGATACCAATGACATGGACAGACTCTACTATTACGTCTTGAATAGGGGTAAAGGATGCACGCAATCCGTCAGGCACGATGAAAGCGACCGAGGTACGTTGGCGCAGCTAATCAGCAAAGTGGCTCTGGCTGTGAGTGAATATGCTCAAGCATTCTCGTTATTTGCTGCCCAAGCAGCAAAGTGATTGCTCACAACCCAAGTGTGTGCTAGTAGCGAAAAGTATTCGCTTGACTGCCGCATTGACTGACAGACTTGACTGCCTTGCTCGATCAGGCCACGCCAATAGGATTAGAGTAAGTAACTACTTGGGTACTTGGTCGACGGGGCCGAGGTCTAGTGGACGGACAGTGGGGACAGTGGACCCAGCGTACGCAACCAGCAAGTTGGCAACCACCCACTCGCTCTGCATCCGACGTCATGGTCGTTGGGGCAGCCGGCTTCCATTGTCAATTCCGCGCAGACATTTCATCCAAGAAGAAGAAAAAAAAAAGGCCCAGACACCCGGCACGAGCTCCCTGGCATGAGCTCCCAACTCCAAGCCGCATCGCTCGGTCTTGAACATTTCCCCCTGTTGACAAGATCGAGCGTGCAGTACCACGAACCAGCGAACTGGCTGCCATGCCACACGATACGGTTTACGGATTTCCGCCCGAGGCATTTGACACATCGCGTCTCCCTGACATCGATCGGGAGTTTCTCGAGCCGCATGAGATAGAGGCCTTCGAAAAGGCCCTCCAGGCGCCTGACCCATTGCACAGCCCGGCTGACGACGCGGGCGAACTCAGGTCACCCCGGAGCGGCGCCGGCACCGTCACTCTCACGAAGCGAAACTCGCAAGTCCTGGACGATGTGGACGAGGGCGACAATGCAGACGCAATTGCCGCCGCGGCCGCAGCCGCTGGAGGTGATCTCCCCGAGCCGACGGGCACACCGGCCCAGGGAACCTTCTTCACAGCCCAGAACGACTGGGCGCCCGTAAACTCATCCTTGTACAGGCGTCGCAGATCGTCCAAGAAACTCAGACATCGGAAAGGCGCTGGGAAAGCTGTCCAAGGGCTGCTCGGCACCCGAACCAAGGATGAGACCAGGGAGGGCTACCTTTACCAACTGTCCAAGTGGCCGCTGTTATTGTTTGTGTTTGCGTGGCTGACGGGCCTGGCAATTGCGTACCTCTCGACGAGATGGTACATTTGGGTGTACGAGCATTTCTTTGCCTGGCGTGGCCGACGAGAGACACTTAGGAGGAACATGCGCCGGGCCTCGACCTACACGGAGTGGGTTGCGGCCGCCAGGGAGTTGGACGCGTTTCTGGGGCGGCAGAGTTGGAGGGAGGAGAATGAATTCGCCTACTACGATTCGAAGACGGTCAAGCGCGTGTGGGATCAGTTGAAGAAGCTGAGGACCAAGGCCGAGGCACAGGAGGCCAGGGGTGCGCGGCCGAATGGCGAGCACAAGACCGCCGTGGAGGATCTCAAAGCCTTGGTGGAAGCGTGCGTCAAGAACAACTTTGTTGGCGTGGAGAATGCAAGGCTGTACAGCCAGACGTACTACGGGACAAAGAACCTGGTGCAGAACTTCATCGACGAAGGTGAGGCCGTGGTGCGTATCCAGGGGACCGGGCGAACGGCTGCTAATGGAAGTGAACAGTGGAGAGGAGCATCAAGCTGCTGCTGCGAACCAAGCAGTTGGGGACCGAGGAGAAGCGCCTGCTCTTCAAGCACGCCTATGCAAACTACGGCCGTACCGCGCTGTGTCTCTCGGGGGGTGCCGGCTTCGCCTATTACCACCTGGGTCTGGTCAGGGCGTTGCTGGACGCGGATCTGCTCCCGGACGTCATCACAGGCACGAGCGGCGGCGCCCTCATAGCAGGGCTCGTGGCCACGAGGACAAACGACGAGCTCGAGAAGCTTCTGGTCCCGGCGCTGTCGCAGCGCATCAATGCCTGCCGCGAGCCGGCGACGGTCTGGCTGCCGAGGTGGTGGAAGACGGGGGCGCGCTTCGACTCTGTCGACTGGGCCCGACGATGCAGCTGGTGGACTCGAGGCTCGATGACGTTCCGGGAGGCGTACGAGCGGACCGGCCGCATTCTCAACGTCACCTGCGTCCCTGCAGACCCTCACTCTCCCACCATTCTGTGCAACTACCTCACCTCGCCCGACTGTGTCATCTGGTCCGCGGTCCTCGCGTCCGCCGCCGTCCCGGGCATCCTCAACCCCGTGGTCCTCATGATGAAGCTCCGGGACGGCACGCTCGCGCCCTACTCGTTCGGCCACAAATGGAAAGACGGTTCTCTGCGGACCGACATCCCCATCAAGGCGCTCAACACCCACTTCAACGTAAACTTCACCATTGTCAGCCAGGTCAATCCCCACATCAACCTGTTCTTCTTCTCGTCCCGTGGCTCTGTAGGCCACCCAGTGACTCACCGCAAGGGCCGCGGGTGGCGCGGCGGCTATCTCATGTCCGCCTTCGAGCACTACCTCAAACTCGACATGAACAAGTGGTTGAAGTTTGTGCGCCACGCAGAACTCCTCCCCCGTCCCCTGGGCCAAGATTGGAGCCAGCTGTGGCTACAGGAATTCAGCGGCACAGTCACCATTTGGCCAAAGTCTGTCCCGAGCGACTTTTACTACTTACTGTCGGACCCCGACCCCAGCAGGCTTGCACGGATGCTGCACCAGGGACAGCAGAGCGCGTTCCCCATGTTGAAGTTTGTGGCGAACAGGCTGAAGATTGAGCGGCTGGTGGAACAGGGGAGGAGGGAGACCAGGCCGTGGGCGAGGAGAGGCAGTCTTCAAGCCGTCATCAGTGAGGAGGATCTGAGGAGTTTGCTGGTCGGGGAGACGGCGGGGGTGACGACGGAGGAGGATACGGACGCGGATGGGGAGGAGGCCATTACTTTGACTGCTGTGGAGGAATAGAAGGCGTGTTTCCTGATGGCCTGAATGGCTGCGGCGGAGGGCGGTGTTTTGAATTGTATTCTGGCGGGCATTTAGACGCAGACTTGATGCGAGCGGCATGTATTTCTTCTAGATCAAGAGTCAAGACGCAAGCCCCCTTTATCCACTATGCATCATATGCACTGTGCATTATAATAAGACAAAGGACCGTCGACGTCGTGGGTACTGGGTAGCGCCGGGCTGTGACGGACGTCTGGAAGGAACCAGGACGCTCCTTCCCAGCCGGTCGCTGAATTGAACACGGTGGCGGCATTGTGGCCCGCTAATCACCTGCGTAGGGTGTCTGTGGTCTGTGGTCTGTGGGGGGGGCCACAGATAATCCGATTGCCGGCTCACTTTCGGACAGCGAAAGGACACCATTGAGCAGTTTCGAAATTGGACAGACAAATTCGCTTCCCTTGTGTGTTGTTGGACAGCAACCGCATCTGCATCGCCGGCACCACCGCACAGGAGGAGGGACTTGTCTATCTTTTCGTCTTGTTTCTTTGATACAGCACGGGCTTGTCCAAGCGCGCATTGAATCAGGCCGAATCGGTTGCCGGTCTTGTCCGTCCGCACAAAGCCATCATCCATTCCCTTCCCTTCTCGCGGCAGGGTTCGCCGGCTCGGCCTTTGTCGCCACGATGAGTTCCGACTACTCATACGATGACCAGGTAGACGATGCTCCCATCTGCTATGCGCAATTGCCGCCCGGCGGATTCGCCCTGCAGCTTGCTAACGCACCGCCCTTCAGGCCCAGTTCTTCCCCTTCTTCATCCTCACCTTGACGGGCCTGATCACTCTCCCAATCACATACAACCTACTGCAGCCTAGCAAGGACGATTCGCATCTTGCTCCACGCATACAGACAGCCTACACGATTCAGCATGGAGACGTCGTGGCATCACTGCGGGCGGCTCAGAAGAGGAAGCAGCGCAAGATCAAGAGGGCCGTTGTCGCCGTGGCTGGCTGGGGCCTGATGGCACTCATGGCCTATCTGATCATGACGACGAGTCCTGTCGAGAATAGGATCTGGAATCCCTACGATATTCTAGGTATTTCAGACGTATGCGCCCCCCTCCCAACTGCCTGCGTTGGATCCCCCACATGATGGAGTCGACTGACATTCTCTTCAGTCCGCCACGGAAAAGCAAATCAAGTCACACTACAAGCGCCTGTCAATCAAGTTCCACCCTGACAAGATGCGACCTGATCCTGCCAAGAACGAGACGGCCGAGTCTCTCACTGACTACTACATCGAGCTCACCAAGGCCTACCAGGCCTTGACTGATGAGGATGTCCGCAATAATTATATTCAGTATGGCCACCCTGACGGCAAGCAGAGCATGAGCATCGGAATCGCTCTGCCCAAGTTTATCGTTTCAGACGGCAACGGCAAATACCTCGTCATCTTGTACACGGGCCTCCTCGGCGTTTTGCTGCCATATCTCGTTGGTTCCTGGTGGTACGGGACCAAGAAGCGTTCCAAGGAGGGCGTCCTCATGGAGAGCGCCAACAACTTGTTCCGACACTATGATGAGGAAATGGATGAGTCCGGCATCATTGCAGCCCTCAGCGCTGGAAGGGAATTCGACAGCGTCCTCAAAGGCGACCAGGCAGAGTCTGGCCTGTCCAAAATCGAGTCACGCATCTCTGCCGAGGGCGAGACCTCACCTTTTGCCTGTGGGTTCTCGGCCAAGGACAAGCAGAGGCTGGAGGATCTCGAGAGCGGCGTAAGGCGCAAGGTTCTCGGTCTCCTGTGGGCTTATCTGGGTCGTGTTGAGCTCGACGACGCCGCTCTGACCAGGGCCAAGTACGAAATCGCCCCCATCGCCCGCGCTCTGAACCAGTCCTTTGCTGCGATTGCCCTCGCCTTTGGTAACATTGGCCCCATCTCCGGCTCCTTCCTGGCCAACCAGTACATCATCCAGGCCTTGTCCCCCAGGTCTTCGCCTCTACTCCAGCTCCCTCACTTCACTTCCAAGGTCGCCGCGGCAGTCGAAGGCCACTCCAAGTCGCACATGACGGTCCAGCAGTTCATGGACCTTCCTGATGCCCAGCGGCGGCGGCTGGCAATCGGAAAGGGCCTGCTCTCTGAGAAGCAGTACAAAACCGCCGTCAGTGCAGCCAAGCAGCTGCCCTACCTGCGGGTCTCCAAGGCCTTCTTCAAGGTCACCGGCGAGCGGTGCATCATCCCGTCTTCCCTCGTCACCCTCGTCATCAAGGGCCGCTTCATCCCCCCCGGCACCGAGAGGGTACCCGCAATCAACGACTTGGATCTCGAGGACGTCGATCCCGCCGAGGATGATCTCGACGCGCTCATGGGCCGCAAGAAGAAGACGATCACCGGACCCGACGGCAAGCCCACTTCCGTCGAGGAGCAGAGCATCCTGCCCCCGCTGGCCTTTGCGCCTCACTACGCCCGCGACCACACCCCCAAATGGTATGCTTTCCTGAGCGACTCGAAACAGGGCAAGATAGCCGTGCCCCCCTTCACCTTTGACCGATTCGACGAGCCCATCTTCGACGAGCAGGGCCAGCCCACGTTCAACATGCAGACTCTCAAGGCGCAGTTCGCCGCTCCCCCGCAAGCCGGCCACTACACGTTTGTCATGCACGTCATTTGCGATTCGTACGTCGGGTTCGACACCAAGGTCGAGGTGACCCTGGTCGTCGAGGAGACCGCCAAGGCCGCCGAGATGGAAGCTGAAGATGAGATTTCCGAGCCCGAAGAGGGTAAGTTTTGATCCGCTCGCCGCCCCCGTCCAGCATCAGAGAGGGTGGGCACACTGACGAGTTGTAGATTCCATTGCCGGCCAAATGCACGCCCTGAAGACGGGCCAGGCACCACAGCCCAGGAGGCGGAGAGTAGAAGTGGAGTCGGACGACGAGAGCGGCACAGACGAGGAGTCGGACGATACGAGCGACACCAACACTGACACGGAAGATGAGTCATAGACGGGTGCTTTGCGCGTAGTTCTGTTTGTTTTGGTGATTCGTGGTGGTGGTGGTGGTGGTGGTGGTGCGAACAGGGTCACGGAGTTGTACTGTATGAGGACTTCAATGTGTCGCAATGGATTCCCGTCATCTCCATGGGATGTGTGTGACACGGGACCGCAAATGTCGTGTAATTTACAGCTTGGGTTTACGACCATGTGTGAGACTTAAGCCAAGATGCACGGAGACGGAGTGAGGCGCGGATAAAAAGGCAGAGAGTGTATTCCAACGCCTGATGCATAGTCAATAACAGGTTCTGTGACAAGTCGGCTACGTGAAGCCCACGGCTGGTCAAGTATACTGTATGAAAAGGTGGCTGCCCGAATCTAAACATCTACCGGGTATACATGATTGCATCGCAGCACAACCCGCCGGGGGCGTCACCCCGACAATACCAAAAAAAAAATAAAAAAAATAAAAAGGAAACACTGTGCGTCGCAGCGTTATTTACTTTTAGCAGACCCTCACGCCACAGACCTCGACGCCCTTACCCTCGATTCTGACGGCTCTACCGAAATATGCGTCGACCAAATCTTGTACAAACGCTGCGTCGGATGCACTCCACACGTCTAGACCCATGTTCTCAATGCAGTGGCTGTCTACGGTGATGGCATTCGCATCTAAAGCCAGGCCACCACCGTTGCTTAACAAGGCTTCGGCCTCGTCATCTTCCTGGCCGTCTGGCTCACCATCGTCTTCGTCCCTGTATGAAGAAGGGTACGCCTCGTCGGCGGACTCGACGAGGTCGGCAATTACGGAGAGCATTTGGGCAGTAAGGCGGTGGAAGTAGGCGATGATGGCGAGTTCGGTACGTGCCTCCTCGGGGTCAGATGCGCGACGGCCGGTGAGTGACGCGAGCGATTCGGACAGGCGGGGGGAGGGGGACAATGCGGGCGCGGGCGCGGGCGCAAGGTCCGCGAGGAGAGCGGCGTCTCTGGAGGACTCTTCCTGTTCTTCAGAGCGAAGCTGCTCGCCGGCGGATGCCCACCACATGTAGCCATTGTAGGCGAGAGCCGCCCAGGATAAGGGCTCGATAAGCTGGTCGACGCGAGGGTCTTGTTCGTCCTTGACTAGCCGATAGGAATGACTGGTGGAGAGACGGACGGCAGAAGCGTCAGACGGCGGGGAGTCTGGCTCTTGCTGCTGGGGGGAAGAGGCGAGGCGGGCGAGGCCGATGCGAAGGGCGTTGAAGCGCCGGAGATCTCGTTGAGTTGCTTTGACGGGTGTGCCACGAGGGTATTCTACAGTTGGCCAGACTTTGTCACTCGTGGAGTGCTCCGGGGGCACGGTGATGAGCATGTCCCAGAGGGTGTTTTTCATGGCCAAAATGCTGTCCGTGGTACAAGCGATCCAGCCGGAACCTTCCTCTCCTTCGGGGGCTGCTGTGCCGTCTTGGCGGCGCTTGGAAGCCTCGAAGTCTTCCATGAGAAAGGGAATGTCGTGGACGCCAATGGTGAACAAGGGCCGGAGGCGTGGTGCGGGAGATGAGGGGGGGAGTCTATCGGCGATGGAGAAGGGTATATTGGAGAGAATTGAAATGTCGTATACTGAGACGAGTCAGTGGGCGTGTTTCAGCAAGGTAATGAATAGATGTAGAATGCTGGCATCTGTAGCGACGGGAGCCTCACCAAAGTCACAGATTCCATGAACAGGAGCGTGACAAGAGATGAGGATTCGCTTGCGTAGCAGTGCTGCTCTATGGATAGGGAATATCAGGGGACCAAACTTGTCCAAAAGACTGACCAAGCTCCACGCTGGATGGAACGGGCTCAACCTGTGCTCAGCAGGCGCCAATGAGGCGCCTTGGGAGGCGGAAACCTTGGGCTTGTGTGTTGTTCGATCCTGGGTTGGCGAATCGGATAACTTGGCTGGCGTCGGGTCGTCTGCCTGTCCATCACTCTCGCCGACCTTGTGGGAATTCCAGTAGCTTTCCAGGACATTAGTCTGACTACGATCCTTGGCTAGCGTACTAGTAGGGCTTGTTAGACTTGGCCTGTATGTTTTCGGGTGGTGGGATGGATGTGTTTGGGACTCACGCAGCCAACTCCTTCAGATTCTCCGCATGCCTCCAAGCCCTTCCCAGGCGCTCATAGCTCAAGGGTACGAGGAGGCCTACGGCAATCATTCTGGCGTTCCTAGCTTCCTCCTCTTCACACGGCTCATTCACAAAGGCACTGAGACCAGCGTGGGCGCCGTCGACAAAGTAAATCAAGTCATGGCGCACCGTGTGCAAGCCCGAGGGTAGCGACTTGTACTCAACCTGGCCGTCCAATTGGAGATCTGGCACGGCACGCTTCCAAGTAATGGTGTAGCCGGCCTTGACGTCGAAATCGATGAGAAACAGAGCGGCTATGGGGGGAAGTTGCTCGGGCACGGCGGAAATGGGAGCGATGGAGAGGGAGAGGGTGGATTGGCGGTGTCGCTGGCTCCTGCGCGATGGCGCCGATGCCATTGTTGAGGCTTTCGTGTGACGTTCAGAGAAGCATGTTATATTCTTAGAACAAGGCGGTCGCTGGAAGCTTGGTGGATTGAATGGCTGATGGACAAATGAGTTGTACGATGCGTTTGGATGTGGCAGCTGCGACGCAGGTGTCTGAAGGGCGGGAGGAGAGGTCTAGTCGCAAAACATGGCATGGAACGGGCGAAGAGGCGGGCGTCTGGGTGGTCGGAGCTGGGGGATGGCCGTCGAGGTTGCGCATGCGGATGCAGATGAAGCGGGTGTCGGTGGTTGAATGTGTTGGTGTTGATGATGGAGGAGCAAGTTGAGCGGCGGCTGGTGCACGGAGTGTTTGCGTGAGTGGCTGCAGCCTGCATGTAGTTATGTGCCTGTGCCTGGCGGGCACCGACCAAGTGGCACAGCCAGCAGTGAATGCATCGACGGCACGGGCGCTGATGCGGCGCTGGCACGGCGGTGGAAGGGCGCTGCACCGGCATTGACGGGCACCAATTGATCAATTGATAGCGCTGCGTCAGCGCTGGCAGCGGACGGACGTGCCCCGCGGCACTGACGCAAGGAAGTGGTTCAAGTACTCAGGTACTCCGTACGGAGCACAAGAGTACTTGACCCGACTCCACACCCACGATGGGCCTCGCATCCCCGACACGCACACTCGACTCTGCGCACGATTGATGCCAAGCGAATTCTGCACCGGCACGGCAAGCCTGAGACTGCGATTCTGCAGACGCTGCCCGCTGGGTTGGACGCTCGCCGTGGACCGTGGGACGAGACGACGTCAGTCGGCGTCGGCCTGGGCTCCAAGGAAAGAAATCACTCATTGTGGCTGCTCGACAAGTACTCAGACCCTGTAAGGCACTCGAGTGCTCAGCAAACTTCAAGTACCTGCAGGCTGTGGGGGCTGACCACATGCCGAGCGCTGGATTACAAGTACCTAGGTACTTAATTACTCACTCAGTGTACCAAGTACGTACTCGCTTAAGTACCTACTTGCCCAGGGTACTCACCCAAGGCGCCCACGGGCCCCAGGCACCTCCAGGCTCCATAATGCCTCGGTGGCTCCGTGCCGCTGGCCGGCCGTTGACTTCCCCGTCAACATTAACATTGAGCCTGCTCGCTTGCCTCTCCTGCTCGTCCCAGCCAATTCGACCGCCAGCCACGACAACCACATCCCACCAGAACCTCGAGGCTCACATCCATGTCCGCCGTCTCATCAATTTCTCAACGTCCTCCTCCAACTTCCCCCGCCCGACCCGGCTCGGACGCCCAGCAAGCAGAGCGCTGCCCGAGCATGGATAGCCGGCATTGAATGTCTCCTCCTCTTTTTCTTCCTTCTTCCACTTCCCTTTTCCATCTCTGGCTGCCCGAATTTTTCTCCCTAAGAAAGCCTCCTCCTCGCTCCCGCCTCCCGCCCCTCGAACCGAGACGTCGGCTTCGACGCTCGTACTCGTCCTCATCCTCGTCCTCGCCGCCGAAGCCGGCCCTTTGAGGTCACAATCGTACGCCGCCGACCTCCCTCTCGACCTCCCTCGCCGTCAACATGTCCGCCTTGGTCGGCTACCTAGTCAAGTTCCTCGTGGGCTATGCCGCCATCACCATCGTCTTCTACATGGCGTCCTTGGCCGTCCCCAAAGCCGGCTTCGTGGCCCGCGCCCTCGCCGCCTATGTCTCGCTCCTTATCTGTACCGTCTTCGGCCTCCTCGCCTCCATCTTTTTCACCCTCATCGGCAGGCAGGGCATCTCGCAATGGGCAACCGCCCGCGCCTTCCACCACGTCATGCGCCTGACCACGGGCATCGTCTTCGAGGTCGAGGACCCGGACAAGATCCTCGCCACCACCCGCCCCGCCGTCTTCATCGGAAACCACCAGACCGAGCTCGACGTCCTCATGCTCGGCGCCATGTTCCCCAAGTGGTGCAGCGTCACTGCAAAGTCGGACCTCAAGCACGTGCCCTTTCTGGGCTGGTTCATGCGCCTCAGCGGCTCCATCTTCATCGACCGCAAGAACTCCAAGGATGCCCGCGAGGCCATGGCCGGCGCCGCCAAGGAGATCCAGAGCCGCCAGCAGAGCGTCTACATGTTCCCCGAAGGCACGCGCAGCTACGCCAAGGACCCCGTGCTGCTGCCCTTCAAAAAGGGCGCCTTCCACCTGGCCGTCCAGGCCGGCGTGCCCATTGTGCCCGTCGTTGTCGCAAACTACAGCCACGTTTTTCACATCAAGAGCATGGTGTTCCGCTCCGGAACCGTCCCCATCAAAGGTGCGCACTCATTTCCTACCACCTATAGAACACACACGCACAAACCAATGCAAAATATATATATATATATATAAAATTCAGACGCTGCATCTCGCTAACAAAGATTCCGTTGTAGTTCTGCAGCCTATTCCCACCAAGCACCTCACCTCCGCCGATGTCGACGAACTCACCCGCACCACCCGCGAGCTCATGCTGGCCGAACTCTTGGCACTGACTGCAAAGGCCCAGGGCCGCCCCGTTGCTGTCCCTGCGTCCCTCGGGAATTCGTCTGCCAAGAGCTCCGCCGTGCAAGTCAACTCCACCTAGTTTGAAACCCGAGCGGTCCAGTTGCTTCAACCTCTCCCTTTTCAACCCGAGCAGTATATACCGCTTACCCCCATGACAGCATGTACATGGCCCTCCCGACCAGTCACACCCAAGTCTAGATGAACGTACATATCAGGGCCAAGGCAACCTCAACACCAAGAACGAGAACAAGATGAGACGAGACGAGATGCTGCTTTTTGAATAGACAGATACAGGAAAAGTCAAAACATGCTTGATTGATACCCCTTCATAGATAGATACTTTGTACTCCCTGTACGCTCGAATTACATGCTTAGCACTGACCTCTGGCCTCGTCCCGCCATCGTGACGACACAAATTCTTCCCAACGGCCACATGCAAGCTCGACTCGGAACCACTGTAGGCACGCAAGCACAGCCGCCACGGCGACAGCGAGAAGACGGGAAGCCAAATCCTGACAGCTGCACTGCTGGCGTGGCTACAGGCCGCGAATCGCGCCACATCAAGGGCCCAACTATTGAACAACTCATGTACATAGATATATGTTAACCCCGACTCCTCATGCCAATGCGCATGAAATTAAAAGGACACAAAACACCACCCACGCTAAAAAGTCGCAACGTTGCAATTCGTGAGCGCACCAGGGGCCAATTCACTCCCCCAACGCCAGCAACGCCTGCGTAAGTGTGACGACGCGCAAACTTCTCCCCCTCTTCAAACCGGCACTCGCATTCATGACTGTCGGACTCCGTCCCTCGTCCCACTTCCTGAACACCCGCTTCAGATCCCTTGGTATTCCTTCCAGCACCACCGTCGACACCGGCACAAACGGGCGGTCTTCCATGCCGGATGCCAGGATGGCGTATTCCTGCGCAAAGTCGAGGGCGTTGCGGAAGGACGCGTATTGGTTGTTTGCGTGGGATCCAACGATGATGTACATCTCAAAGAAGGCGTCAAGGATATATATGTTTGTGGGCCGGAGGTCCATTTGGCTGAACGGGGAGAGTTCGATGATCTGGATTTCCACAGGTTGGTTAGCACGGAGATTCAGCACCTAGTTTTTTTTCAACGTTGGAGAGTGCAAGATGCCCGAGGCAGAGATGTACCTGTTGCCCAGAGTCTGCATCCGAACAAAATAGTCGGCTGCAGTATTTTTCGTAGTTGGGCTTGAGGCGCCAGTGATCGGCGGAGTGAGGCTTGGGGCTGTTGTCCTCGAAGAGATGCCAGAACGACTGCGGCTCGTTGCCGTCCTCGTACTCGATCAATTCTCCCGTCAGGGTCATGTCCATGCCGACAAGTCTAGCGCAGCTGACCTCCGCGACGTCACCCCCCTTGCCTTTCCATATGTAGCATGTTCCACCCTTGGCGACGAGATACGTGAACCCGGTGCATAAGCTGGATGGGGTGAAATCAACCTCGTCAAAGGCAACTTGTCCGAGATACCGTCTGCCGCACAACATGCTGGGAGCCAGCGAGTCATACTTGTTGCTCGAGCCGCGCCGTACAATAATCACACCACCAAGGGCTTGTACAAATTCGGCTGTTTCTTTGCCCTGTTGGAACTTGACAAGTTTGCCTCCGAGGGAGCGAGCTTCCCGTTGCACAAAGAGCTGAGCGTCTTCGGCTGACGCCTCGGGAACCTCGTCGCCAACCCAGAAGTACGCCTCGAGCACCTTCTTTCCCGCTCCGTTGATCAAGTTATGGGCGCAAACATACATTTCCTGGTCAAACAGGACTCGTTCATTCTGGGGCGAGACTGGCAACTTTTTCCCGTCTCCGAGGATTTGGAACATTTGAAGCCCAAGACTCGTGACCTTATCACCAGTGTCGGGGCGGTTCATTAGAATTTGTGCAGGGTCAACCTTGATTGCTTGTCTAGTTTGTGGCGGGCCAAAGAACCGTGTCAGTAACGCAGACACCTCGTTGGTTTGCTTAGTAGGCGAGCGAGCTGGAGATACAGTGGCGGCAGGCGACTTGTAACCATCACCGGACAGTCCAGACAGAGGTCTCACTCTCCTGTCCGGTCCACCGCCTGGGGATACTGGCTCATCCAGCGGTGGTATCGACGTTGGGACAGATCGAACACCGAAGCGAGGGGACCGAGGGGAAGTCTCGCGCATTGACGGAAGTGAATCCCGGTCACTCTTGGTCGGTGACGGTGGCTCTGCCAGTTTGGTTGGTGAGCGAGATCCAGCACGCCTATAACGCAACCAAGCCGGTTCCGTAGCTGGGTCTTTCTGGGCGTCTTGGGAAGAGTTTTCGTCGAGGAATCGCGGTATTTGCTTCGCGTCTTCTTTCTTCGGCGACGTGGCAGCAAAAGCCTCCTGCTCAGGTTGCGGGCTTGCCTTTGCCGGCGACGAAGAAGCTGAGGGCCTTGGTACCAGGGGCAACGGCCGTCCTCGAGATGCTGGTCGAGCTGCTGGCTCTAGCGACGCTTCCGACTCCAAGGGGCGAGCTACCGGGGGCGTTGTTGGCTTCTCGTCGAGTGCAGCTGGGTTGGCTGACCCGTGCTCTGTACCTGGTTCATTGGCCGGCAATTCCTGCACTGCCGCTTTGCTTTCTTTGACAGCCTCTGCGATAGCAGGTGGCGGCTGCGACGCAGTTTGGCTGAGGGCCGACGCCGCGGCGACTGTCGGGGCCTTTCTCTTTGGACCACGAGCTCGGCCTTTTGTCATGTGGGTAAGTTGAGGTCCAGGTGCTGGTGCCTCAATAGCATTGCCAGAACTTGACTTTGCATTGTCGTCACCAGTCTCGTCACAACTTCTACCACCATTAGTGGCCATGGGAGGCGGCCCTCTAGCCAGCATACCTGCCAAGCCTGGGTTAAATCGATCCGCCAACTTACCACCACCAGCTCGGCTATGAGCCGCCAGCTTTGAGGGTGCACTCGTCTCCTTTTGCAAGGTAGCTGTTGCTCGCGGTTCAGTCTTGGTCCTTGCCGCCTCGGGTTCTGTGGACACGCGTCTCAATTTTTCGGTACCCGGGCTCGTCTCAGGGCGTAGTGCTGCATTAGGAGGTTTCGGGGAGAATGCCGATCCGCTCGGGACTCTCTTCGGGCCAGTGACGGGCTTCTGCGAGTCCTCTTTCTGCGTGGGAGTTACAGTCGGTATTTCTGGAACGTCGCTCTTCTTGGCCATCGCTGCCACTGATTTTCCCAGTTCCGCCCTCTTGGCCAATCCCTCTGGCAAGTGCTTTTCGGCAGCCGTGCTTGATGTTCTTGTCACTCCTCGGCCCTCGGACTGGGCAGCCTTGAAATCAGCCCTCTTCTTCAGTATTGCGTCTTTGAATTCATCTTTCCTCTCACCCCTCTTCGGGCCATCAGTTACGTTAAGAGCCGACTTGCCGCGAAGAATATTATTCCTGAGCTCGTCAGGAGCAACGTAATTCTGGGTTTTGGTTTTGCGCAGGTTGCCGAACACATTCTTGAACTCTGGCTCACCAGACTTTGGGTCTTCTTTTTCTGCAGGACGTTGCCTCAAATTCGACCTGAAGTCGGTCGTTGGCGGGGTTTGAGGCCTGGGCTTGAGATGCGGAGGGCTCGTGACGGGCATTTGTTTCGTAGCGCTCGCGGAGCTGATTCCTTCCTCAGCCTGCTTCACTCCCTCCCCGTCAGCCATCTTATCTGGCTTTGATGAATCCGGCTCAGATTGTCTTTGTGTGATGCTGGGTTTTGATCCATGTCCATATGCAGGTCGATTTGCATTTGGAGGCGGCGAGTAAATGCCCCCCAAACCAGTAGGGTTGGATTTGGCTACATTTCCGACAGCTGATTGCCTCATGAGACCCCCAATACTAACCTGGTGCTTGTGTGAGACAGATGTTGGTCGACTTGACTCTGCGTTGGCGGTGTTCCTCCAGGTGGGTTGAGAAGTCGTCCAGGATGGCTTTGGAGACTCTGGTCTGTTCAACGCATTTTCGAGCCAACTTGATTTGGTAGGACTCCAGCGCCTGGGATCCATCGTCTTTGATGGACTGGACGGGATGCCAGCATCCCCGTCCTTTTCCACGCCACGGCTTGCATCTATTGACATTTGACTAGACGATTTGGAGATGCTGGCAAGTTCAGACGGCTTGTCGCCATGTTGCGACGTTGGTCTCGCAGTCGGGGTAGAGTCTCCTCGGACAGTGCTATGAGGGCTTGAACCCAGATGAACTGACGACCTGGCGCTCCGCATGGCCGCAGCAGAGTCCGCTCGTGTCAAACCTGGAGGGCTTGCGACACTCCATCGTTTGACACTATCACTACGCTTCATCATTGCGCTCTGGACGAAGCCACCGAGGCCCTTGGTGGGTGACGGCGACCTATTAGGCGAGGCCCTTCCGGACAAAGGTGCAGATTCTTGAGATGGTTGCATCTCGTCAGTTGCACCGTCCAGCCGCGGAAAGTTGAGCGCGACTGGTGAGGCAAGCCTCGAGTGACTTGGCGGTTCTGGACTGTGTTTTGGGGAGTGGAAACTCGTTGAGCTCGAAATCGGATTAGCAGGTGACAAGCCCTGAAGTTGGGCGCTAACCGACGACATATCTAAGCGGTCCTCATCTTCAACCTGACTGCGTCTGAACGCAGCAGAGCTTTGGCCACGATCCGCCGTTTGTCGGAACCATGAAGGATCCTTGGACCCCAAAGCTCTGGCGATCTGATCCTTGGAGAAGCTTTCTTCGGTGGCAGATGCTGGCTCCTGCGACCCGGCCAGAGACCTCTGGGTCGCATTTTGGGCCGCTACCACGTTCAAAGGCCGGGCACCACCCCGCGATGCGGGCCGTTTCTGCCACGACAGCGTAGGAGTTCTCATCGGCGATGTTGAGCTCTCAATTGGCCTCGTGTCCGGCTCAACAGCGGTTTTGCCGTCCCTGGCAGGCGGGCCTGGAGGCGTCATCGAGTCTTCACCGACGGGCAGAGAGGCGGACGTCCTACTGGGCGAGTCGAGCCGGGTAACGTCGGGAACCTGAAAACTTCGGCGACTGGAGCGCGGTGATGGCGTATTCGCAGGGGATGATTTCTGAGGGGAGATGGACCGGGCACGTTCTGCGGGGGAGGCATCGTCGAGTGTTAGTTTCGAGAACTCTAGTCGGCGGAATTGGCCGGCCAATCCACCTGGCAGCTGGCCAAGGCAAAAATCGACAGCCGCGGCGGCCGGCAAGCAGACTGGCAAACGAAGCAACTTCCAAAACCAGTCGACTCCTCGGCCAGTGGCAGACTCACTCACCTTCTCTTCGTGCCTGGCGTTCCCGCTTGGCAGCCAAGAATTCCTCCCTTTCACGAGCCCGAGCCTCGTCATCCTCTATCTGCTGGCCGCGCAGACGCTCGACCTGCTCGAGGAACTGGGACACCTCGTCGGACATGTCCTTTTCCTTTCTCGTGGTCGTGGATCGATGCGGGCTGCTGTTGTCAATTGCGGTTGCGGTATGACGTTTTAGGCCATGACACTCGTAGACGACGAGTAGGAATAAGGACGCCGGTATTTGCACCAATGACCCCGTTGCCAGGTTGAAGCTTCTCCGCGTCCTGGTCGTGCAGATGATGGAGATGGTTGGAGCCCCGGCGTGGGCATGGAATCCAATGTTGACTTTTGTGATGCAAGTCTGAGGGTTGCAGTTGGCGGATAAGCCTAACGGGGTTTGGCTTCCAAGTCGATTCCGCGGGCGGACCAGGGGTCCAGAGAGATGCTGGATGGTGGGCGGATTCTGGAGCCCACGGCGCCATTCGCAATGCCCAACAAGCCCGGCGCCACGACGGGTTCCGTTGCGCTGAGCCAAACGCTGAATTATGCCTAGCGGGTGGTCAGCTGGTCGCCTGGCGCCATGTGCCATGTGCTGTCTCCACCCGCCAAACAGGTCGCAGTGCAGGCCAGTCTGCGAAGTTAAGTGGTCTGGAACCAACAGTAGAAACCACGACGCTTTGTGCTCCAGCGCGTTGGAACCTGGCAGACGGGCGTGACGCGCCACGGCCACCACCGTGAGAAGATACCCGTCGCCGCAAGTCATGTTTGACAGCTTCAATGCAAGGGGCCCTGCGTCCGGCCGATTTCCAGACCTGTGTGGAATGCAGCTCCCAGCCAGTCATGCATCCATTATATCGTGCCTGTGCCTCAAGATTCATTTTACTTGACTGTATTTTTTCCTTTTTTTTTTCTTGGATTTGTTGGTGGAATAGAACAAGACAAGGCAACAAGAAAAGGCAGAAAACGAAACATCCCGGCACCGCACAACCACAACCACAACGCAACCACACATGGCGAGCGGCCTTGTTTGTTTACATGCTTTCGCCGCAGCGCCACGCGAGACATTGGCGTTTTTGACTGCACTGCCCAACGCTTGAACACTCGGCGCACCCGCTCAGAGATGAGAGAGATGGGACCTGCATCACCCACCAGCGACCACCATCGCCACGCCCCTCGTTTGTCATCGCTCCCCCCGCCTTCACGGGCTTCAGTGCCCGATGCACAACAGCACGACGACACCATGCGCTGCGCTGCTCCTCCCCCTCAACTCAACTAGTAAAGAAACAGTCTCTTCTTCGCGTCGGCAACCACCCAAGCCAGGCCCTCCTGCAGATTCTTCCCCGTCATCGCGCTGCATCGTAGTATATTCCACTCATGTGTCCGAATCCCCTCCAAATGCAATGCCTGCACACACGCAAGTCGGTCAGCCTGCATCCTCGTCCGCTCTCCATTGGGGAAAAGAAAAAAAGCCTTCACCTTTCGAATTTCCTGTTCGTCCATACACCCCTCCACATCCGTCTTGTTCGCGAAAATGAGCAAACTAGCCCCGGACAGCCGCTATCTCCGTCGTTGGCAAAGGAAAACCAAAAAAAAAAAAGACAACTCCCCTCTGCCGTCTCGATCCATCGCATGTGGCTTACCTCTTCTAGCAGCAGTCCGTGTAGCTCGTCTCTGCAATCGTCCATTCTCAGGCGATCAGTCGCGTCGACGACCCATATCAGTGCATCCGTCTTCTCGAAATAATTGCGCCAGTAGGACCGGAGAGTCTTCTGGCCGCCCACGTCCCCTGGTCCCGTCAGTCAGTACGTCCGCACACGCCGTCGTCATGCCTCTTTGACTTGCATATGTTGAGCTTGTACCTGGCCGGCAGCTCGTCAGCAAACCGCGTTGACACACACGTGCACACACGCGCAGACCTTGTGCGGCGAGGAGCTTCTCACCCATCGTAGTCGATCGTCTTGATAATGAAGCCTAATGTCGGGCTCACAGTGTCGACGTCTTCTCCCATGACTTTCTTCACGATTGTTGTTTTTCCGGCGTTATCTAGGCCCCTGTGGCAGCCTGTTAGTCTGAATCGCCATTCGCACCCGCCAAATGCCTGGGCATGCATCCCTCCATGGGCTCGGGAGGAGCGACGCACAGCATCAATATTCTCATCTCCTTGTCCTTGAGCCGGGCTTTTCGAAGTATAGACAACATGGTGGGAGGTGGGATGTCCACTACCGCGGGCTGCAGCTAGCGATATTGGAGGATATTCTTCAGCTACTGCAGTACATATCCGTTGTCTTCAGCTTGTGTCCGACTGGTGGTTCTTGAACCACGGTGCGAGGTTTGACTCAATAAGCCGTTCACCCACACGTGATGCATCACGGCTCCTGACGGTGTCTTGGTGCCACACTCATCCACTTATAACTCACAACTTGGCCACCGCAACACCACCGACCCACCCAAGTACTCCAACGGCGAGGCTTCCGCGGCATCATCAACATCAGCGCTTGGGAGTCGTTGTCATCGTCTCATTTCTTTCCGTCCAAGTCAGATTATCATTGCAATTTTCAGACCTTTTCTCCGCAATTCTTCTCTAGTTCGCTACTTTTCTGGTAGTATATCCTCTGTCCTCTACTGTTCCATTGCTTTTTCATTCACTGCCATCCAGCCCTTATTTAGCAACAGCTGTCTGTGATCATCTCGCCTACAACTCTTATACGTCAGTATTGGACGTTCTCTATGCCCACTAGGGACTGTCAATTTGGGACAAGGAAAAAAACAGATGTGCCATGCGCAGTCAGTCAAGACGTTGCGTAAGAAATATTCGCCCTCCAAAATGGTCTCTTCTTTGCTAGTCACTTGTTGGTGACGCTCTTTTCAATTGTCTCCTGCCGCCGTGCCGGACAACTGAGGTTGGGCCACGATTTTCGAAGTGGGTGTAATGTTGCTTTGCCATAACACCATAGTCAGCCAGCGGTTATGGTGTTGGCCGTCCATTTGAACCGCCGCGTTCTTCAAGTATCCAACCTCTTGGAAGCCAAACTTTCGCAGAAACTCAGCCTTCCATCGGTAGGTTGTCGAATCATCCTGCGATAAAAAGAGCTCAAGGTACAGTTGGGTGTACTGGCGCCTGTTGTGCGTCACAGGAAATCGATAAACATCTTTCGGGTCGTCGCATTTCCATTTGTGATCCAGTGCGCTTCTGTAAAAAGGAGAAACCGAAAGCAAGATCCGATCTATAAGTGCAGATCCATACAACTTGCGTTGATGATCGGCTCGTACTACCAGCCTCACCTGCCCGGTGTATTGCGATGCTGGACATGGAGTTCCATACAAGCTCATCCGATAGTCCGAGACAAATGCAAAACCAACCACTGGAGCAGTCGGTTTTGGTTTTGCAGCCATGTACTTGACAAATTCTTGGTAGACTTCATCTGAGCCTTTTGGCCATTTGCTTTGGTCTAGGAAGTCATCTTGAGCAGGCAGCGCAACGATGAATGGCCTGCCATTGGTGGTGCAAGCATCGAAGATCTCGCGCACATCATCCGCTGATGTGGGTTTGTCCAGGAAAACCTGGGTATCATCTGTATTTGATGCTTCAGCATTGATTATCTCCGCAATCTGAGCAAAATCTGGTGGTGCGGCCGGTCGTATAAGACACTTCGCTTCTGGCCACTGCTCTTCCCCAGCTCCGGCTAACGACTTGTGACCAAACTGTTCGAAAGTCATGCTCATTAATTTTTCAAGGTTTTCTCGACGTTTTACTTCCTGCTCAATATGAAGCTCCGATGTCATATTTGCTCGTCGCCAGTTGATATCATCATAGTCTGGGTAGGGACCTTCAGCCCTGCCCCGAAACGTTTCTGGACCAGGAACACGAGCCATCTGTGCGTCAAGACCGCCTTGCGCAGAATATTTTTTATCCCGACTGGACTCGTATGGAATTGCCCAGGAAGGCCGTGCGGAGAGTTTGGGGAACCAAGCTCCTAGTAGACATTGGTTCCCTTTTCGAGATGCGTAATCGAGACAGCTGCCAGTCTTGTGACGCGCAGTCTTTTCAGGAACTTTGGATGCGGACAAAGCACGCACTCTCCGGCTGTCGGCTTCTCGTTCGATCATCAAGGTAAGGGATGGCATTGAGTGCGGCGACGCATTGGATTTAGTCTTTTCAGATTGCTTTCCAGCTGCTTTGTCGCAACCGTCCTGAGCTTCTAGACGGCTGGTGCCAAGTTGGCTTTTGGGCGTCTCGATCGCCGCTGGTGACTCTAGAGGCAGGAGAATGGTGCCTGCCCCGAGTCTACGCAGGTCTTCGCTTGTAGTTCTCTCAGACGTAGCACGTGCGTCGGGTTCACTTTTAGATGAGGCCAGGCTCTCAAAATCAGCTTTGCTGGAGTCCACAACGGTCGATTTTGACGACTTGATTTTAGTTTCTGCGTCAGTGGCCTCGAAAAAGTTCGCAGCTGGCAAACCGGAAAGCCAGGTCCTCATTTCCTCGCAAATCCTTGCAAGTTCATCATCTTCTTCCCGCCCACGGGGTTTTCCTGGCGGACTCGCTCCTGCTAAGCCTTTCATGATGAAATCTGATGATGAATAGCTTGTCTGATAAGTTAGAGCATTCCCTCCTGGAGCACCGGGCTAGACAGCTTACTGAGGGGAAGTCTAAAAAGCAAGCTCGTCCGTCATGAAGGAGGCTATTGGGCCCCGGCTCTGGATACTTGAGCACGCTCTAGCGGCTTATAGACGGTGGATTTGTATCTCAATGACGGAGAGCACGTAGTTCAAGGAGAAACTGTGACGAGAGGGGGTAGGGAGAAATTTTCTCTGGGCACAGACAACTTCTCAGAAACTATCCAGGGAGGCACTTTTTTACGACAGTCCGCGGCAGCTGCCAAAGCAAAAGCCGACAGTCGTGGATGTTCACTTGCCAGCTGGCAAGAACTAATGCCACCTGATATTTGTCCTTCAGTCTGATGTTCCTCATTGGCTGCGCACTTATACAGAAAAATAAAAATTGACCGAAAACCCCATTTTGCTTTGTTACGATATACCTATCCATGACACAGACAAGCACTGTTGCATGATGACTTCCTCACGCTATGAAATATTTCGTCACCTTTAAAAGCTGCTTGAAAATGAAATTCGATAGATGTACCTCGCAGGGGAACCGAGACGCAATTGACGTATAATAGCCTCCACCCAGGCAAGCAGAGAGCAACAAAATTTCTAAATATGCCACACAGCTTCCTTGCTGTCCACTTTCAAGATCAACAGGTTTAACATGCGGCTCCTGTCAGTAAACATGTACGGACAAGGTGTCTCGATCTGTATAGTATACACTAAGTCGAATTGTACTATCGGCCGCGTGGCCTAATGGCTAAGGCGCTAGATTTCGGTTTTCATGAGCAGCCGAGCTCTCTAGAGATTCCAGGTTCGACTCCTGGCGTGGTCGCGGATGACTCTTTTTTTTTTTTTGGCTTTCACCATTTACGAGTGCTCTCAACCCCGGCGAAGCTATTCTCTCTCCGTCTACTTGGAGCGAGCGGGCTCTTGTTCTTGTTGTTGGTTTCCTTCTCTTTTCGAAAAATATACTGTCAGACCTTGTGTCACTGTTGTTTCAATTCGCGTGGCCAAGGCATTCCACCATTTTCCAAAACAGCATATGTTATAGGTGCTCCGTATGACGGTAGCAATCAATCGCACAAGCGAAATCCAATCTCGAATACATGTGCTCAGCAAAATACCATTTGGCTCCAAATGAGTACGACTTCGCTTCGGCAACGTCTCCAGTTTCCACCGGGGCAAAGCCGAGTGCTTGCGGAGATGTCTTGCGCTTGGGCGACAAGTTTTGTTATATTCAACAGGTGAAGAGAGTAGCCTGGTGTCGATAAAAGCTTGCTCAGAACTGACGCCAGCTTCAAAGAAAGTCATCCGGCACTTGGTGAAAAGACCAGTTTATTTGCTTCGCGGGTTGGATGGACCCCTGCGACATCGCCAGCTCACTCACTATTGAGCAATCACCAAAAGTGCGCTGGTGGCTTGGTTCACCACCGAATGGCATCGTGCGGATATATAACGTTATATATCTACACACACAGATATATTTTTTCTAATGCTGTGCGACAATCGTACCTACTATTGCTCCAGCCGAGCTGACAGCGAACGACAGACCCATGTAGAGTCACCTCGTCCGCGATGAATTCCTTCTTCCGTAACACGACTTGAGTTTTGATAATATGTCCATAGTCACACTCAGCCAATCTTGCAAGCGATCATCCAAGATCAGACACACAGCAACGGTTGCGCCATCATACTTCGGTAATGCGGTTCTTGACACGTCAGTGTTGTATTTCCCTCGGCTGGACTCCTCCATAGTAGTGGTTGCTGCGAGATCATAAATAGATCGATCTTGATGGTTAAAAGCGACCGAGTCCCCGACCATGTAGCTTAGCCTCCGATTGAGCCATCTTCCTTTAACAGCCTACCGAAAAATTACTAAAAAAAAAATCAAGAACAAATTCAAGGAGGCGGAGAAGGCCAGAAACCACAATCAACAGAATGTATCAACGCTTGTTTCCAACCGCTTGTTTCGCCTTCTCGGTAATTCAGAGTATCTTGGCCCAGAGTTTCAATCCAGGGGTGCTCCTTCCACAACACAAATCGCCTTTGCTGGGGAATATCTGTAAATCGCTTCAAAGGGCTTGCGATATAAAACAATTACCTGCGAAAATTGAGGTACGATACATGACATTGCATCGACTGTAACCTGGCTGACGATTCATGAGAAACTGTGTGATGAGAACTGTGAGAAGGATATCAGTGCGAAAGACCTCCACGATTGGATTTGCAAAGACTTGAGAAAGGTACCAGAGAGATTTTTATAATCCCAAGTTGCAATCATATGACTCACCACGGGCAGTTTACCAAGAGGCTCGGAAAATGCGCCAACAATGTCCAAACCACGATTAAGAAGCAGTGCAAGGACAAGTGCAGCTGTTCCAGAGACGAGAATTGCGGCGTAAATGAAGTCTGCAAAGACCGCGCGTGCAATCCCAAGGTCTGCCACCACTATCGTGAGTGCAACGGTCAAGTTTGCAAAAACAACAAGTGTGCGCCTTGCACATCAAACAAGGATTGTGATTTCCGGCCAAATCTTCAGTGTACCGGCGGCAAATGTGTTCCAAACGTCGTTGAGTCGCAAAAATGTACCAAGAATTCGGATTGCAGGCCGGGACTTGTTTGCAGAGTTGGTGACTGTTGGCAATGCCATGCTGATTCTGAATGCGACAAGGACATGGTTTGCAGCAACGACCATTGCATGCCCAAGCCGCCGACTTGCGGACAAGGCGGCTTTGACTGGGCAGAGTGGCGAGGCCCTTTATCCTGGAGCAGTGTGAAATCGCCTCCGTTTGCAGAGTATGACCCGGCCGTGTTCAAGTCCCAAAAGCCTGAGCATGACGGTCGAACAAACGCGCTGCTTATTGACAACCCAAAGGATTTATACGGACAGGCCATAGATATCAACCTTGCTTCTGTGATACACCAGGGATTCCTCCTGGCTCCGGAATCAGGCAACTACACGTTCATCTTTGGGCAGGCAGACGATATTGTTCTGGTCTGGCTGGGCAACAACGCCTTCCGCGGTTGGACTCGGGCAAACGCAGACATTGAGAGGACGTATATCCCGCCTCCCGGTGACGAGACGCATACCACAAGGCACCTGGAGCAGGGGACGTATTACCCGGTCAGAGTGGCATGGGGTGACAAGGGAGGAAATACAGCCATGTCGGTCAAAATCATTGCCCCAAATGGCACGGAATTGACCGGCCAGGACAATGGCTACTTCAGGACCGAAGCGTGTGACGGTTCGTACGACAAGTTCCCTCCATATGGTCCGTCGTAGGTGAGGGTTGAGGGTCAAGGGTGCGTGACGCGGGTGCGCAGAGACAGTTGCTTGTATCGCTGTACGTTTTCGCTTTTTGGAGTCGATGTGCGCGGCCACGATGGCGGCGACCTTGTCGCGGCTCGCGTTGTCTAAAGACGATCCCTGACAATGACTTGCATGCGTACGAAAATTGTTTGTTGAACGATGAAGACTGGCTCAATGGGTGAGGACGGACCTCGTCAATTTGCATGTGGTCTTGAAAGGGCAGCAGGGCACCCACCGCACATGATTTTAATGCTCTTAGCTCTATAGCTCTAGCAGGCTGCAGCCAGGTGGGCTGCATAAGTAACTTTCCTGGACCGTTCATTACTCCGAACATCCAATCGTACTTAAGTAGGTACTTAAGTAGCTTAAGCCCTGACTGTACTTGTGCACAATTGCTTCTCGAGCCCTCGACTCGTCTCTCACCAGGCCCTTTCTAAACGACTTCCCTTCTTCCTCGTTCAAAATGGCTCGCAAGTTCTTTGTCGGCGGCAACTTCAAGATGTGAGTCCGTCTCAAACAGCCGATGCGGCACGGCATTACCCCTCCATGCCCCGCGTCTACGTCTGCGTCGGAAGCTCGCAAAACACCGCAAGTCACGATGAGATAGCTTGGCAGCTAGACGAAACAGCAAGAGAATGGCTGACAGGGGTATGCTAGGAACGGCACTGTCTCTTCCATCAAGGAGATTGTCGAGAACCTGAACAAGGCCACTCTCGACCCCGAAGTCGGTACGATACCTTCGCAATCTTTTCGTCTCCGAAACAATAGGAATGGTGACCTGACTACATGAACAGAGGTCGTTGTTTCCCCTCCTGCCTTGTACCTCCAGCTTGTCCGTGACAGCCTCCGCTCCAGCGTCGAGGTCGCCGCCCAGAACGTCTTCGACAAGCCCTGCGGTGCCTTCACCGGCGAAATAGCCGTCTCCCAGCTCAAGGACAGCAACATCAACTGGGTAATCCTGGGCCACTCAGAGCGTCGCACTATTCTCAAGGAGTCTGATGAGGCGGTCGCCTCCAAGACCAAGTACGCCACCGAGAACGGCGTCGGCGTGATATGGTGCTGCGGTGAGAGCCTCGAGGAGCGCGAGGCTGGCAAGACCATTGAGGTTGTGAGCAAGCAGCTCGAGGCCCTCAAGGCTCAGATCAACGACTGGTCCAAGATTGTCATTGCCTACGAGCCTATCTGGGCTATCGGTACCGGCAAGGTTGCTACCACTGAGCAGGCTCAGGAGGTGCACAAGGCCATTCGCGACTGGCTCAAGAATCACGTCAGTGACAAGGTGGCTGACGACACTCGCATTCTTTATGGCGGTAGTGTCAATGAGAAGAACTGCGCCGAGCTGGGCAAGCAGCCTGACATTGATGGCTTCTTGGTTGGCGGTGCTTCTCTCAAACCTGCTTGTGAGTTTCGGTGTCCTGTCTTGATCTTCATTGTGGCATTAGTCTAACCCGTAACTCTCGCAGTCGTCGACATCATCAATTGCAAGAGGCAGTGAAGTGTGCGCAAAACAGCAAAACTTTAGTCAGGGACTTCGCAGCCTCCCTCAGAAAATAATAGTCTGAACAAGTCTCTTCATAGACATTGATGTATTCCATTTCTGGACAATATGATGATGGTACAAGCGGACTGTAGAATCGCGTTGCAGTTTCCTGATCTTCCTTCCTGTGATCAAGTACAAGTAACCCTTCAAAAGTCCAAAGCATCCGAGTTGGGCGATGCTGAATCCACAATATTTGCTCACATGAGGAGGGAAAAAATATACAAGGCAAGCTTCCTCCCTTCATATGCGTCTGTGATATCTTCCATGGCAATCAAGCCTTACACAACCATCCCCTTTCCGTGGTACGGTGACCAAATTCCTCTGACACTAGGGTTGGTACTCGTGACCGCTTTATTCGTTCTCTTCAACTTCTCACCGCTCGCGTCTCGTAACAACTCTGATTTCTGTAATATCTCGTATGGTGATAGATTTCGTACGCATATAGGTTTCGTGCGTCCATTAATGTAATGCCCAATGATGACAGGGTGTTTACCGGGTCGGGGAGAGATGGCGAATTCAATTTGAGGGTTCGCTGCTGCGAATTTAGGGAGAAGAGATTTGATGAAGCCACTACACGGGGTTCGTTAGGTACTTCGACTTCACTCCATGGTAGTAGCCCCTTGGAGAACCTACTTCATGCCTTTGGAGCTTCCAGCCCAATCGCAATAATGAAAGTCCATCTTCTTGCATTGGAGGATGAACGAACCGACACCATTCTGTTGCTCCGTCAGAGTTGATCCAAAGGTCACTGGATCCTAGGATATACCGATTTGTCTTACCTTGCCGCTCGCAACGGCGCGCAATGCCCTTACAGTCATCTTGCTGTAGCCGCGAGTAATATCCTCATGATGCGTTTGACGGATCCTCTGCTAGCACGGAGCGGAGCACTCGAAAATTCGTTGCTCAGGTTGGGGGTCTCCAAAGGGGGCTTAGCGTTGCCCGGGCCAGCACCGGCAAAACTAAGCCACGAGGCATCTTCCACCTCAGAATTTCCAAGAGCTTTCGCATTCACAATAGTAATAGCCACTTGTGACCATTATATTTCATAGCCCTCCCGGCATCAATTCCCCGTAACTACGGGCTCGGGGACGGTCGCATTTCGGTCGTCAACTCTTCTGTCAGATTTTCACACGCGTTGGACCGCTCGTACCCGACGTCATGACTGACAAGCTGCCACCGAATTTGTTGGCCTTGTTCGCGCCACGGCCTCCCTTGCGATGGGTAGAGCCTTCGGATTACGCCCCCGGGAAGCGCAAGACCGCACCCATTGATGGTGTCGCCGGTTTCCTGCCTGAGCTTCAGAAGTACAAGGAGACGGATGTCTACAATCCCACCGAGAGTTGGCTCGAAGCGAGGGATAGAAAAAAGTGGGAGAAGAAGGAAGCTGTCGAGAGGCTGCTCATTGAAGGGCCCAAGAATTGTTGGTGGCATGTTCCGTGTGCTGATGGCACCTCTTGCTAACGCCCAACATAGACGCGCCCAACGAGGACCCAAACATTAGAGGCGATGCGTTCAAGACTCTCATTGTTGCGCGGCTCAGCTATGACGCTGACGAACGGGACTTGGAGAGAGAATTTGGTCGGTTTGGTCCGATTGAGCGCGTTCGTCGGCCCCGAATATGTTCCAAAGTACGCATGGCAAGTGCTAACCGAAACACAGATTCGTATCATCACGGATACCCACGCGCACGAAAAGCCTAACAAGAAGAAAAAGGCCCACCGTGGATATGCCTTTGTAGTATTTGAAAGAGAAAAGGATATGAGAGGTAACTATTCCCCGCCTATGCCCTGTTGGTGACTTTTCAAAAGCACGACCTCCCCTGGATGTACCTGTTGGAGATGCGGCCCTCAAGCTTGCCTATTCTCTGTGAAGACACATCGAGAATCTCACAAAATGGCCCTCAAGCTTGCCTGGTCTCGATTCCTTCTTTTGTTCTCTTTCGTCCCTCAGACCTGGTTGCAGCAATTGGTGATTATTCTGGTAAGAGTTGCTAACACCTGCGCCCCGGTGGCGCATGTACCATGTAGCTGCCTTGGATTCCTGTGATGGTATTCGTATCAAAGACAGACGCATCAAAGTAGATGTCGAAAGAGGCCGAACCGTCAAAGGATGGAAGCCGCGTAGATTAGGCGGCGGCCTCGGCGGACGGGGTTACACCAAGGCAGCACCCGCTCGTCCTGGAGGCGGCCCTGGAGGAGGCTTCGGCGGCGGTTTCCGTGGCGGCTTTAAGGGATTCGAAGGCGGACGCGGCCGAGGTGGCTTCCGTGGCGGGTTCGGTGGCCGTGGCGGAGGATTCAGGGGCGATGGACCCCGTGGTGATAGAAACGGCTTCGGTGCGCCGAGCGGAGCTCCATCCGGGCCTGGAGGCGACCGCAGAAACGGTGACCGCGGCTTTGGCGGCGGATTTGATTCCCGGGGCGGGCGATCCTTTGACGATAGACCTGGAGGTGGTTACCGTGATGGCGGCCGTCGCACCGGCGGCAACATGGAACCTATCGGACGCAGAGAGGGTGGGTTTCGGGATAGAGACCGTGACCGCGACCGCGACCGTGATCGTGATCGGGGCGACCGTGAGAGGGACAGAGACCGAGTTGGTCGGGACTACGACAGGCCGCCGCGCGACGATGATAACCGCAAACGAGGATACGAAGGAGGTGGCTATGAAGATCCCCGAAAACTGCGACGATACTAAACACATCCATCCGGTGGGTATAACTTCAAGTTCGAGGTATGAGATGGTCCGTGCCTTGAGCTCTACTCCTATAATCCTTCTAGTAGTCGAGAGACGCATTTTTCGCAAGCGCAAGAGCCACAACCGGTGTATGTTGCTACAGTCGACGTGCCCACCTTGGGGAAGACACAAGGTGATGGGAATATTGATGGGAAGGTAAACTTGACACTTTGTATTTCTGTCTGTATTGGTAGGTTAGAAACAAAAATTAGCGCGTAGCATGGAGTGGCTACTGGTATCGTTGCTATCATCACGACTAGGTAAGGTCAGAGGTAAGGCGCATCTGACTACCGACCGAAATACGGTGAAGGGTTGGACTTTTTTTTTTTCCCTCTCTTTTCCCTACTTCGCCTCAGACCGTTTCCGGGACAGGTCTTACCGTTTACGAGGACCGCACTTTGCCAACGGATTTGTCGCACAAGACGCGAAATCCATTACGGCGGAGTGCAGAACAAGAACGAGAACAAGATACTTGAGAGATAGTGAACAGGTAGTACAGTGCTTTTTCATATTGACGTCACCAGGGTCTCCAAATGCACATGAATCCCATCCTCGCCAAGCCCCCCAAAAAAATCCCATTAAACGCCAGATTCGTTGAATGATCCACCCGATATCAGTCGAGACAGCAGATTGCCAAATGCCCATGGTCTTCATTTCAAATACTCCTTCGGCCTTTTTCTTCTTCTCTCCTCTGTCACTAGCTATCGTCCACGCCGTCCATGGCAGACGGATCGACTTCTGTGACCTTTCCGCTCGCCGAGCTCCAGTACCTAGAAAAGGGGAGAACAAACGAGAAAAAAAGTCAGCATCACGGCTCCCACTTCGGTTCCACGTCAGGGCTGGGCAAAAAACGTACGCCAAAATCTTGACCCTGAACTCGGAGATGCAAACCCCAAACAACTTCAGCAGCCTCGTCTGCCTGGAGTCCAGCACGTCCCCACGTTTGCAAACCACGTAGCCCTCGCCCTGGCCGCTCTCGTCGCCCAGAACCACTCTGCCCTTGACCATGCGTGTCGGCACGTTCAGCTTGCGCAGCTCGGGCTCGATGGTGTGCTCCAGAGGCAAGTCGTTCTCTACGGGGACTTCTCCCGCCGTGGCGTACACGATGCCTGCGGGAATGGTGAAGTCCCGCGGTGAAGTGACGCCCGCGCGGGCGAAATCCACGGGGGCAAAGTTGTTGAAGTACTCGAGGATGGATTCGACGGGGCGGTTGGTCAGGAGGAGGCCGACGGTGCCGCTGAGGAATTGAGTCAGGTCTTCAATGCCGGGGGCGATGGCTTCGGAGGGAGACTGGCCGAGGGCTTTGGCCATGAGTTTGGTCTTGCCGAAGAAGAGTCTGGTTGTGGCGTCAGCGGAAGAGATTGGCGGACTCGAGAGGGAGGGGGCGGGAATGGAAATTACCTGCTGTCGTTCAGTTCGTGGCGCACGTCCTTCAAGTAGCTGTTGCGCATGTTGTCGACACTGAATACGAAGCAGTGCTGGTATTCGGGCACGGCATCGCGGATGTTCTGGAAGAGCTTGTCTTTTTGCTCGCGGGTCTTTTTGGCGACTTGGGTCAGGTGGAAGACTTTGGCTCGTCTTGACTTGGGCATGGTAGCGGATCTGGGTGCCTGTCCGGGGGGGAATGGAATTTGCTGCGCGTCTCCTGCCGTTGCCGATGCTTGCGTTGCTGGCAGTCGAGGGGAACCAGCGAGGTTGGCGACGCTGAGGCGAGGCGGTGATGGTGGGCGGTCTCTTTGGGAAAAAAAAAAAAAAAAAATTAACGGAGCAATGGACTTGCGATAACTGATAAGATTGTAACTTAGATTTCGAAACACCAGACGGCGTGTGAGTGGTCGGTTTGAGAGGGGCAACGGGCGGAAGGGAGTACGTACCTAGGTACCTGAGCACCGCCGCAGCCAGAAGTCGGTCTTCAATTTGTGCATTTGCATTTGTCGAGCCATGATCCGGACGACGGCGCTTGGACATAATGTTCTCGGTCCTCATTGTCCCCATCCATTGTCACGGATGTCACATGGCGTGCGTAAGCTGCCCCGGCTTACGCCCACCTCTGCTTGTCAATTCGGGGGCGCCCGCGCCGACTCACGCCGGAACCAGGACGTGTAAACGAAACGCACGCAGTCCATCATGTTCGCGCAACTTCTGTATCGGCGCTGAATAGCCGAGTGCACGTGTACACGTATCGAGATCAACTAGGTAGGCAGACGACACTTTGGATTGAGTACCCTCGCTGTGCAGCGTGCGGCCACGCCATGAGCCAGGCATCTTCAGCCTTCTTTGCGTAGCAGCCACCTTCTTCAACACCATTGCTGAGAACAGGATCATATCCTCGGTGAGATACCTGATACAGAGTTCATCGCGCAGCTGCTGAGTTGCCTCTGCTCGCTCTCAATTTCAACGTCATGTCGACCCTCACGAATACACTGTCTCCACCAGCGTCCTCCCCCAGATCAAGTCCTCTAGGCGATGAATCGAGTGGCATTTGTCTGATTCAGGTAGTCAGTTGATGAGAGGGCTATTTATCGGCGCGGGAGCTGGGCTCTTCTTCGCTCCGATGATGTGCTGTTGGCTCCTTTGCATTAGGGGTTGGAATCCAAGGAGCCCGAGGCCGAGAGAGTGACAACTTTTTGGCACGCGTCATGCTGGGTAGCAGTGCCCCCTGCTGGGCCTTCTTTCGTGTTGCTTTACACAGCTTCACGATTTGCAGATATGAAGGGTACCCTGTAACCTATACTCCATGCATCGCGAACGGTTCAACGTTGATGCTCGCGGCAAATCCTCGCGTGATTTCCTGATCCAGCCCGGCCTATGATTGCTGTGCATCCTCAAGGTGTTTAACCCTTTCTTGGATGCCGAACAACTTGCCATCACGACAGGGCCGCTGCTGTTGCCGAGTTCGTCAGTCGACCCAGACAGGAGCCTTCGTCATCAGCTAGTCAATACACATCAAGCAGACGCATCAGCATATATTTACAGACCTATCATGTCAATAGTCCCGCCACGACAAATTTTCAAGTCTTTGTCACGTTGGCCATCGCTTCCCAAGGGCTTTTGTTCGCAGACGCCTTGCGATGCTCCACAGGTGGGCCAATTGACTCTTCCGACTATCGCAGCCACGCACGGACCACATGCCATTTGACGATGACCACCACCTTTGTGTTTTTTTTTTCCCCAGTTTCTTCACTTCACTTCACCTCACCCCCAACTTGACGTAGTTTGCATTTGCATCAACACCTCATCCCGACCCCCTTTCCCCCTTCTCCCCCATCCTCTCAAGAATCACCTGCATAGGTTTTCTTCTCTTCTCCGCAACGTTCTAATTTGTCTCTACTTCCCCCATCACCGCGATAGCGATACCCTTCTGCCTGTCCCCTCCCACCACCTACCTGAGCCACCTTCGTCGTGAGGTGCCTACACAGCGTCGTTTGCCATTGCCACTTCGCGATACCTCGTCGACAGACATCTCCGTCTCGATTCATTATCAGAGGCATCAAATTTGATCGTCCTCCTCCGCCGACTTTTCCGCATCGATACGCACACGCGCACGCGATCTGCTGCCTTTGTGCCTTCATTACGGCCCTACCACACCCAAATCTATACGTCGCCGAATCATCCAGGAGAGGGCAACCATGGCCACCAACGGTAACTTCGCGCAGCAGGAGCAGTACAAAGCTGCTGATCCTGCTGCTGGTACCGACACCAACACCAACGGCAACAACCTTTCAAAGGATGAAGTCGGCTGGTACTTTGTTGAGCAGTATTACACAACTCTGAGCAAGTCGCCAGAGAAGCTTCACGTATGTCACGGACCCATTTCACAGCCGTCAGCCTGATATGTCCCCGCTAACCGAATCCGTATGTGAAGCTTTTCTACGGCAAACGGTCGCAATTCGTCTATGGCCGCGAGGCCGAAGTGGCCAATGTCTCCGTTGGACGACAGGTAGGGATTCCCGTTTGCTCACCCACCTTTACCCCGTCGCAAACCTGACCATTGTGTTACCTTACAGGCCATCCAAGAGCGTATCAAGGCTCTCGACTTCCAGGAGTGCAAGGTCCGTGTCTCCAACGTTGACTCGCAGGCTTCCTTCGAGAACATCGTCATCCAGGTCATTGGCGAGACCTCCCATAAGAACACCGAGCCCAAGAAGTTTGTTCAGACCTTCGTCCTCGCACAACAGCCCTCTGGGTACTTTGTTCTCAATGACATCTTGAGATACATTAGCGAAGAGGATGAAGAAGAGGCTGCCGTGACTACCGACACTCCTGCTGCTGTTGTGGAGGAGACCGCTGCTCCAGCTGCTGCTGTCTCTGAGCCCGAAGTCGTGCCTGAGCCGGAGCCCGCTGGGGAGGTTGTTCCAGCCGACGCCACCAAGTTTGATGCCGATGCCGTTGACGAGAAACTGCAACAGGCTGCTTCTGCCCAGGTGGACGCCTCTGTCAATGGCGAAGACGTTAGTGAGACCTCCAAGGCTCCCGAGCCCAAGGTTGAGCCAGCACCCGCTGCCCAGGAAGTCACCGAGAACCTCACCCCTGAGACTGAGAGACCCAAGGAGCCCAGCCCAACTCCCGTGGCCAAGAAGGAGACTGCTCCTGAACCCGTCATGCCTCCCAAGCCCATGACCTGGGCCAGCCGAGCTGCCGCCGCCGCCGGACCTCGACCTGTTGTGCCTCTTCCTAAGACTGCCACTCCCCCTGCACAGAACCAGAGCAAAGCGCCTGCTCCAACTCCTGCTGCCGCTTCTGCTGCTGCTGCCTCCTCAGCTCAGCCTGCCCCTGCCGCCGCCGCTCCAGCCAACGAGGCTCCAGCCAAGGAGTCGTCTGGCTGGCAGACTGCTGGTGCCGACTCCAAGCGCCAGAACCGCCCTCAGTCTATCTCAGCAAACGTCGCCGAGAAGGAGGGCACACTCGGCTACGTCAAGTACGTGACCGAGAAGGTTCAGGAAGCAGATTTGCGTAATGCTTTGGCTGCCCACGGTGAGCTGTCTTACTTTGACATCAACCGCCAGAAGGTACGTTGAACATGTGGTTGGATTGAAATTGGGTGACAGGAGCTAAATTTTGGGACTCTAGAACTGTGCTTTTGTAGAATACAGGACGGTCGAGGGCTACCAAGCCGCTATCACTGCCAACCCCCACGTGGTCAATGGTGAGAACATCGTTGTTGAGCCCCGCCGTCCCAAGTCTACAGCGTACGGCGGCAATAACTACGGTTCCGGTCGAGGAACTGCGCCGGGCGGTCGTGGTCGTGGAGGCTTTGACGGCAGCCGCAATACCCAGGGTAGCTCTCGTGGCAATTTCTCGGGTCAGGGCCGCGGCCGTGGAGGTGCTGCGCGTGGTCGGGGTGGTGCGCAGGCCACCTCGTCTTAATTCATGGCACTCACCTCTTCGTCCTTGCATTCAGATATTCCTCAACAGTCGCGAGGATTGGGCATCGCCTAGGCGAGCTGAGCTTCAATCATGGCAATGTCAATGTCGTATAAAAATTAAAACCTCATTAAAGGGCACATTGACATGGCAAAAACGACTGAACCTTGTCGGGCATTCTTGTCACCAGAATGGGGAAGTGGATACAAAATTTGTAGGAAGGCAACGGTATTTCTTGAGTTGGAACTGGAGCCAAGTTTCGGGGACCAGCGCCGGCGCATACGGGTTGAAGTTGCATTAGGGACTGCTTTTCTTCTCTTACATTCTCCCTTTTTTTTCTCTTTATTTTCTTATTTTCTTTTTCCTCTTTTCCCCTTTTTTCCTCTTTTTTTTTTTTTTTCCGCTGACTGCATTGCGCTGCCCAATCAGCATATCTGGTAGTATGGTTATTGGTGGATTACAATGAAGCAGGACGGAAACAAGTCTAGCGAGACGAAGGTGTATGGTTGCACAAGGCGTCCTTCACGGCCGGACCCTTTGAAAAGTTTTAATGTGTGACGGAGCATCCGATGGAAGATGATGGTACTATTGGGGACAAGGGGAAAGTTGGGGAAGGCCAATGTACAAATTTTTGACATGGCATGGATACTCGCCTGTCTTGGAGGGAGGGAGGAGAACAAGACGGAATCAGGGAGAACGTAGGGATTCTCATTATTTTCTCTGTGACGGCGGGAGAGTGGAATCGATGACGAAACTGGACAAAAACGCTGCTGGGCTTTCTTTGGCACCAGGACAGCATGACGGGAGCAGTTGAGATGATGGCTGTACAATATAACGCTGGCCGGGGCCGACGGGGGTTGCAGGGACGAGAGACTAAGCCAGAAAAGAACAGAACAAGTCGTCGACGTGTCTCAAGCTCGAAACGGGTGCTGGACGTCTGCCTAGGTCCTCTTGGTGACGGACTGGCAAGCTTTTTGTCACAAGTGCCTCACCACATCGCGACTGAACAGACAAGGTGTGGGCACAGAGGTCTTCAAGGAAGAAACCGCAGCCAACTACGGAGTACATCGAGACTCATCAATGAAGACCATTGGCTCTGTTCAAGCCTCGCCGTAGGCATCATGTGACCAAGTCCGGTCCGTTACACATGACTTGCTTGCCCGCGGTCTGGGCCACGCCATCCAGCACGGTACTCCGTACGCTTTCATCTCATTCGCATCGCATGTCGTGGTGATTATTCGTGAGCCCTTCTGGGCCGAGTTGAGTTGCAGAAGGCCACAGTGAATTACATGGGATGGCATGGGTCAGGCATGTTTCGCCGCACCCAACATCGGACAGCATTACCGAGACGGTACTTTGGACGAGGCTGCAGGACCTGACACACAGCAGATCGGCATTTGCGAAGCAACCCGGGTGGGGAAGCAGTCGAGGGTCGAGGGTCGAGGGTCGGGCGTGCGAAGGTGGTTGTGGTTGCGATCAGGGTGGCCGGCTTTTGCGTGCAAGCGTGCTTGAGATGGACGACTCCCTCCCTGCCTATATGGAACCCCCCCCAGGAGATAGAGGTCCGAAACACATCAGTTGGGCGGGATGAGCCGATCAATCGCGGAATGCGGCGGGCGCGCTGTCCTGACTCGAGGGCCGAGGGACTTGGAAGCGCACGAGATCTGCAGGTAAGAAGGTAACTTACCATGGCGACGCAGCTTTGGCATACCCGTTGTTGGCCGTGTCGTCCCCATGATGACCGTAGGTGCATACAGCATGATAGAGTGGCGTTCAATGATTCTCCCCTGTCCGAGTGGCGCCGCCCCAACTCATCTCAACAAGTGAGTGTCGCAAGTTGTGTTGCAGCAAGACCGCGGTAAATCCGCACCAGCCGTGGAGGCGAATCTAAAATAGGACGTCAAACTAGTATCTCGCTAGCCGTTACTCCGTAGTTGCGCATGATTGGGGGTCCGCAAATACTACCGGAGTACGGAGTAACGGCTGCGAGATGCACAAAGGGCTGCAGAGGCAAAAGGGTCATTTGGCCGGAGCGCCGTCATCACAAAGGTGCCGCAAAGGTGCCAGGCAAAAGATCAAAAGTTCCGGTGCGTTGAGCCGAGGGTGTGTGCCTGCGCGCACCGCTCCACACGCGTCTCATTGGATGCTTGGCCTGGCTCGGAGTTCCCTCTGCTGCGTCGCAGGCCGTATCTGCTTTGTGTCGGGGTATCATCTTGCCAGCATGGCCTGCTTTCTGATAGTTAGAAGTCGACCACCACCGAGCGCGTGCATCCGGGCCATGTTTTCAACGGCCGTCGTCGAAATGAGGAAATCCGCATCTGTTTCCGGTTCTCAATGCGCCCCGGCTCCTGGTTCAGACCTGTGCCCCCGTGACGGGCATTTACATGTCCAAGTCTGGGTTGCACGACATCATCCTTGAAATCCCAGTGCAGCAGTCCATCTCCATGCCGTCTCCTTCTCAACCGTGCCGGGTGAAAAACGCCCTTTCTGCCCTAGGTCAGCAATCAAATCGTATATCCGGCTATCCTTTTTTCGATACGGAGTACAGCATGCTGGTAACTCCGAGACGCCCCTTCTTTCCCTATGCTACGGCAGCAACAGTCGCGTTTGGACCGCTGTGCGTATTTCGTCGGCCCATCACAGCTTCGGGTGGCGGAAAAGGTAGCGAGGAGGGTTGACAGATCCACCAAACAACGTCCGTCGCGTTAAGTAGTCATAGGATGCCGAGGACGCTCGCCGGCCTTCGTTCTTGCCTCCTGTTTGCATCTCCACGTCTCTTGCGTGGCACCTACCAGCTCCGGCTTAGCGCATCGGGCGGGCATACGGGCCTTTGGCAGGGCCAGCTGGCTCTTTCCTTCTGTTATCAGGCTGCTGAGGCTCCCAGCAGCTCTGCGTAGCCGCGAGCACCGGCTGGAGCTGGAGCTGGAGCTGGAGCCGGGCCGATCTGAGAATGGGCTTGCTGCATTGCCCGTCGCGAGCTTCGGTGACGCGGCTCAGCCTGAGTCGTGCCCCTGTCGGGCCCTGGCCACGCCCTTTGGTGCCGGTTCCCTCGTCCCCTGCGTACGGAGTAGAGGGCGCAGATCTGGCTTGGTGCCGACGATTGGTCCACTTGTGACCAGGGCCGCTCGGGTGACCGTGGCTTCGACTGGCCGCTTTTCCGCCAGTCGCTCTTTCTGGAACGACGCCGCGCCTTCCAAAAGTGCTTCGCCTTTTGAGCTGCACTTGCACTGGCGAGTGGCAGTTGCGGAGCACGCACGTACGGAGTAGTTGCACTTCCCTTCTGGTCGAGCCGGCCTTTGCTACATCTGGCCTTGGCCTCCGCCACATGACTGACTCTCCGTGCCTTTTTCAAGACCAGTTGGCATTTCGGTTTCCGCCTTGAGACATCAACTGACTGGTCAAGGCGTTCCGATCCTGGCTGGCTGGTCCTGCGACTTTCCCGAGAACTACCAGACTTATAAGTAAGACGTGGATATCACGGCCAAGTGCAAACTCTAATATTGGCCCTAGTGGCGCTAGACAAGTCTCGAGGCGCAGTTCGCATCTCGAGCCCTCGGGCATATTTTGCCTCGTTTGACTCTCGACGTGGGAGTCAACCACCACGGCTACCGGAACTGGGATGCCGTACCCGCTGTCCGTACCCCATTTCCCCGAGGGGCAAGCTCTACTGCGCACGTCTCGGAGCGCAGAGTTGTATCCTCTCTCACCCACCCCTCCCCCCTGCCAACGCAGGTGAATGCTACCGAGTACTTCATCATTCATCCGCCGTCAACATTCGCCGCCGGCATTCCTCTTGTCGATCGATGCGTTGGTATTTTTGGGTCCTTCAGTTCCCACCCGAAGACGCAAAACTTTGTCCGCCACCACCACACTGACAAAAGAGCCGCCGGGCTGCAACCACGGCCCAGACACTCGTCAAACCAACCCCCCCAAGACAAGACTCGACTTCCTCTCGAGTCCCTTCTCGATCCTCGCTGCTTTCTGACTTGACCCATCATGTCTCGGAGCGGGTCGCCATGACCAAACTTTGCCTTCACTCCGTCTACGGAGACTCCCATTAGCAGAAGGGTGACGCAGCGTGGCCCGTGGCCCACGCCCCCGACACCTTACCAGCAGCGTCATCTTTAACCGCCCGAACCTTGACCGAGCCCTGTAAATATAAGCCGGTCCTCTCCCATGGACCGCACCGGCGCCTCGATTCGTGAAGATGGACAAGCGACTGTGTCGTCTACGCCGCCTCCTCGGCGGCGTTATTCCATGGAGGAGGATCTCCACTACAATCGCGTAATGGCCGCCCCCCGACGACGACTCTCCCAACCGGAGGCCTGCGAGCCCTATCCTAACGACTCAGATGTTGGCGAGGAGAATCCGGGGCCAGGCCGGAGGAAAGGGAGTCGAGCCGTGTTCGACCAGTCAAACGAAACCGAAGGAGAAGGAACCGAATCGCTTCCAAACTACCAGAGTTCATTGTACATCGAAGGAGTATTCTCCAAGAAACATGAGATTGAAAACACCACAAAACGAGCCGAGGATCGTCACTGGCACACCAGATTTGTCACTCTAAACGGAACTGCCCTCAATGTGTATACCGTAAAGAAGGACTGGGGATGGGGTCGAAGCCGAGATGGCCCTTCGATATGCCCCGACAACCCTCCGTGGGTAAGGAAGTCGAAGCTTGAGAAGAGCTATAGCCTGATACATGCCGATGCTGGTATCGCAGCTGACTATACAAAGTGAGTCCGTCCTCTGATCTTCCAGCGTGGACATGTCCCGGACACTAACATTTGACAAAAGACGGCGATACGTCATTCGTATCAGGGCAGAGACTGACCAGTTTCTTTTGTCGTGTATCGAATTGGCCACGTTTGTTAAATGGCTCGAGGCCTTGTTTGCAGCCATCGATGTTGCCGCCCCTATTGATGACCGGGACTTTCCCCGGGACATGTCAATTCCTCGTATTCAACGCATTCGATGGTTTCAGGGCCAATCTCCTGCGCTCCCCGGCTATGCCACATCTGTTGAGCAGTCGAGAAACAACGAGACGTCTGAGGAGGGCCCGGAATTGTCCAACACGACGACACGAGCGGGTGCCAGCACAGGCTCCTCGTCTGCATCTGCACTGCGACCAGCACCAGTTCCGCAACCGCCGCAGGAGGCATCCTCCAACGCACCTCCGAGAATGGAACCTCTCAGCCGTCGCCTCAGTACCTCTTCTTATCCCAATCCATCAGTCGACCCGCATACTGGAAAGTGGTTTCCTGAACACAGGTGGTCGAATGCCCACGATTTGCTGTACGCTAAACTGTGCTACAGCAACTTGTTATTTAGAAGCCCTCGGAAATCCAACTACATAATCAGCAAGGGTAAGCAGTGGTTTGTGGATTGGGGCACGGGTAAAATGGTCCGTGTATTGCCCCCAACGTATGGCGAGATCGATTTTTTTGGGCCTTGGCAGGTTATTCATACCGAAAACCCCAGAATCTAGTGGCCAAGAGTTTGTCAAGATCCGACGAGTTTCGAGTCTGTTGGACCATTTGGACAGAAAGGTCTCGACTCCTCGACATGAGTGCCAACATTGAATATGGTCATGATGCTGCTGCGGAATCGATCCCGGGCTGTTGTAGCAACGGGAATGGGATGATGTTGATGGGAACAGGCCTGAGCAATCCTGGGGCTCTTGGCCGACGCATGTCATCCGGGCCTGGGCCCCTTGAGCCTTGCCACGATTTGTCCCACCTACATGCTCGGTTCTGCCTTGTCATGTTATCATCACGGCAACATTCTCTGCTCTCTCGGTCGGAATGGGATTGGAAGCAGCGAAGCAGTTCGCGGCCAACTTGTGACAAGCCCCCAACTGAAGGAAGGATGCATCTCTAATCAAAGGACGGGCGGTTTATCTGGTGCATTTGCGGAGCAATCGGAAGAAGACCATCATATACAAAAGGGGACACTGGTGCCACTTCATTGGGCGGAGTTTTTTTTCACTACATGTTGCCCTGGATGAGTTTTGAGGTTATTCCGGACGACTGTACATGCCAACATCCGGGTACCAAAGCTTGGCGTTTGTCCTGTTTCCATCGCGCACGGTAGAAGATGTGATGTGACTTTTTGAGAATAATCTCTGGTTGAAAATTTCTCCCGTCTGTTTGGTGTTTGTGAAGGTAGTCGGATGTGTTTCCATTCCCGGGTATCTAGGCAAATCAGCAGAACTCCAGGCGCCCAAACCAAGCCCCTCCCCCGCCCACGTCCCGAGGGAGGGCGTCGCAGTCCCGTCTCGGCCCAAGTCGGTCCCGTCAACCAGAGGCGCCGCCCGTGCCCGTGCCCGTGCCCGTCTCGGCATCGACGGCCCTGGCCTCGGCAGCCAGGTCGCCGACGAGAGGGCCCAAGACGCCGTTGGCAGAGCGCACATCGTCCACGGCGGGGGCGAGCCTCTCCAGCAGGGCGTCGATCTCGCCCCTCTGCGCCCTCACGTGGTCCGCCAGCAGCGCGTTCTGCGCCTGCGTCGTCTGCAGCCTCGCGTTCAGCAGGCCCCTCTGCTCGGCGAGCCGGGGCGCCAGGTGCGCCGCCAGCACCTCGCCCGGCGGCAGCAGGTGCGGCCTGCGTCGGCGCTCGTCAGCAGCAGCTCGTCTCGTCTCGTCTCGTCTCGTCTCGTCCCTCTCGCGTCCCGACTTACGGCGTGGGGGGCGCGGCGGCGCCGTGCGGTCCCCGCCGCGCCTCGGCGTCGGCGGCCAGCGCCTCCAGCTCGTTCACCCGGCGCACCACGTCCCTCGCGCCGAGGATGGCGCCGAACTCGCGCTCGCACTTTTCGCGCAGCCGCTCGACCATCTGGGCCTGCAGCCGGCGCAGGACGGGGGACGCGCGCCGCGCGATCGTCGGGTAGCAGGGCGCCATGTTTTCGTACGAGAGGCTGTCGAGCGTGCGCGCCAACGAGGCCGCGTACACCTGGTGCAGGCGGAGGGCGCGGGGGCCCGGCCTGGCTGCCTCTGCTTGTGCTTCCTCCTCTTTGCTCTTCTCTCCCTCGTCTTCCTCGTCTTCCCTTGCCCGCTCGGGCTGGGCCGTTCGTTCGGGGTCCGGCTCGGCGGCCATTCTTTCGGTGGGAGTCGCGTCTGGGCTCGTACGTGGGTTGGTTGGTTGGGTCATGGCCGGGTCGACTTTTTCTGCACGCGACGCGGTGCGTGTGGTGCACGAGCTGGCTCCACGTGATGCGGGGTCGTCGGCCGCGTCCGACCTGCGTGCTCGCCTCGCCTGTTCGGTGGTACAGAGACGGTCGGCTGGCGGGTGGCTTGCGGACAACTGGGAAAGGAGGGGCGTGTTTCGGGCTCTTGGAATAGAGCGAGGGCTTTTTATTTATTTACATTGTGTTCAATTTTCTCGGTGCGGACTGGCGGGAATCTCTCATGCGACGTGGTTCATCGTGATTGGGGTGTTGGGCCTTGGAGGAATCGCACCCTGAAGCGTCAAGTTGGTGACGCCAACTCTTCTACTCTGGAACTTGTCCGTGGCGTCCTGAGCCATGTTTTCCATCAAACACTGCGTGTAAAACAGTAAAATCAGACGCCGAGTCAAAAAAGAGTCATGCCCTGTCCCGTTTATATCCGCCTCAAGACGTGTCCTTCGGTCCATTGGGGTATTTCCAGAAACGCCCACTGCACGTCAACAACCGGTGCCGCAAGCTCAAAGCTCAGATGCCCACCAGTCACTGCGCCCTAGAGTAATAAGAAAGGGTGTGCGATATACTGCGTTAGTTTGCAGACAGAATCACGGCTGCATCTGCTGCCGTAGTATGGTCATTTCTCCCGCCGTCTCTTTTCAACCTCTCGCGCTCCCTTTTCCGCCTCTCCGCCTCCTTCTTCTTCTGCTGCGCCAGGTATGTCGTATATCGAATCATTCCCAGGGTGAGGATGGCCAGGAACACGAGACCGACGACGGAGCGTCGAATCAACACCCATCTCACGCCTTCGATTTCGGACTTGCTATCGCTGCTGAGGAGGATGCTCATCTTGTAATTGATTTTTTGAATCTGGCGAGAGGTCATTAAAAACTCATCCGGCACGCGGCCTCCCGTGGCAGACTCACAGCACTCTCAACGGATTTCTGTTCCTCCCGGACGGCCATGGTTCTGTCATTGAACAGCCCCCGAACGGCGTCATTGAGAGTCAGTAGCTCCTGGTTGAGGGATTGTGTGAGGATATCAACTTCGTGCTGCAAGTGCGTCCGCTTTTGTCTCATTTCTTCTTCTTGCAATCGCCGGTTGTTCTTGATTTCCGTGCTCAGCTCGGAGCAGGCGGCTTGAAAGAGATATGTCTCCTGGATGTTCACCAGCCTTGTTAGTCACATGGTGCTGTACGTGGTCCTCTTTGGAAACCTAAGAAACCCTACATTCTCAACGTCGCTCTTGCTGACCAGGCGCTTCTGCGCTACATCCAAGTTCTGCGCAAGAATTTTCCGTATCGCCTTCATCGAAGTGACGGCTTGCTCCCGTGAGTAACCGCCCTCCTCCAGCTGCTTCACCAGAGAGTAGCTATCAAAATGGTGTACGTACGGTGGAGGCGCCATGTGCGGGTGTTCGGCTTGACCGGGAGATGGCATGTGCAGAACGGCCTCGAGCGAGGGAGAAGCGGGAGAGTCGACGCTGGAGGGTGTCTGACCTGGTTCCTCTGTTTTGTTGCTGGAGTTGGCTACCGTGGGAGTGGCGTCTGAGTCCTCGGATTTACTGAGGGGAGAGTCTGCAGGGCTTGTTGACGGAGTCGCAGCTTGCACTCGGGGCAACTTTTCTGGTTCCGGCTTCTCAGTCTTCTCCGCGGCGACTCGTGGTTGCTTTGCGTCTGTCGGTGTTGTCGCATCTGCTCCCCCCTGTGCCGCAACTTCATGACCATCTTTTTTTGACTCGGCTGGCTGCGACAACTGTGCCTCCTGAGCATTGTTCCAAGTCGGCTCGACAGCCTTTCCATGCCTTGGGGCAAACAAGCTTTTGCATCTCGTCGTAGCCACCCGTCTCGCTGTCACAGTGGTGGGCACGACGGTTGTTCGTGCCACCCGCAGCAGATACGGAGGTAGAAAGCTCAGTCTACCGGGAGCCATCGTTGTTTATCGACGTCGGCGGTCCGCAAGCTCGAGTGTGGTATTTCAATGGCATACGACTGGGGGGAGTAACTCCCGGGGGTGGTTCCGGCGACGGCGCTATAGAAAAGGCAGCTTCATCGAGATTGACGAGGTGACGGTCTCGGAAAATATGGCACGAGCAAGTTTGCGAGGCATGTGGTGGAAATCGGGACTTGGCACGTCTGGTTTATTTCTTTTGACTGTCTGTTCGCGGGGAACGGAGAAATGGACTGTGCAAGCCGTGAATCCGATCGAGGCCCACTTTTCCCTCCCAATCACAAGCACAGTTCAGGGTTAGGGTTGATGGTCATTTACTCTTGGATGTCCGGAGTAGCCTCGGGAATGGAAGCAGGAATGCCGAGTGTGGTGCCGAGATGATCAATGTCGTATCACCCTGAGGATTCACATGGCCTTGGTTCTCCGAATCCGTCATCTGAATACGAAGCCAAATATTCGCGGCAAATCTGTTTCAGCTGAACCATAATCACATTGCATCTTGGCATTTGAACAACACTTCGCCTTCAGACACCACGACCCCGTTTTACAACATCCCGTCATTCCTGTACAGCACCAATATGGACAATGGACAACTCCAAGACCAGAGGGCATCAAATTCAAACGCTGAACGCACTTCTCGCTAGAATACAGTGCCGAATCAGAGCCCAGTCAAACAGTCAAACCCATCCAACTGCCGCCTAGGTGTTCCAACCATAACCCCTTGAGCCCTGTGACCGTTTCATCCAAGCGCTCTCATGCATTTCATCGGGATGCCACCCCGAGTCCCCCTCAAATGAGTGAAAATGACAGCTCGCGAAATCTAGTCGTCCAACATTGCACAACACTGGAGCCCGAGCAGAGGCAACAGCGAAAAGTATCGCAATTCCAATACCAAACAGAAATCGCACAAGTAGAAACAACCAATAATTTCCTTGAATACTTTGTGCTTTATCGCCAATAATGTTCCGAGAAAAGAATACGCATTTATTTTGTCACTGTGGCCACGGCAATATGGCCATCTTCATCTTCAACAAGGTCGCAGCGACAGGAAGCGGTGCAAACGTGAAAATAATAACAAAAATAAAACCTGAGAAAGACCAACTCCATCAAGGAGATGCATTTCTCTTGCAAGTGGCAGACATTAGTAAGTTGTATCGAGTATGCACATATGCATTTGTGTGAACGTTGTCGCTGCTGTAATGATGGACAGTATCTATGCGAGACAGCGCAAGATGCCTGTGCCTCTGCGCCGCCGTGTTTGCGAGTTCGATGCCATAAGACTTTTTACGTCGTCATTAATACAAATTAGTGGAAAGGAACGAAGATGCAGTCTGGAGCCGCGTCAGTCGTAGTGCCACTCCGTCACCCCTCTGCGCTGAATGACCTGCAGCGTGCCAGCTAGGCCTCTTCTTCCCGCACCTGCAGAGTGACCATATTGGACAGCTTGTCAGATGTCTTCTTTCCACTCTCTTCGGTCGGGATACTGATGGCGCTTGCGTGAGCACTGCGTGGGCTGCTGCTTTGAGGGCTGCTGGTTTCGTTGGTGAGGGCTGGGGTGTCCGCAGCAGAGTTGAGGTCCGTCTGAGTGGGTGCAGCGTCATGCTTCAGGCAAGAACTGCCGGATCCTAAGCCAAGAAGTTTCTCTAAAGCCTGGAGCTGACGCGATGATCCATTCTTTTTCAGGGCAAAAAATTGAGGCTTGATCTCTTCTACCAACATATCTCTCTCTCTGCCCTCAAGTTGGCCAAGAAGTTTTTCTGACACAAAAAGTTAGCATTCAAAGAGAAACACTGGTTGAGCATGTTGGCATCACTTACGAATAACGTAGTTGCCATATTGGTCTCGCATCATCTGCTGGAGGGGCCTGGTGCCATCACTACCCACGGTAGTAAGCTTTTCTCGAACACTGGTTCGCTGCTCAGCCGTACCATGCTCGATGCACTTCTCAACGACGTTGGACGCAAACTTGTGTTTCGACAGAGTGAGCAGCTGAGCCATGACGAGTTCTATCATCTTGGCTCGGTCTTCGGGCTTCCCGTTTTGAATCACATGTTGCGCCACATAGTTGCCATACTGATCCGTGATGAGTATCTGGGCAGACGCGTGTAGCTCCATCATAATCTCCGCCTTGTCGCTCTCCGTCCCATGCTCTAGCATGCGCTGGATGACGCGGCATCCGTACGTATGAGACGCAAGGCCAGTGATCTGACCCCTCACTGCGTCCGTGATGAAGTTAATGTGTTGTCTTGGGACCAGTTCAATGATCTTCTGGACCACATGATTGCCATTTTGGTCGCGAATGACACGCAGAATATCTGGCTCCAGTTCCTTGGTCAATTCGGCCTGCTGTTCGACCAACACATGTTCGAGAGCCTACTCAAAACCGTGAGCAATAATTGCGTAGGAAGCAAGAAGATGACAATACCTTTTGAACAACACGGCAGGCATAAACCTGTACCGAAAGGTCAACCACCTTGCCCTTCATCTTCTCAGCCAATACCTTCTTCTGAACTTGGTTGCCGTGCTCAAAAAATTTCTGGATGACATAGTTGCCAAAGACATCCTTCATCAGCTGAATAGCATTTGGCTCAATCTCCCGGAACACTTGGTCCTTTTCATCGCTGTTGGCTGATTCTAACTTCTGCTGGATAAATCTCGAACCGTGCTGATCACCACTGAACTCGACAAGGTGATTATATATATCTTTGAGTTCATATCGCTTGCTCGACTTGTTGCTAAGACGGAATTCATCCAAGAGCACGCTGCGTACACCTTTGCCGGGATCCTGATCCCTTGAGGGTCGGACAGGTGGCAAATTGGCGGCGAGGGAATATGCTGAGGAGACCGGGTGAATGCCATAGCCAGATATCATGGCGTTGCGGAAGTTTTGCGCATACGGGTCAATGTAGCTCTGTGGGTATTGTGTGGTCAGGTTGGCAAATGCGTATTGGCCAGGAAAAAACGAGGGTGTGAATCCGCCGGCGAAATGTTGCGCGGGGACGCTTCGTCTCTCCGTCTCGCTGGATCTGGGGTCTCGAGATGATGGCCTGGCTGGAAAATTGTCGGGGTTCACAGCATAGTTGCGCGGACTGTGGCCAGTGTCCAGCCGGAAAGCAGGGGAGGGAGGAATCCTGTCAACGGGTCCTCTCTTGATGGAAGCGTATTGGGCAGCTATGGTGTCCGCATCAACAGCATTCTCGTACCTGCAGTTGGGGGATTCAGTCATCCAGGACTGTGATCCGGGATTGAACTGAAATGGTTGCGATGTTGGGTTGAAGGAGTTTGAACTATTGTTAGCATTGTCCAAAGCCAGCCGACGACCGTGGTAGGCAAGCTCGTCGTCGAGTTGCTTGTTCAGATTGAAGGCCCGTTGATTCACACTGCGGGATGAGAAAGACGAGGCTTGGTTGCCAATGGCCCTTTGCGAATGATTGGAATTGCTTGGTGTATGGCCACGGTATACATCTTGTTGAAAGGCAGGAGAGCCCTGAGATTGTCGCGAGGGAGGAGGGATGCTGGCTTCACGAGAGACTGACTGGATTCCCGGAAACTGGGCAAGCGGCTCCATGTATAAGGCATCCATCGGGGGCAGTTTCTGTGATGTCAAGGTAGAGGTAGTGGTGGAATAGGCGGCGGCATCTCCTGCGAGGGCGTGAGCGCCGCCAAAGCTGCCCTTCTTGATGCCAATAGCGGATGGAGCGTGGTCGAAATAGGCGGAACCGTTCGGCATGGCCGCATCGCGAGTTCGGTTCGGAGAGGTGCTGGCCGATCGAGCTGGGTGTTCTGTTTTCCAAGGGCCTGATGTTCCCCAAACATCAGCCTCCGAGTTGGCAGCAAGGGCGCTGGAGCCAGAAGGACTGCCTTCGGTTTCTGGAAGTGAAGAAAAAATCGGATAAGTACACTTGAACCCGGGTGCACCGGCAGCGGCCTGCATTCTCAGAATGGGCGAAAACATACCTTTAGCGCCGATGGAGCGCTCTCTGGCGTTGGATAGGGACGCGGTCCAGATGTTGGAGTTGGGATACAGATTGGAGCCTGGGAAGCCGGACCCCATTGAATGTTGAGACTTGTCGTTGGAAGCCGGGGGCATCTTGAAAGAATAAAATCCGGCCCTCGACCGCGCCTAGGTAGAGCGAAAACGAAGTCAATAATGGTGATGAACAATTTGTGATGATGGGAAAGCGAAATGGGAGAACCGGACACAGGACAAAAAGGCTGGAGCATGTGCCAGCGTGTCGAGACGGCCGTGCCAAAACGAAGCCGAAACCAAAGATGGAGCGCAGGTGGTGGTGGTGGTGCGTGGGGGGCCAAGAGCCTGGCTGCTGTCTGGGAACAGACAGAGGCGACGTCCCCGTGAGCTGGCGCCAGTGCCTGTTGACCCCGGGCGATCCATGCTGCCAGGCATCCCTTCCGCGTGCGCTAGTCTGGCGCAGCCTTGAGACACACGAGCCCCTCTGACGTCGAGGCCCACGCGCTAGAGCACTGAGGACGGCGGCAAGGGTTCCAGTGTTGGCTGGCGCGGGCGCGGCGCGGGAGATGGAGATGGCAGTACGAACGAAATAACCAATGCAACTTACCGATGTAGCCATATTTACTTTTCCCCTCTGCAACTGTCGGATGCAGACGTGGTACAGAAAGGTGATAAAGTTGCTGGGACAGGCTGCGGGTGGCTGCCGCGGCTACTGTAAAAGACAGCGAGGAGATGAGCAGAATAGACTCCGGTAGGCAAACTTGCAAGTTCGCAGGGGCACCAAGTTAGAGTCAACGAACTGATCTCTGACGGTTGTGTGGTTCGACGCGAGTCGCTCGCCGATTTTTCTGTTTCGGGTTCTCTTGCGTCAAGGGGGCCGTCTTCCTCACAGTGACCAGGGTCCGCGGACAGGAGCGACAGGGCCCATTCAAAGACGTGGATTTTCTAGACGTTGTCGTGTTCCTCGCAGGAAACAATGTAGCTCGAGCGGGGTCTGCGGCCTCTCGAGACAGTTCTTGACAATGTCAGCTAACGTTATGATGGTCTTGCACCTGAGCCCAAACTGGTCGTCAACTACACTAGGCAAGAGGCACTGCACACAAAGCCTGTCAGCACAAGGATCGATTCCAGCTCACAGCAATATGATCAGCGTCTTCCGAGTAGCGCCTGTATCAGAGTCGTCTGCTAGCTTTGAAGAAGCAACAATGGGCTGGGATGAGTATGCTCCAGTGTGGAAGACCAAAAAACCGGGGCCAGAGACGTCGCCTTGGTTGGCAAGGCTGACGTGCGGCACCAGTCGGTAGTTGGTTGCGATCGAAATCGAGAAAAAGCAGCGAGTTCTGATCGCCAGACGTGCGCAGACGTGGGGAAACCAAAGTCAAACAAACGGGTGCCGTGCAAATTTCCAAGCCGGACACTTACATATATATGGACAGATCGTGCAAAGGCAACTGACAAAATGACTTGTGCTGCGCTGCGCTATGCTGTTGATGGCCTGGCGGGAACTTATTCGTGTTAGGGACCCGTGCCTGATCCCGCTGCCGTCAAATTCTTTGTTGGCTCGTCTGACTCTTGTTAGGCTTTGGCGCTACCGGCTACCGAACTTTAAGCTTCGCCACGATGCGTCAGGTCAAAATCTTTCTTTTTTTTTTGTTCTTGTTGTTGTTGTTGTTCGCAGAATCTAAATTTGTATCGAGTATGTGCGAGACGGACGAGTAAGTGCTTCGGCTGCAACTTTGACTTGATATACAGGTACGGAGCAGGCGGGCTTCAGACGACATGTACAAGATGGTGTCTCTGGCAATAAAGTATAGACAAACCAACCACAAGCTTCGGGCCGAAAATGTACGTGGCCAGCGCCAAGCGGCAGTGACTGAGAGCGCTGACTGCAGTGGGGTGAGGATGATGAACGAAAAAAAATGCAGACAAAGTGATATGGCGACGAGAGAAGGCGAGCCAGCAAGAAATTCGTCGAGGCGCCGCAAGCAATGTAGATGTATGTTGGTGGTGAGCCGGGGCCGCAAGAAAGGGCGGATCCAATGCAACGCGATCAAGGGGCCGGCTTTTCCTTTCTCGACGAGACAGACCAGAAGGGAATGCGGGAAAATAGCGCTGTCGAAAGAAAATGTCCCTCTGGACACAGGGATAATAATTGAGAGGAATGATGGCCGAGACAGATATTCGACCAAGGGAGAAGGGCCGCGCTGGGTGGAGAGATGTGGGCGGTTTGGCAGGCAGACACAGGCTGGAAGGAGAAGCCAGACCAACCATCAAGGAAGGAACGAGAGGGGGCATAAATTGATCAGCGCCTCTTAGCAAGATGGATTGAGGCTGAAAAAAAAAATAAATAAAAAATAAAAAAATAAAAGTAAAAACCAAGTCGATGAGTAGTATGAGACGGAAGGCTACTGGTCTAGATAACGAGACACACATGGGACGGCCAATTGTTCCAAGGGACATTGGAGGTAGGGCAGCAGGACCCTTCCTCGCTTCTGCCTGGCGGCATCGACTGAGCAGTACTAGTAGTTACATTGCAGAGTGCCTAAGTATGGAGCGGTCATGAGGTGCGGGACACTAATAAGAACCGGTGCGTGAAGCTCCGTGTGAAGGAGCGTGAAGCTTCGTGGTCGGTTGTTTAATGTTGCCTCTGGATTCCCGTCTGCGCAACACCAGGGTCCCACGAGCTTGTTCAAATGTACGTACGGGGAGGAGGGCAGAAATGAGCAGATGGCATTGAAAACATGGACACAGCGAGCGGAGAGGAGTGTCAGACGAGAGAAGGGCCGGGCAATCGTTAGTGAGCCGTCGTTGTTGAAGGGAGAGATGTGTAACGGGAAGTGACATGGAGGGCGTAGACGAGGCACGACACACAACACAACGACGCACAAGACAGCACAGAAGCAAATTCGAGGACGTAAAAATAATGGTCCGTACTCCCAGTGGCAAACTGCACAAGTCGAGCACTCGGCAATTGTGGCATCTCGTGTCATCGTCAACGGCCGACGGAGTGGTTGCTCGGCGCAGGTTGTCCGCAGTCCGAGGGCCATCTGACGGGTCTCGCACACGAGTCTTTTTTTCACCTTGGTTTCTCATTCACGCGTTCCAGCATCACTGCGCTTTATCCAACAAGCAAGGCGGGTGCTGACAGATAGACGACCAGAATACCCGCAAAGTACGAACAGTTTATAGTCTATAGACCAGCACTTGAAAGCTTGCGTCTGTCGCCTCCGACCGTCACCTGGTCCCCGACTTCTTCCCGCCATTGGCATCTCCCAGACCAAGTTTGGCAAGGGCAAACATTTCGTTTTTAAACGGACAAGGGCATGAGTACACGAAGTACATGAGCCGTCAGGCAAGGCATGACCCACAAACATGTCCGACCTGACCAGTGACGAAAACGAAAGCCATTGCTCCATTTGCCATGCTTTCTGCCCATCCACCATCCCCGACACCACTTGTTAAGAAGTGTACTGGCTGGGTCGAGTCAAAAGGCGAGTAATGCACTCACGCAGCATCAAGGCCAAGAAGCTCGACGACAATGCGCGTCCGTGTCACGCACAATTTACGATTTGCTGGCACCGTACTCCGCATTCTCACTCGCATGCAAGACACCCACCCAACCACACGTCATGGGCCCCAGCATCGTCTCTGTTGAGTCTCCCAATCTACAAAGAACCTCTGTCGTTCTCTCGCAGTGAAAGAAGAGGCTGCCAACGGTCAGTCAAGGAGAGAGAGCCGGCCTTGCGAATAGATGGCCAGGTCAACCCGTATACCCTGACGCCGATACTCAAAACGCATTGTACTTATGAACAGCCGCCCAGCATCGATTCGCCGGACTAGTACTACGAAGTGATCCCAAGAGGGCCAGAAGGCTGGCCGATTGTTCCCTGGCGTCGTTTCTGGGGCTAGCAGGAGGCCGAGGAGAGACCGCAACATGGAACCCATCGCTAGATCGACCGAAACATGGTAGTGAACCCGCCAGCTTCCCGAGTCCACACACCCACGCAATCGACCCTGTTGAGGCCAACCGCTAGCTATAAGTCATCCCTTCCTGTGGTGCGGTGTTGGAGCGGTTGGTCACCTGGGCAGCATCAAGCCTTTTCTGTTCACGAGCGAATATGGGAGGTGTATCGGATTTTGCGCCTAATGCTACCACTCCATATACTCGCTCGACGCTGTGATTGTGGCCATAGCTCATAATTTATGCTTCAAAGTCTTTCTCCGCGTAGAAAAACAGCCACATGGTACTGAAATCCCTCCAAGGCCTCTTGTCGGGGTCTCCAGACGAAAACGCAAGCCTAGAACAAAATGCCATCCGTGACTAACCATTGCCCTGATGATACTTTGGAGAGCCACAGGATCCCTCCTTTCTTCAACTCACCTTGTGACTTGCCATCGCTTCACCGATTTCTTCATTCTCTGCCATAGGCTGCACGATGGCGGCCAGGTGCTCTCTCTCCCTGCGGTTCACATGTCTGTGTCGTGTCTATCCCTGCCGTTCACGGTGCACTTGACATTGAGCCATTGACCAATTTTTAGGCCCCTCGTTTGACTTGAAGTGGTCAATTTCCCGTCTACCAAATAACAACCTTTGGTGAGGGTGACGTTGGGAAATTCAAGAAATGTCGTCAACTATTGCAATCTGACGTCATGCAAGCAACGAAGATCGACTGTGGCGGTAATTGTTACTCCATGATTGCGCTCCCAAGTTTGCCATGGCTTCGACCGTGCCTAAAGCTCCTGTGCTTGTACTGTGAGCCGTGAGCCTTTGTTACTACTACTATGTTGCTAGGCACACTGAATGTTTCGGTGGAAGCCATGGGAGACCCTCCTGGTCGTGTATTGAGAATCTGTGGGAAAGGTGTCGTTCATGTTCGCGCTGTAATTAACCGACATGTCCTTGAGCTGCGAAAACGGCACATCTATTCTCCATCACAAAAGTCCCATTGGCCTGCCCCAATACCCAGGCTAAACAACAAACATGCTACTGCTTTGCATCCTGAACTACAGAATGTCCAGAGTACATGAGCATCGCAGTCAATCGATTTGGGAACCATCATTTGGTCATGCGGATGCTCATGATGGTTGAGTTGGTCTCGAGATCCCAGCAGCTGGCATTGCTATCTGTTCGGGCCGACGTACAGCTCTGGGACATTGGCGACGTCGGTGAGAAGACATTTGAATAGCGAGAGCTGAGGTATGTATCGCCTCCAAGAAGAGAATGGGGCGCAAACTGACACATGATACATCAATGGGCCATGGCAGATGGATTGGGCCGCTTTGCCCAGATGCGCCAGGCCAAGGCTGAATGAAACCTCAAGTCAGAAGAACGCCTGCGGAAAGTCCCATGGTTGGATGGACCTCCACGGCTTCTTCCGGCCCGACGGTGGGTGACATCTAGTTGCGCCTTTGTCACGTCCCAAGACGAATGAAGCCGCCGGGGAGGTCACGTTATCTGGAACTGGCCGAATCTAGATCCCGAGCCTGTCGCTTTTAGGATCGTGCATGGCGCGGCAGTTGTAGACCATGACGACCATGAACATGGGACGGCTCCTAGACAGATGGCAATTGCCGCGACGCAAGGACGGCGCAGAGGGTTCAAAGGTTTGAACATGGGATTTGCATCATCATTTGTATCAATAGCTGACTGCTTCATGAAGTAGGTCAACTAATGCGGAGTGAGCACGACGGCCTGAGCCAGAGCTTGGACATGAGGCTTGCGAGTACGGAGTTGCGCAGCGTCGCATCCGGTGTGCCATGCTGGTGTCACTACTGCATACCCCTTGTGCGCAGGCAGGTAAGAATCAAGGTGGCGCCATTGCAGTCCCAATGGAAAAGATGGTTGCCAGATGACAGCGGGATTCGTATACAGGTCATGGGGTAACGCTCCCCGGCAGAGTTCGACCATATCTAACGTCGCAGGGTCTAGCAACGTACATTCATGTGCGAAGTAGGTCGCAACGGGCTGGCCCAGAAATAACACGCCATAACCTCGCACGGCACCACGTCGCCACGACCCGTGTGAAAGTTGAGACTCCAAGATTGCGGTGCAAAGGCAAAAGATGGAAGATATCTTGCAGCAGGGCAAACGGCCGCAATGGCCAGTGAGACTGAACAACATTTGGTCTTTCGAGGCACAGTCAACCGCCAGACAAAGGGCAGGGGCCGCAGATATCGGAAACACATGACATGCGTTCCATGACATGTGACAAGTTGGCTTGGCGTGCTGCCAGAAGAGGCTTCGAGGACATTTTTGAAGGCTGAGCTGCGTGCACGAGCACATCTTTGTACGAGGCTCTGAAATCGAATCAGGGATGGAGACGGGCAGAACGATTTGGCCTGTCTCTTCTCTTGGCGTGCTGAAGAAAGATTCGTCCAACGGACGGAAGAGAACGTGTTACAGACGGGTTTGGGTTGGTCGACACTGATATTTGTTCCAAGGTTTTGACTGACAAACTCGACGCAGCAAACCAATACCGAAGCTGACACAAGTAGCCCGTGGGACCCAGACCGTTGGAATACAACATTGTTTCAAACTCAACTTGAAGCTGGCCCGATGTCGCTGAGTAGGTCTAGCATAACTTGTGGGCGTCTCCAGCACCAGCACCGTCATGAACCGCCTGTGAATACTAGCGCCTGGAAACCTAGTTTAACGATCGTACAAGCTGACGTGTGCCGTGCTTTCTGCTATTAGACGCTCGTCTCATCTGCTGTGAGCCTGTGACGAGGAGCAACGCGACAAGTTGTGCGTCAGAAAGCGCTGGGCGGCAAAACGGCCAATAAAATGATACCATAGCGCCGACAGATGGGCACACGGCGTGCCCTGGTGCGCCGCCGGAAGAGAATGGTATTGGTAAACGGACTCGGCATTATGCTCATCGTGCGAAGGATTTTGTAAACCGGAAAGGACGGTGCAATCGTGCAAGCCTCAAATTGAACATGATTCGGTCATTAGCCAAGAGGTGCGGAGTAGCATCGAGGTCTCCAGATGTTCAAGTCTAAAGCTGGTCTAGCGCATGCTACCAAATACCTAGGTAGGTACCTAGCCAGGGGTAAAAATGTACGGAGTACATGCACACACAATTCACAATTGAGGGCTTTCCACGGGTCACAAGTCTGACTACTTGTACTGACATGAGTCACACGACGGCTTTTGGCGACGTCGTTATAGAGCTGTAGCCCCAACAGCATTGCTTAAGTCCCAGAAACGAGGTATCTCGACCGACCTACGAGGATCCTAGGCACCCAAGTTACTTACCCAGTACTCAGGTGGGTCCCCAGAGATCCAGGGTACGACAGGTATCGTACGGTTCGTACCATACGACCCAGAGATGTGTTCTGGTGGCTGTCCTCAACTCGACCAGGCGGGAAAATATAGTGCTTGAATTGTACTTTAGCACATGATCCTCATCACTTTTACACGACAAATTGTATTTGTCTTGTGAATCTTGTGACAGTCCTCTTCTTAGAAACAGGTGCCGCGCGCGCATGTAGGTGTACCTGGCTACCTACAGGAGTACGTGGAGAGAAACCAGGGTCTGCCCAGTGAGTCGACTTGATTGGCTGTATGGAATTGAAACGCCCGGTACGGAGTAGAAACCAATGGCTTCTTATGTGGCCCCTGCATATGACCCATTTTTAGGCGTCATCTTCATTTAGACTGTGGATTCGGAGTTTACAAAAGTAGCGCTCACAGACACAGACTCGGAAGGAACACCAGCTCTGTTGTTCGCGTCCTGGGGTAGCCTCATCGGCAAGGGGCAGAAAGTGTTTGCTTTTTTGGTCACGTCTCGAGCCATTCACCCGGCATGGATGCGCTGATCCAGTCAGTCCCTGGGCCCGCGCCGGCCTTCCCTCCTGTCTTGGCCGTCATCTCCTTTTGCTGCCCCTTTCTACTCACTCCCGTGCTCCGCTACTCCAGGTCACTCACTCACTCCCTTTTCCTTCTCCTCACTTTGAGCACACTTTTTTCCTGCGAGTTTTCAGGAGAAGGCCCTTCGTTTCGAGCCCTTTTGCGCGCTCCTTCCCCTCCCTTTTCAAGAGCTTGTTTCATTCTTTCGACAGCTTCTTCGGGATCCTTCAGCTCCATTCTTTCGCTGAAGTTTCGTCCAATCCTTCCGAAACGCACCACCGCCAACTACGAATACGAAACCCGTGTCCCAACGACAGACCTGTCCTCGTCGGCTTGCCATTGCCATGAGCGCATTGCGACTTTTGATGATCAACTTCCAACATTCTATCTAGCCTGGCGGAATTGCACCTGACGTGAGTCCTGAAACGTTTGATCCTCGTGCTACCTTGTTCGCTGCTATGTATTTGTCTTGCCACTCTTCGTCTGCGACAAAGAACGGTATGGAGGCGGTGCGCATTGGATTTTCTGGAGGGGCGGGCTGGGCTCGTCCCAAAACGGGTGACGCATGAAGCGCTCGGTCTCGAATCAATGCCAAACGCCAAACGCGAACCACGTACTCGGTATACTACATACATATAACATTGTCTTGCACGCTGCGGGAATCAGTTTGCACGTGCATCAGTCTAACTCAACCCCCGCGAGACAACGAGTTCATCATTGGAATGCATCTCCGTAATATCTTGGGCGTCATGGACGTCGCGAGAAATTCAATACTGTCGCGTTCGACTTGTTCTACTGCGTATCGGAAGACTAACAGATGGACTGCTGTTTACAGACACTCATTTATTATCGACGGCTGCGCCTTTGCAATAACCCGTCCTCACCATGCCTCCCGCCATTTTAACACGGGACACCTTGAGCTCTTTTGTTGAGGGCAGCTCCATCCCGGCCCGCAGCGCGATGCCTTCCACTGACCGACTTTACTCAACGCAGCCCTGGAGGCCGCTCCTCGTCGGCAGCAAACGGCTCGCCATGCGTTCATTTTCAAACATCTCCCGTCGTAGCGACGACGGCCAGAATAATCTGATTGACTTGATGCTCGCCATCTTGGGCCTTGTCTTTATAGGCCTCATCCTCGCCTCCCTCCTCTACTTGTTCCATCGTCGACGACGCCTGCAGCGCCTTCAGAACGGTCCCCTGCCTCCCTATGAAGGCGTCAGGCAGACCAACTCCTGCGGCCTGACCATCGAGACAACTCACAATGGCCGGTCGAGTCTCTTCTACATCGGCCGTGACGGCCAGCCCATGCTTCAGAACCCTTATTCCCCACCTCACTCTCCCGACAACGTTCCGCAGATTCACATTACATTCCCTGACGAACAAGACGAGAATGGACATGCCAAGAGCGGCCGCGTTCTGGTGGTGCGTGTCGGTGACAACGCCGCCGTTGGCCTTGAACCCATGCGTGAAGAGGAGCTACCAGCGTACGAGAAGGAGTCCAAAGGTCAATTTCAGTCCGTTGACATGGACAAGATTGGTGGATTGAAGGAGAAGGACCGGACCTTGTTCCAGTAACACAACGAGCGGGGCCATTTCCTTGGTCCATGTCGTCCACTTTTTCGTCTTCTCAGCCTTTCCTTGACGGTAGTTTGTTCGTTTCATTTCTTTTTCGGCCTGTTTTCTCACGTCTTGGCCAACTCTAAACACACTTTTGCGATGTAGTAGGTCACCTTCCGGTACTACGCCAACGACGCTACAAGAAAAGCTGCCGGCAACAGTTGCAATGTGGACTAATTCAACGATTTGAGCTGTCTCAATCAATACTCAGCATCAGCCACAGTCAGTTTATTTTGGATTGCTCAACAAGCGTTTCGGCGACTTCCATCTCTGCGATCAATTACAGCGCAACCGTTTCTTTTGAATCGTGTCGCATCTATTTCTTATTTTCGCGATTTCCACCCTGGAGTAACTAACGATAAACTCAATACGATCAAAGCACATTCATACACTTGGTACATGTACCTGAGATGGTCTCGGATCGTCGGCCTCTCGCGCGGCAGAGTCTCCATTGATGACTTCAGCTCACTCTCGACTTCCCAACTGACGACGGGTGGGAATGGATGCAGCACAGAAATGAGCACCAAGAGGCAAGCCAAGTTGGTTCTGCGTTGCCGCCTGCCATCGAGGGCTCGGAGTTCAACCAGAGAGACGACACCGCAGACATTGGACGGTCGGTATCAGGAAGAGGCGGACCAAGTAAATAGCAACAACGGACAGACGGTTGCACAATACTGGAGGCAAAGGCCATTCATCTCGACAGATGCGGAATATTGCCTCCAACGTGGTATAGTTGTATATTCGATAGTGCATAATTCAAGTACGTATGTACTGTTTTCACGAACAAGCGTCACGACCACGGTTGTAGTTTGTAAATGCCGTCATGGAAACGCTGCGGTCTCGCGATCCCTGGGCAGACGGACGGCTCTTGGCCTTGCTTCACCACTGCCCCGGGCCAGCCACGTCTGAACGCCAAGATGTGCTGTATCCCGTTCCATCTTGGTGTCCCCGAGTCACAGCACGATGACCTAGAATCCCCCGTCCCCATTTTGCCCGCCAAAAAAGGGGGGGGCGGGGGATTCGTTTCCACGCCAAGTGAAACTTGGCCGCAATATGTACGGGGTACGGGCGACGCCATCTTTTTGAGTGGCGACATGTCTGTGCTGGCCAAGATGGGGCCATTCCGATGCCGTGACGGGGTTGAGGTTGGAAGCTGGAACAGGACGCCGAGGCTGTGTGCTTATTTCGACCAAGCCATCTGGACGAAAGGTTGGGTGCATGTCGTCCTGGCTCTTCTTGATGCACCTACGGACCTATCTGTCTACCGCTTTGCGACTGGTGGCGGCACCGTGTTCCCGGACGAGGTGCACAACTCGACAGATTGAAAGACAGCATGTGTATTAGAAGCATTTGGCTCATGATACGTCACCGCTTACAGTGACTCTTGGTATATATGCAAAACACGCTCTTTCAGCAATCAATCCCATCTGTACGCCATGTGTGGTGGACCTTTTGTATACTTGCTGCGAGGTTGTCGTAGCATTTCCCACCAAACGCCGGAATATTAGACCGAGTGACCCGGTGACAACTACTACAAGAATAAACGCAAAATTCTATGACAAAGAAGACGCTACAAACTAGCGTGACTTGGATCCCGAGTACCCAATAAAGGTTGAGTCTAGAGGATAAGAGGGAGGGGGGAAGAGAAGAAGAGGCCGTGATTTCTAAAAGGCAAATGTCCCTTTCACATCGTTGAGACCATGAGTCGTAATATGGACGACGTGAGTAGCCTGTAGCAAGTTGTTTTCGTCCTGCGATTGTTGTGAGGTTGTCGTCGTCGTCCATGTCTTGTTGCACGTTGCGCCAGTATGCCAGCCGATGGTTACCATGGGCACACATAATTACGATATTGCAGCAACGGCGGTTAGATTGCTCCTGTACACGTGATTGCCCATGGGGCTCGCCTTCAGGGTCAGGCTTGTCGTCGTCCAGTCTGTGCATGGGACCTGTTGTGCTAAGAGCTTGTTCCCGTCTAATAGCCACCGGGAGGTTGTGAATAACCGCCATGGCCGTGTTGTCGATTCATGTAGTGATCCACAAAGGCGTCTCCGCCAAAGACGCTTTGCTGGGCCATTAGGAAGCCTGCACTTGGTTGTGGTATCGCCTGATGAAACATGGACGGGTCGCCGCTATGCATTCCTGGCATAGGCATGCCCTCGACATTCATAAGCGGGTTCGTGTCCGGCAGCACGGCATCCAAATCTCCCATTGGGATCAAAGAGTTGTCAGCGTCGTACATGAGCGGATCTTGTGCGGCGCTACCAGGTCTAATTCTGGCCTGGGCAAGGAACAGTGGAATCCCTGGTGCGGCATCTCCCTGGCTTGCCTCGATTGCTTGAGCTCCTGGCTTTGTGGCAAACATGTTTAGAGCCGGTGGTGATGGTTGGGATCCAACCCACCGAGCAGAATCAGAAGGACTGTGAGAGGCCATTCGCCTGTGGTACTCTTCAGGTTCGCCAGTAGCGATGCTCTTGAGGATGGCGTCAGGACCCGGTACGCGATTTGAGCCTTCAGATCTGGACCCAAACATGCTCTCGGCGACCCTCTGGTCTGCTACTTTCCGAGTCTTGTTGAAATCTTCAACTAGTGTGACGTTGTGGTCGTACTACATGTCGAGACAAAAGTTAGTGGACAAAACCCACGGAACAGACACATCAGGCGGACGTACCGCCTGTCGCGCAACGTTCAATATGTCGCACCAAGGCCTCGTAACCCTTTGCACTGAATCAATAAGGAAGCGAATGTGTGCCTCGTCGACCTCAACGCTCCGCCACAGTGGTGCCGTCGTAACATCGGCGATGTCTCGGTACAGCCCATACTGCAGAGCCACTAACAAGACGCGAACGCATTGAGTTGACATCTGAAATGTCGAACAATCGCCGGCAAGCTCAAGCTTTCCAGTGTCGCGCATCTGGTCAACCTCGTTTTGAATTGCGTCGCAAAACCGGCCGAGGCACATTGCATGAGCTACAGCCTGTTTCTGCGACCGAGCTATGAACTCCCTCGGAAGCTTGCGAAGAACCTCGGCCGACACCTTGTCTCGTTGACCTGGGAGTGAGAACCGGTACAGGTCAATATGGCTCACGGCCAGGTGAGTGTGCAGAAATACGTAGCCAGCTCGTTCGGGGGAAGCCATGTATTTGGCAACGGTTTGGTCACTCAGAAGGATTTCGGGCGGCAACGACATGTGGAATCGAGTCAGTTCGTTCTGCAGTCTATTAATGTCAGCCATTACCTTTGACGCGTCCAGTTGCGACTGCAATGGAGAGCTCGAGCTGCAAAGTCGCTTTGTAGTTCTAGACGTACGTGGCCTGTTAGTCTTTCCCGCTTCGAACTCAGCGCAGACACCGAAGCCACTTACACTTGTATACGGTGTCGCAGATCAATGAGACGAAGCTGATACCCGTGTAGATTGATGGTACTTGGATGACTTCCGGGCTTGTCATACAATCTCTCGGCACTGATTGGTCTGTTGTCTCGAAAGGCTGCTTCCGAGCACGGCAAGGCAATTTGCATATTTTCGGCGCGACAGGAAATGTACTCTTCATACCCGCCCGCGAGCATGCGATCCAAGTAGAAGAGCTGCCAAGCGATACGTCGCAAGCACTCTTGTTGAGCAAACGTTTGATTCTGGGACTGTACATCCCAGTTGACTCGTAGACCGAGCATGAGCCTCGAGGCGACGCCAAAGGACTGCCAAAGCTTGGCAAATTCTCCGCGTATCAGATTGAACGTTATGCTCAAGGCAAAGAGGACCAACAGATCGTCGGAAAACTTGTAAATGTTTTGGAACAGGTACATTTCGACGTGTGCGCTGCATTTGACGCCAAACTCGCCCCCGGAATCGCTGGGGCTCACGAAGACCGCCGTGATACCGCACACGGCCGCTGCCACAACGGGGTCAAACGTGCCTTCCTGAATTTCTCTGTAGGTAGTGCTTGGGTGCAGAAACCCTTGGCACGGCAGCCAGTACATGTTGTCCATGTAGGCGTTCACATGCCGTAAGAGTATGTCGCGGCGTACCAGCATCTCTCTGCGTCAGTCGTGTTAGCGTCCTTTGGTTGCGTCGTGGCCGTGAAGGGGCGCAACATACTCGGCAGTCAGGCTTGACCCTTCTGTTATGAGAGCAAAACGATCATGGCCGGTACTCCCAGCGCTCGATGTCGGGCTCGTCACAGTGTCTGACCGGCTGGCGGTCCCCGAGGCGGGCAACATGGCCTCGGCAGCAGCGTTGTCGTTTTTGGTGTTGCCAGAAGTGCCTGCCGCATTGCTTGCATTTTGAAACCGAACATTGGTAAACCTTCTCCTGGCGGGTGTGTACTCGCAAGGCAGACCACCAGCTTCGCATCTCTTACATCGCGGTAAGTCACCCGAGCATTTAGTCTTGTGAGAGTGGCATTGGCTGCAAGCCCTTTGTGCCCTCTTCCGTAGAGTGCCGGCCTCTGTATGGCTGTGAGACGGCGTTGTCCTTGAGACTATAGTTGACGCCGGGTTAGTGAGTACCGCTTGGGAGACGCGATTCGAATGCAACGCATATCCATCCAATTCCAGGGGCGCGCTTACTTGCAGCGTCCTCGTCTTCTTCTGTGCTGGCAAAGTTGCACGTCAAATCCAGTCTCGCGCAATTTGTGCAGGGCCCATCCCCGGGGTTGCCGGAGCATTTGACCTGTTGCATGAAAATCCATCAGCAAGTGTCACGCCAAAACAATTGACCATTTATATTTCACACGACAGAGTGAGCACTCGTCTGAGGATGAGACACGAAGAGTATGTCCCATCATGGCGTTTGACGTGTAAAATTGGTGTGTAATGGCATGATAATGTCCACTGGTCAGGATGCTGATTTGAGATGACGTCGTGAGGGCCCCAGAAGTCGAAACATTGACTTGATGGGTGAGCAGTTTCTACCTTTCTCAGGCGACAAGTGCGGCAACAATCGCTCAGGACGGGAGCGGTACGACGTCGTTTTGCCGGAGGAGTAGCGGCTGTCGCAATGCCACAAGCTGCCAAAGAAGCAGACGCTACTGTTGTGGGAGCCTCTTGCCCGTCAGCATCGGAGACCGGTGGCGGATCCATGTACTGGGACGATGTTGAGCGGTTGGTGAGGAAAGCGCATGGGAGTGAAGGCTTGAAGGAGCACGACGAAGAAAGCCAATCGAGGGCGACTACGTCTATGCAGAAAACAGGCGACGATTGTTCCCTGTTATAGCGGTCATAAGGGCTGGGATAAGAGGGGCAAAGGAGGAGAGGAAGAAGCCTGCCAGGAAGCAGAGCAAGAAGTCCGTTTCGTTGGCCTGGGAGAATCGAGCTCGGGGGGCTCGCGGCAGCACGACAGGAGTCGGGACGACGGGCAGCGCCCAAGGCCCAAGTGTACAATGACGCTGGCTGCTTAGCCTTAATTAGGTCTCGCCCTACTGTCTGTCATCCTCGATGTCTGCGGCGCGCACTCGAGCACCGGCGCAGGAAGTGGAACGGGGTGCTTTGAACATGGATGGGTCAAGTGGCTTGTTTCGGCCGTCGCTGCGACGTCTGTTTGGATATCGTGAATGGGGCCAGGCCCGGCTGTCGCCCGAGGGTGCCGAAGCAAGCTGGTTGGTGATACGACCGTGTTAATATTCTGCATGGCCGGTCCTGCAACTAACCGCTAGTCCAGCCGGGAAGACAGCATGGCTCGAGACCGAGACAGGCTGTCGCTGAGGCGCTGAATTTGTGCATCTGTTTGTGGCACCCGCCAGCGCGGGCCGACTCGATCTTGAATTCGATTGCATCTACTCCGTACGCCAGGCCTGAGGGAGGGTCTGAGCCTTGAGGCAGGGCTCTCACAAGGCCAATCCCGGGGCCCCAAGGTTCAATATACCACTCTTAGGGCGCAGATTCGAGCTCCTTCGGTCATCTGCACTAGGGCTTCCCCGTAGTAATGGGAGGAGCCGAGTCTGCCATGTCGGCGAACGGGGGACTGACTGTACCGTGTGCTTGGCAGATTGATTGCCCACGAAGCAGAATCGGGGCCATCTTACGACTTCGAAACTTGACGGAAGGGCTGACGCGATACGATGTCAGTGACGGGCGGGAAAGCTGCTCAAATTAACTCATGGTCAGCTGTCTTGGCGTAACAACCCAAAGAAGCACATGGCGGCAGGGGGAAAACACACACATGGCTCGCGACCAGGCTTAGGCTTGTCTTGTTCGGTCTCAGGCACGAATGACGAACAATGCATATCCTTGCTGACCAGCATTCTGCCCGCCGCGCGCGGTACCGGCCAAGCGCTCCAAAGAATCGGCGATAAAGATGCCTGTCTGCCATGAATTATCAGATGTCGTTGTCGTATCGCCAGCCGGATCAAGACCAAAAACTCCGTCCCGCTCCGAAGAAGTCGTCATTTTTCTTTACTGAAGCGGTGAGACTGACGTTGGAGGCGGTTGCTTGGTCAATAGTATAGCCAAGGAGTCGCAGTCGCGGCGTTTTCTCTGCTTGTTGGTTGGGAAAATGCCATTTCAGCCTTACGAGACGTCGCACCGTCCACACTCGGCAGGCAAGACCAAGGTTTGGTCGATTGCACCTTCCCGTACTTTTTGTGTGTGAGGGGCTGTCGCTGCAACGGTTTATTCTGCTTCTCTGACCATGGATGGGATCGAATCAGTCTCGTTTTTCATCTACGTTTCTTGACCTGTTGGTATAGATCGGTCACCTCATTCACCTATTCGCGAGCATCCATTTCCGAGCTGGTCGCCGTCCAACAAGCTCGAAACCGACCTATGCGTCAATGGCTGATCCACACAAACTGGCATGTCCCGTGGCCGACACCGAACCATCCCAGCAAATAGCCAAAGTTCCCTCGGCCCCATCGATGTTTTTCATCTTTCGGGTAGATTATTTCACAAGCTTGCGGCCAAGCCAATCCAGAAGCAATCAAAGGGTGGTAGACACCATTTGACACCCCGTACGGAGTACTAGAGATATTACAGGGTACACGCACCCACGAACTTGGGGGATGGGATTGCGAATGCGAGCGCGCTAGGCATGGAAAGCCGGGAGGCATGCCGCGCCCAAAAGCGACGGCCGGCGAAGGTTCGGAAGTTTCCAGCGCTTTAGTGTGGCAATTCATTCACGGCGGGTCAATGTGATGATCTGCAGGACAAGGAGACGAGGTCGCCATAGCGCTGGGCTCCGAAGGAGAATTCCCTACCGCGTCTTCAACATGACCTTACGGCCTCAGCAGACTCTGCTGGACTTTTGTCATCATATTCGATCCTATGCCACAAGGAGGGATAGCATCTCTTTCGGCCGCGGCCATGATACCACACAGACTTCACAGGCAAATGTCGCGTTTCTGCCGTGCAATACAGCAAGAGAGGGTGGGGGGGAGGGATGACCCTGTCGGCAGCGTCGGGGGCGGAGCCAGTACAGCTACCATTGGGGTTTGCGACGTGCTCAATGAACGTTGTAGCGGGAGTTTTGGACGTTCCATAACCTTGGCGTGAGCCAACTAGCCGCCGCCTCGTCGGATAGCCTGTTGCTACTGGCCTTTCTTCGGCAGGCAACTCGTTTCATACCGGGGCTACCAACTGGCGTGAGCCATTGTATTCTGCTTCTGGTAGGAACTTGGGCTGGAAACGTCTTGACCAACATGCCCTTGAAGTTGGGTCAAATAGTTTGACCAAAGAGCGTCGAGTAGCCACACTCAGCGGCAAACGGTCTTCTGGCTTCCGCGCATTACAACCCTGCCAGTACGGTTAATCCGGCTATTGATCTCTCAGATCAGTAACCACTGCGAGGCTAACGATGGGCCTGTTCCGAGTCACGGCCTCCCCGATTATCGGCCTCGAATTGATTCAATGTTGGCGGTGGTCTCTTAACGCAACCTCTCACGGCTCGACCGAATCTTTTCAAAGTCGTTTCCCGTCATTCAGTGCAGTGCCAACATGATGTGACAATAGGCTCTCAAAGACCATGAGGAGCGTGGGCCTGATTGCCCTTCACTTGAAGTTCCAGTCTCGACTCCTCCCGCTTCGTCTGTCTCTCCGGTGTCTCAATTACAAAGCTCTGCTCGACACTAGCAAACAAACAACCCCAGACGGCTAGGACACTGGACCGCCGAAGAAAGGGGTAACTGCACCTCGGCGGGATACCCCAAGTACCTACGGAGTAGTCCGGACCGCCAGCGGACCCTTGACTGTAACTTGTCCTGCTGGGACGGCCGCAAAAAATTACCGAAATAGGCAGTCACACAAAGCTTCAGAGCCCCTTTCTAGTCTTTGGGGCAAAATAGAGGTCTTGTCTGGCGAGCATAATTTTGCCACAGAATGGCGACTACTTGACGTGATGATAGGCTACGTACATTGCACGTAGCCACGACGCTTGGCAACCATTTGTTGGAGCCAAGTTGTGACATGCCCAGCCATGTTTCGTCCCAGGATTAGTATTGAAGGTAGAAGCCAAGAAACGCCCTCCATGCCACAAGTACAAGAAATATTAACGATAAAACACAGTCAAACCGAAACATGACAAAAGAAGGAAAGAACGAAAGAAAGAAAAGAGGACGTGACGACCAGGCGGCAACTCCATTGATGCCATCACCGACACCGCCCGCCCAGAACAACTTCCAGACTCACCATCACTCCCTCTCCTTCTCCTCCGTCTCGCGCTCCTTGTCCTTCTCCTCCTCTGCATTACCTTCCTCCTCGTCCTCGTCCGCGTCTTCCTCCTCCTCTGCATTACCTTCCTCCTCGTCCACCTCGTCCGCGTCTTCCTCCTCGTCGTCCACCTCTTCCGCCTCGTCATCGTCGTCCGGCTCCTCCTCCTCTTGGTCCGTATCGACCCTGATAAACTCCCACGCCGTGCCGCCCTTCTCCGCGGCCCCCAACTCACCATTCTTCCCAGCAACAAGCTGCAGCAACTTCCCCAGGCTCGGCGCCAGCAGCACGTACCCCCCGTCAGCAAGCCTTCTGGGCACAAAGTAGCCGTAGTCGCTGTGCTCCGTCTTGTCCGCCCTGAACTTCCACCAAAAGTCGTGCCCCAGGTACCTCCCCAGCTGCGTCTCGCGAAAGCCCATCCAGCCGTCCTTTTCGACGGACCGCCAGTAGCAGTTACCCGCCTTGGTCAGGTCCCTTTCGAGGCGGAGCTCGCCCTCGCAAATGGCAAGGGCAGCCCCGGAGGCGCGGTCGAGGATGACATACGTCTCATTGGGCCGGGGCACGACGTCGCGCGTGGCAGATGCCCCAATGATTCTCGACAACATGTCGTCTTGGTCTGCCATTTTGGTAACCTCCACCTCTTGTTGCGGGAGAAGGAAGTGTTTTCGATATCGGCCGGGAACGGGTGGACAAAGTGCCGGCAAGATGTGGCGTCGGGAATCCGTGCTTCAAAAACAATACCACGGAGGAAGTCGTGCTTTTTGAAAGAAGGCAAAAAAAGAAATGGGTAGTCCCAGCCAGATTCAAGCTGCCCAAACTACTCGGAAGAAGCTGGTTGTTGCTGCACGTGGGAAAGAATGACATACGGAGTACGTGTCGCCGATCCCACGTGGAGTGACGTCAGTGACGCATCACAGCGCAACGGGCCTCTTGCGTCCTTGTCCTTGCCGGGACCCGGGCGGGCCACAGGAGCGGTCTGGCTCTCGCATGTGCGAAGCGGCGCAGCCACATATCCGGGGGGGGAAGCAATACACCAAATAACAAAAACGGCTGAAGAGCTTGCCAGCGCTGGCAAAGGTCCCCAATATCACCAAGGCAATTTGGCTTTGGAGGTTGGCGTCTTGGCGGCGGCCCCACTATTCCGCGCTACTGAGTCCCGACACAGACCCGGAACCGATGGTACCCAGTCTGCGGCAACCCTCGGCCAGGCAAAGGCCCGCGCAAATCATTGATGCAGTGCGCATAAACAGCCCTCGGTCGGCGGTCGGAGCGAAATTGACCATCCACCGTCACTCCAAACAGACGCCCATCCTCGTCAATCTCGTCGCGTTGAAGCCCAGCCACGCCAAACCCAGCTTCCGCAGCCACGCGGCGCGTCTCCCGTCTCCTCACGCAATCGCAGCATCACGGCACATGACCGCCAGCCAGCCACATCCCTGGCCCAGCCGCACCGCGGAGCAGACCGGCTCCGGCAGCCCCGGGGCGCAGCAGCAGCACACTCTGCCGGCAAGCGGTGCGGCCGACGTCGACGCCGCCGCTGCAAGCGTTGCCAGGGCCGTCATGTTGCGGAATTGCATCCTGGCGATTCTGTGACGCTGCGGTTTGGAGGTGGGTGATGTCTCTTGTGGTTTGTCTGCCAAGGTCCTGCTTTGACGCTGCTGCCGTGCCGTCGCTCGTCTCCCTCTTGTCTCGTCTTGACACAGCTCGGGCGGACCGAGTGAGAGAAAAGGGGGCGGGCACCTTTATACAAACACGACGAGAGCTGTTGTTCCATGAGACGCTGCCCGTCACACGATGCACCGCACTGTATCGTGCCAACTGGCCACGGTCATCGACATGGCATCCAGGAACTTTTGCGTCGCTGCAAGTCGTTGGAACGGGACACAGGACCTGACGACACCTTGTGCCTCTCATATACACGAAACCACGTCACGGCGACATCTGCCAGAGAGAGAGACAGAAAAATGGCTCAGAATTCAAGTTTACCATGTACAGGTACGAGACGAAGCGTCGAAATAAAACTAGCCGTATATTATTACCCTCGTATTATTCATGTGAGGGAGTGAGTGCCCACTCCCCCCCCCCCCGAAAAAAAGCAAAAAACCAAC